TACAATGATATGTTGGAACTTGTTCAGGGTGCCAGCTTGACACTTAGGGTTGGATGTCACCAGTGTCTCAAACTACTGCAAATTATGTCGACTTGAGAGTTTGGGATGGGCGGCAATTGTTGATTGGACTTTTGTATTGTATTGGGCACTGCTTCAGTGACTGATTCTGCATCACTGTCTGGTCTTTTTGAAACTTTTGTGCACAGTTGGAAGGGCAGAGTAACAAGGATGCAGTAGTTGCCATATCAGTAAGTGTTCGATGCTTTCACACGTGACTGGACAAGGACATTACTATTGCTTTCACATGAGTGGCACCATCGTCCATTGATTTCTTATTGTTTGCATGGTGACTGACGCACAAGCAATGCTCATTGCGATATTATGTAACTGTGGGATACTATTGCTTGCTGTATGTCAAGTGGTGGATATTCCATGATATAGATACGGCAGATTGAAGGGAAAGCAAGTTTCAGCAGTTGGAACTCGAGGAATGCTGTGATTGTCAAGAGGCAGAATGTTCCATTAAAAGGACTCTCGAGCGGATGGACGGGCATGCCACCTCTTCCAGGTGGATGGTGGTCGCCATTTTCCTGAGCCGTGTTGTGCGAGCATTTTTTTCCGGATAGCTGCACACCAGCCGGCATGGCAGTGCATCGCATGTGTAACGCTAGTACTATCAAAGGCACACGGTTTCGAAGTTTTTCATTTACAAGGAGGAGAATAAGACAAAGGCAGTGCAAGTATGCGCACAGCTTACGATGAACACCTACGGTGTACTATTTACAGGCAACTTCGCTTATAACGACACTCGGCGGGGCATCAGAAAACTGTCCTTTTTCGCGAAGTGTCGTTATACCCGAAGTCTCATTATAATTATGTATTAAAGTTTGATGGGACTTTGCTCTGGGCATGGAAATTCTGTCGTTATTCGCGAATTGTCGTTATATCCGCAGTCGTTATTAGCGAATTTTCGTTATATCCGCAGTCGTTATTCGCGAATTGTCGTTATATCCGCAGTCGTTATTAGCGAATTTTCGTTATATCCGCAGTCGTTATTCGCAAATTGTCGTTATATCCGCAGTCGTTATTAGCGAATTTTCGTTATATCCGCAGTCGTTATTAGCGAATTGTCGTTATATCCTCAGTCGTTATTAGCGAATTGTCGTTATATCCGCAGTCGTTATTAGCGAATTGTCGTTATATCCGCAGTCGTTATTAGCGAATTGTCGTTATATCCGCAGTCGTTATTAGCGAATTGTCGTTATATCCGCAGTCGTTATTAGCGAATTGTCGTTATATCCGCAGTCGTTATTAGCGAATTGTCGTTATATCCGCAGTCGTTATTCGCGAATTGTCGTTATATCCGCAGTCGTTATTAGCGAATTTTCGTTATATCCGCAGTCGTTATTCGCAAATTGTCGTTATATCCGCAGTCGTTATTAGCGAATTTTCGTTATATCCGCAGTCGTTATTAGCGAATTGTCGTTATATCCTCAGTCGTTATTAGCGAATTGTCGTTATATCCGCAGTCGTTATTAGCGAATTGTCGTTATATCCGCAGTCGTTATTAGCGAATTGTCGTTATATCCGCAGTCGTTATTAGCGAATTGTCGTTATATCCGCAGTCGTTATTAGCGAATTGTCGTTATATCCGCAGTTGTTATTAGCCAAGTTGACTGTACGTGTATTCTCATTACGGGTGATAAAGTGCCTATACTACACGTCATGTAGTACTTGCCTGGCTTTCATGCAATGTCATGTCATGACAACTACTATCTGCTTGCAGAGTTCTTCCAGGGAGTGTACAAGTGCGAACATGGGAGCACAGTTTGAGTGCTTGCTCGAAGAAGCAGCCAGAAAACTGCTTGCGCTGCTCAGCTAATTCTTGGCAGAACAGTTTGTTTAGGTGAATGTAGGTAGAGAATGACCCCCCCCCCTCCCCTACCCGGACAAATTTGACATTACGACTGTCTTTATTAATTTTACAGTTCTCTGCATAGTAGGTCAAGGCAACGACGAGGTCAGACCTTCAACCTAGTACTAGGCTCTCTCGTGTACAACATTATCATCTTCTTTCCTTCATTTTTTTCTTCTCTTGCCATGGCTGGCTGACGCCCCCTCCTTTGCATTGGCTTCTGCCATTGGACGGTGAAATAATAATAATATGCCAGCCACGCATTGATGTGCTTTTGCCCATGTGTCTCTCAGGAGCAACAGAAGGTGCTGAGCCCTCGAGGTACGTGTAATTCATCTTGCTAATGTTTTCATGCCGCGGCATACAATTGGTTTTGCCCAACCAGGCCGTGCACCAGCAGCCAATTTCTTTCGGACATGGCCTGGGTGACATATGCATCGTTCTGCGCACCCCAACACAACCTGGCGACACAAGTCTTACAGCAAGTTTCAGAACAATGTGATTTTTTAAAACTGGAAATTAATAGCGTCTATCTTCCGATTGTAATAAGCTCCAGGAAATCACTTCAGCGATGAGTGTGTAAAGGGTTCATAATGTAAAATTGGAATTCATCCGTTGTTTTTAGCTATGCTTCCTTGCGCTGTTGGACAGTTGTGACCTCTTTGCTTCAATAAATCCATAGTTACGAAACTGGCTGTACATACATATTCCGTTTGCTTAGTCAAAGTTGTTTCGGCCAACACCCGAAATCTGTGGACTTATATCGTATACCGGTATTCAAACTGAGCAAGACTCAAATCTCCTTTTGTTGTTCAAAGTCTTTCGTGCGTGAATTTGTGGGATCTTTTCTCTGTCTGTCGCTATGCGTGTTTCTTTGTGCGCACTTATGTGCGTCTACGTCTGTCTGTTTGTCTGTCTGTGCACTTTGTAGGACCAGTGTTGTCAGCTGAGATTGATTACAGCGATGACGTACAGAACTTGGTTGTGTCTCCCAGTATCATTGACTGCAACGCGGCATCCGCAGTTCAATCCGGTTCGCTTGTTTTGTCAAATCAAACAGAAGTACGCTCACCACGTTCCGAGGTACTGTCCACCCAGGTCAGTGGCACATAAATATACTCTCTGAAGCTGTGTTCACAACTGGTGCGTGCACGCGTTTCTCCATGTTGTTGCTGGCTTTTTGGGCGTTATGCATATGGAAATGACCCGAAATTGAAACTCCAACATGTTGTAATTTCAGCGTGTATCCGGCACATACCATCGTACATACCAGTCACTTTGACTTGCGGGGTCAACAGATTAGTGCTCAAAGGTGTCACACACCCTGAATATTACTCAAATTTCTGGTTTTTGTGAAAGCCTGAACGCGCATTTGAGCACACATGAACCGCAAGCGTACCATGTCCACACGCCAGTTGTGAACACAGCTTTAGTGTAGGAGATTTGCTTTGTTAAAAACCCTTTCACAGCTAAGGATTTGAATTAAGTCCTTGAGAATGAAATGAGTCCACAGAGGGCTTATTTTTTATACCGTAAAGTCCGCTGCAAACACCCATATACGCCTACCCAAGCTGGTTCTCACTATCTTGACGAGGGAGGCCATTTTGTTGTCTTTCTCAGGTAAATTTTAAAAGTTGTACCAAGACATTTGCCATAAAAGCTGAATGAGTACGAGAACAACTGCACGCCTGCAAACTGCCCATGTCTTACCAGAAAGTCCTGCTCAAGCAATTGTCATTGACCTGCATCCAAGAAAATACAGTATGACTACAGTCGAGATTTCTTTTCGTCCGATAAACGACTCGTCTTTGAATCAGCTCATTCGTCAGGTCAAAACGGCGTAGAATCTACAACATGGAATTCACATGCAGTGCTGTGAAGTCGCAAGCCGTGAAGTTTGAATGCAATGGTGATTCACCAAAGATAGGATGGTTCTACGAAGCATCAGCGATTTGTCCGTTGGCAGTCGCAAGGAGAACAGGGAGAACGACACGATAGGGAAGCTGAAAAGAGCGTCGGCAGAAGCGACAGCTTTGGATTCACTGCTTGCTTGTTTACAACACTTAAGTGCTCAAGACAACCATAGTCCTTGTTTGTTGCGTGGGTGAGAAACAAATGATGGCTTGGAGTTCTTCAGATATTGAAGTATTTTGTTCATAGTTTACTGTGTAGCTATTGCGAGGAAGACATTTTTGAAAGCCAGTAGAACGGACATAGTTGACCAATGAAAAGCGCCCCTAGTGCTACAGTGTTAGTTGCACTTTCAAGTTAATCGTATACTATACCGGTCACAGTTCATGGTGTCAGTGCGTCCAGGCCTGTACATGTTGCACAGGGATGGTGGGCATTTACAGCGGACTTTATGGTACTTGCGTTCTGAGTGTATGTCACACATTGGTGCAAATTTTCTGCAAACCATAATATTATTATGTTTAAAAAAACCGAAGCTATCGGAACTTACCTTCATCATTTTGCGAGAACTGTGGCAATACGCCCAGTGAGAAGGCAGATTTTGCCTGTGCTTCTGGTGAAGTAAAATAAAGCTAAACAAACAAACAAACAAACAACTCCGCTAATACTTATTTGATTTTGATTAGGGATGAAACAGCCGGCCTAAATTGATCAACCACTTGATTCAACGCTATTGACTGATTTATAATTATTGTCAGCATTTTCACGTTGATACCCGTGATAGCTGACGGCCTGGGTGACTGGTCACTCAACGTTAACAGCAGCAAAACAGAGTGGCTTCACATCTCTGCCTCCACCACCGAATGGCGAAGATCGAAGCAACTTGGCTCTCTCTTGGGAGAAGAGGAGGACTTGAGCCGACGAATGGACCAAGCATCAACATCGTATGGCCGCATGTATTCGCTCTGGATACGACGTCAACTTGTATCCGAGGAAACCAGGCTTCGTCTCTACAATGCCATCGTCCTACCAACACTGTTATACAACTGCGAAACCTGGGGACTGACAGAGGCTGCACTGGAGAAGCTGAACGCCTTCCATAGACGTCAACTACGGAACTTGTTCGGAATTAGGTATCCCGCCATCATCTCCAACAAAGACCTATATTCCAGAGCACACACACAGCCACTTTCGCACACCGTTGCTGTCCGCCGTTTCCGGATGTTGGGTCATGTTCTGAGGATGCCCTCAGATGCCCCGCCACAGCAGGCAATGGACAACTACTTCCGTCGAGATGTCACCGGTGTGCGTGGACGCCCGAAATCGAACCTGGCCACGGCAGTCAAGGCAAGCACAGCTGCCAGAGACATGCCACTGAAGACCATGACTGATCTGAGTGGGCTCAGAATGCGCGCTTTGGACAAGCAATCATGGAGGGAACTCTCAGCCTGAGCTGGTTTTGCTCGCGGCTGCAACGCACGGGGTAGTGAACCCAGGACAGAAGCGGACCAGGCATCATGACTTTGCACATCTATCGTTATGCTGCTTCATTACGCGACCTGTTTTATTATTATTATTATTATTATTATTTTCACGTTGGCATCACCAAGCAACGTTGGCTAGCCTACGCTTAAGCCAAATAGAATCAAGAAATTAGGAACGAGCTGACCATCGCATGGCCCTCATGCATGACACACAAACCCAGCTCATTATACCTGCACATACTTATTCGCCCACCCATACACCAGCCACAGAAGCGCATTGTAGGTTTCATTGTTCAAACAGGCCCGCGTCGTACTCGTTTTTCACCATTCTTGTACTCGACTGTATGTGAAAGCAAAATGGATTCATGTATATAAAAGTCTGCTTCACAGTGCATGGTCTGATTTGGCAGGACTCAGACTCTTGAAGTGTATGAACTACATACCTCGGGGTATTTAAACAGGAATTTTTTAAACAATTGCGCGAGTTGATAAAGGTTTTCATCAATCGACACAACATTATCGGCTAGCCAGTCGACGTATGGAATCAGTCGCTTCGTTTCTGATGAATTATATGAATATGTTGCCCGCGCCTCCTCCCCCCCCCCCCCCCCGAAAGGCAAGAGCTGGGCGTGAGATGATTGATGTATGTCTTTAGTGGGTTTCTTCTTCCTTGGGTTGTTCTCTGTGCCGCCAGGCTCTGTCCTGTGATAGCCCAAATGATTCTGATCTCGCGGCGGTAGTGGACAAGCTTGAAGAAATCTCCCTGGCCTCAGCCGATGTCCAGGTTGAAGATGTAGCTCCTGATGAGAGCCCTGAATACCGATATGTGTCGGAGGTGAGTTTGAAGACGTCTAGCATTCTCTCCTTCTAGCGCGAGAATAGCTACTGGCAGCCTTGTGCTCAGACTGATTCTAAGTAATAAGTTATGGTGCGCGCGTGGTGCCTTGATTTTCCCTCTCCCCTTTTCACTTTCTTCTAATCTGTTCCTGTTTTTTGCTTGTGCTGGTGCTGGTGCGATTCACATGTAGATGTTGTTGGCTGCTGAAACATCCCCGGCTAGATACACTATGGTATACACTATACATTTATATTCATAAGTTTACATAAGTATACATGCATCTTATGAATTATTGCACTCCAGAATCTAGGCTTTGTGCCTAATACCTGTTCTCAGCGCCTAGAATTCAGTGTAGTTGGATACATGTATTTTGTGTGCTGGATAGGAGCTGTCCTATCAGTTTGAGGGAAGAGTGTGCCTAGTATTTGTGAACGGTTTCTCTTTTTTTTGTCCCAAGACTGATACGGAGCAGATACCCATTCGCCATGAAGGTGCAGTGCTTTTCATGGAAGGAGGAAAAGTTGAGTTTCTTGCCGGGACAGTGAGTGAAACCCTGCACATATCGCCACCTGTCCACATGATGTTCCAAGGCACGCTACCAAGTGAACATGGTGATGGAGTTACGCTACATAGTGTAAGTGTGAGCTGAGCTTAAAATTCATCAAAGAGAGCACACGCATCAACAATTTCAGTGTGATTGTTTTTATTGTCTCTGTTTGCATAAGTTCGGACGTGTGATGTAAAATTAGGTATCCCAGCGATTTTCAAAATGCCAATATTTGCAGAAAACCGAACCGATATCGTTTTTTTAGTCACCCGTGATCTAAGTGAAAGGTCTTCTTGCGCTATCGCTTGGAAAGCGCCTTCTTCTTGGTTGCTTCACTATAATTTGTCGTCGCTGCCCTCCTAGTTTGTCCGCCAGGCACTTGGAACGCTCAGGTAGACGTTTTCACCCGCCACAGAGGCGTTTGCGCTCTTGGTAGCGCCTGCAGAATCATGTGCGCCAAATCCAGCTTCCATCCAGCTGCCGTGTTCCCAATCGTACGATTATAAATTCCGCCCGAAAAATTCCCTGCTGTGCAGTTTATTATATTTTTTTCCGAATTGAAGTTTAGGCCGAGTTTCAGCCGAGTCCTTGATGTAAATGCTGTCAGAGAAGCCTCTAAAAAGAAAACTTGATTGATCAGGAATTGAAAAACACTGATGATACACTGATGTGTTATTCAGCAACAGCAGCAACGTGAGCTGCTGGAACTTCCGGTTGAACGCCGTCGATGTTCTGTGTTCACAAGTGTGAGCAAATGATCTTTGCCATGGTGCACTAGTTGCGCTTAGAAAGTATGTTGTGCGTGTTTCTGGTCTTAGATCTTGACACGGAATCTCTTGTTTGGTCCGATGTCTTCATTTCAATTCTGTTGATATGCTCAGGTGATGGCGTTTGGATCGCATGAAGCTAAATTTCGAAGACCAGTGCAGGTGGAAATTGATGTACCTCATATTGCTGAGACTGATCAGGTAGGTTAACCCTTTTAGTGTTACTACGTTTACCACCGTATTTTCGGGAGTATAGGCCACACCCAATGTTTTGGTCATGAAATGCAAACATCTACCTAGCTTATCTGCGTTAATTTGACCATCGTAGTATAAGGCACAGCGACTAATTGCTGGTGAATTGCTGGTGTTCAAAGTACGGCTTATACTCCGGAAAATATGATACATGTGTGACCAGCATGCTTTGTTTGTAGTACACGTAATGTTGATATTGGTTACTGAGAACATTGCCATTTCACTTACCAGTAACAGATTATCATCGTCCCAGTCTCTCTGTAGAGCTGATAATCTGTCTATTCGTATTGTTCAGTGCTCGGTAGGCACAAGAGAACGTCGCAACCTGCGCAGTCCGCGCGCGGTCCGCACACCGCCCGCGCGGACCCAGCGCACACAGAGCACATCTTCCAAAAGAGGACCGACCTCACAGAGGTCACGGACAACACAAACACTTCGAAAGCCACTGTAGCACGGTTCCACACTCAGAGACAATTTCGTTTGATTCGTAGCTCATGATCAACGTACAGCAACAATTCAAACAAAGCAGCGTGTTGTCTACACTAGTTACCCCTGCAAGTGTAGGGTGTGCATAGGTAACTGTCTTTGCCGTTTTATGCCAATGTACTCTGTGTGGTGTAGACCAGGTGTGCATTGGTGGTCGATTCACATGGCTTCGCCAGTTGTGTGGATTAGACAATTATCTGGCGCAAATCTTAATCTGTCTCATTCAGATCTTGTTCGCTATCGTTGCTATAAGAGGAAATCTGTGGGTGCACATCCAGTGCATGCATTTGCAGATTTGCGTGCTTCTCTTGCGACAGGCGTAACATATACATGGTACATGGTACATGGTACATGGTGTGTGTGTGTGTGACACTGTGTCTGTGTGTTTCATTACAGTGGTTTTGAGGACATGTGTGTATGGGTGTATTTGCGTTCACATGCGCATGTGTGTGTGTGTGTGTGTGTTTGTTTTTGTGTGTGTTTGAGAGAGAGCGTTTGTGTGTGTGCATGTGTACGCACATACTTCCTCCGGAACCAAAAATTTCGTGACTTTTTTTCAATACTTTTCGCTACTGTCATTTCGCTCTCTCTCTCTCTCTGCTTCTGCCAGCCAGAAACACTGACATGACATTTCGGAATTGTACGAAAGCATGATTCATATTTTGGTGAGCCGACAGTCGTCGCAGAGCAAGGGTGTCGACGCTGCAAACAAAGCAAAGCGAACATGTTTTCATTGTTCGTCCATTAGGCGCAATGGGGAGAAAAGCACTGCGCGCACTGCTCGTCGTAGCTATTTTTTAGTTCAGAACTTGAGAGAGCAGCACAGTGGCACTGAGGAGCAAGAAGTGTGGAAAATGAATCGCAATAGCAGCTAGCGTTTTGAAATCTTCGCCATCCCTGCATGCGAACAGGTCGGCACGATGTCAAAACTCCAAAACGCAGAGATGTGACAATCGTCACTTCGCGCAGCAGAGCAAGATGAACAAGTTCAAAATAGAAGTCGTTCAGTCCCTGTAGAGCCCAGACCTCAACGTGGATGATCTCGCCTTTTCCAGAAGCCTCGATGATGTGTCCTTGGCAAAGGAGAAGGCGAGATCTGATCGCGGCAGTCGGGAAGTGCTGGTACGACTATGATATCCCTCGGAGGAAATTTGAAATGTTTGGCGTTGCCTGTGTTTGTTGTTCCGGGGCATCCTCGGGCGAGAGGGGAGACGGCAATGAGTACCAGCGCTGCAGCGCTGCCGTGGTCTCCGCCGAGATGTTGGAGAAGGCACTCGGGTAACAGCGAAGATGATCAGGGACGCGGAGAAGCTTCTCCGTGACATACAACATCGCGTCGATCGACCTGCCAATTGGAACGATTTCAGCGGTGATGAGTCGAGCGATGGCGACCAAGACTGAGACTCTACTCCCACTAATCAATCCTGTATATCTTGTAGATATGTCGATTGAATGTGTTGAAGTGTTTCTCTTCCAAAAGAACACTTTTGTTGGGCACAGTAACTCCTTGAAAAGTCATGTCAAAAAGTCACGAAGTTTTTGTTTCCGGAGGAAGTACGTACATATGTTGGCACATTTGTGCTTGTTCATGTTGCCTACAATATACTCTGTTGTATTGTGCCTTCATTTGATAGATCTATCTTGTTCATTTTCCTGGCAAAACATCAGAGTCAGCTGAAGATAGTGGTTCTGGTGAAAGTACACAGCTACCCACGTCGCGTAAGTGCTGCACCGTGGTTCATGTAGGCAACTCAACGTGGACAATGACCAAGTTACCTGACGGCGAACCTTTCGAAACACCAGCCAAGCAGGTCGACCGGAATGCCACCTTGGACAGACCTGAAGAAGACGAATGCCCGTATTCAGGTATAACTGTGGACTATCAACAGAAGAAGATCTGTTACAGCAAGAAGCACTTCTGCCATGATGGTGAGTATTGCCTATTGTTTTCAATGGACATGTCGTGGCCTGGTTTGTGACAAAGATTGATCAGTCTAGTGGCTACACGGGTAGACGACCGATATAGTCGCCATCCAAGTTAGCTAGTTCAGACAGAACCACAGGTTTCCACTTCAAACAATATTTATTGGAAACATTGCAAGCTAGATCAAAAGATCAAGCGTGACTAGTCAGAGACCCAGAGAGTGAGAGAGTAGTGCTTCACCAAGAATGAGAGAATGAACTCCCCGAGAATCGAGGATGAAGGCTTGCATAAAGGCCCCTTATATACAATTGTACATAATGTGATCAAGTAGCTGATCACACCCCCTGCCCAGTTCCCCCATGGCTTACCCTTGTCCTGCCTGGTGGTCTCTCCGCCTAAGGACATCGAGGACATGAAGGGTAGTGAGCAGCTGATCACACCCCCTACCCAGTTCCCCCATGGCTTACCCTTGTCCTGCCTGGTGGTCTCTCCGCCTAAGGACATCGAGGACATGAAGGGTAGTGAGCAGCTGATCACACCCCCTGCCCAGTTCCCCCATGGCTTACCCTTGTCCTGCCTGGTGGTCTCTCTGCCTAAGGACATCGAGGACATGAAGGATAGTGAGCAGCTGATCACACCCCCTGCCCAGTTCCCCCATGGCTTACCCTTGTCCTGCCTGGTGGTCTCTCCGCCTAAGGACATCGAGGACATGAAGGGTAGTGAGCAGCTGATCACACCCCCTACCCAGTTCCCCCATGGCTTACCCTTGTCCTGCCTGGTGGTCTCTCCGCCTAAGGACATCGAGGACATGAAGGGTAGTGAGCAGCTGATCACACCCCCTGCCCAGTTCCCCCATGGCTTACCCTTGTCCTGCCTGGTGGTCTCTCTGCCTAAGGACATCGAGGACATGAAGGATAGTGAGCAGCTGATCACACCCCCTGCCCAGTTCCCCCATGGCTTACCCTTGTCCTGCCTGGTGGTCTCTCCGCCTAAGGACATCGAGGACATGAAGGGTAGTGAGCAGCTGATCACACCCCCTGCCCAGTTCCCCCATGGTTTACCCTTGTCCTGCCTGGTGGTCTCTCCGCCTCTGCACGCTCCATGCGTAGTTCGCGCCTGCTGCGCATGCCCATCCAGTGATGTAATTATTACCACTCGCTCTTCCCATGCATACCCTGCATTGATAACTCACACCTCCTCTACATGCCCATGCGTATCCCCCACAATAAGAACACGCTATCCCGCGACAAAAGCATTAGTTGTCTGATGATTGCCTTAGCATTTAGCTACGTGCATGAAACGCAGCGTTACAACGTATGTTTCTATAATTGGTGAAACCATTCTTTTTGACCTTTGTGGTTACGCTCCGCCCCTGTGGTGTTGAGCACTGTTGAAACCTGGGTATACCCACTTATGTGATGTGATCAAGTAGGTAACAACGGCAATGCTGCTTCCTCTGCGTCATCAAAATTGTCGCAGTTTGACTAGTGACTTGTCACTTGTTACTAACAACTCCATATGCTAAACTATACGAAAATACTTACACATGATCATAGTCTGAAGTCTAGAGTAACGTTCCAGGACAGTTGGACTGAGAGTTTCACGCGGAGCTGAAGGCCTCGTCGCTGATGTCAATGGACGAAAAAATATTGTTCCGCAAAATTTTCCAGGAAGGTTGTAAGGTGGTCGCGCCTCATCTCGAACGCTTTGACTTTCTCCACAGGACAAGAGCTGCTATGCTTGTTGTCTGCAAGCTCCGGATTATTTCTACTTCACCACCAACGCAGTACGAGTATGTTGGGCTAATAATGCACGGTTGTTGAGATGGCGGTTGATTACCATCCGCGGAATAACCTCGATCTTGAAATGACCTTTTTTTAGCCGTGGCACGCCCATTCATGTTAGCTGTGTGGCCGCAGCTCATGCAGGTGACTGGTAAGTGTACTATCATGTCGAGCGCACCCTCTTTTTCAGCATCACTGGTCTACGGTAGCTGCGCGTGCACCACTAGCACTACACGTGCATGGCTTTTGGTGTCCCAGCATTACTTGCATGAATGCAAGAGCGATACAATTTAATTTTATCGCTCTTGCATGCATTAGTTTTCTGACCCCTCGATGTTTTCTTCAAGCGCTGCCGCTTGTTCCACGAAGTCATTCTCCCCCCCCCCCCCCCCCAGCTCAGGTAAAACAGGGATGAGTTTTTGAGGGAATGGCCATAAGCAAAAGAAATGTTCAGGCGGTAACGGCTGACTGATCTCAGCATGCAGCTAGTCGAAAGTACCATCGTAGCGACATCAGCGAAGAAATTGCGTCCAGTTCAAAATTTCAAAATAGAACTTTGCAGTCGCCCAATACTGATGACTATCGTCTGTGTCCGATTCCTTACCTGTGGTACGACTGCTAGTGAGAAAATAGCCCATTTATATCAATAGTCAAACTGTGACAATTTCGATGACGCGGAGGAAGTACATTTCAAACAGTGGCGCAATCAGCCAATTTGGATACATAGTACAATGAACATTACAGGGAGCCCGCCAGCGCCCACCTAAATGTGAACATCAATCATCTCCATATTATGCTGGTTTTGGTGCGGTGGGCTGGGTTGCATTGCGCAGGCAGGTAGAGTAGCTAGCTGTTTTGCTCCTGTATCTTCGTTGTAGCTTTGCCCAATATGGGCTCTTCTCCCAAACATGCACAGACAACAGAGCCACTTTCCCTCCGAAAGGGTACGGCGTTCACAACACGAAACTGTGAACTCTTTATGCGTTATCAAGTGAACCTGTGTGTCTGTATAGTGTATGTACATGTACGTGCATGCATGTGTGTACCTGTAAGCTTTGTTGCAGCGAACCTGTTTGTCTGTTTGGTGTGCGTACATGTACGTGCATGCGTATGCATGTGACTTCTTGCTGCGAACATGATTGTGTGTCTCCGTCTCTTGCGTCTAGTCGTCTACACATGCGGAGAAGAGCTGAGCCCGGAGCAAATCAGGATGCTGCCGTGCACGGACAAGATCAAGGCCTGCCGCGTGTGGGTCTACGGCGAGAAGACGGAAGACAGAGATCCAGCGCACCTGCACATCAAGGCCATTCCTGCCTACGGACCATTCCTGGCACCGCCTCCGAAGGTGCTGTCGCCGCCAGATAGAATGTCCGAGCTGGCGTGCTCGCGGAATTATTTCCTGCTCAAAGAAGGTGATTCGATCTCGTACAAGTTCACGGTGCGCCCGGGAAGGGACTGGCAACCCGCCTGTGTGGAAAATCCGCCAACATTCTACAAGATTGAGTCATCTGCTTGTTTCGAGTCTCGCGAGGGCACTGGATGGAGTGGTAGTTATGGACCGCAAGGCAATATTGAATGCCGCTGCTGTACCGACCAAGGAAACATGGGAAATGTCCTAAATGGCAAGCAGAATGGCGCTGGAGCAGAATCGGGTACGGACGACAAGCTGAAGGTCGTCAAGTGCCACGCCATTCCGATAACATTCACATACCGGAGGTCTCTACCCGGAGGTAAGCAAGATGCAGTGTGTGTGTGTGTGTGTGTGTGTGCGTGTGTGTGTGTGTGTGTGTGTGTGTGTATGTGTGTGTGTATGTGTGTGTGTATGTGTGTGCGTGCGTGTGTTCGTACGTGCGTGTGTGTGTATATGTGTGTTTATCACTCTCTTATTATTGACCCCCACAGAAACTTGTGAGCTCTAAGCGGTCAAATATCAGCATGTATTGACCGCTTATATTGACCACTTATTATTGACCACTTAGCCCGAGGACTTAGAACTTTTTCCTCAACTTAGAAAAAAATTAGAACTGAAAGAAGAAAATTCTGAAGCCAAACGTTGGGATTCAAACCCAAACTGTCAGATTCTCAGTCAAAGAACTTGGGGAACATACTACAAGTGACAACTGAAAACTTCTGTTTATAGAGAAGTAAGGTCCAATGTAAACGGCATATGTACATACGATGTACTATTACAATAGTATTCCTTTCTTCCTATAAACACTGCTAAAAACAGTTTAGGTATGCTATGTCGTGATAAATCTATTATTGCCATCATAATCGGTCAATATATGAAATATAGACCTCGTAAAAGACCTCGGGGGACCTCGGTCTTTTACTCGTTCTATATTTCATATATTGACCTCTTTAATCGTGCACTAATAGATACTTATACCTGACTCCATATACACTTACAGTCTTAGGCATGCTCTTCCTTAGTAGTGTATTATTATATCTCCATCGTCAGGCGAAATTACTGGTCAGTCGGCGACACGCATTTTTCACAAAAATTTGCGTTTCACCTGCTGGGAGAGTATGCGTGTACTCGAGTCCCATCCTGAGCACGCTTTTTTCTTCTTTTTTCAGCTCCAGTATAGCTGTATTTTTCATTGCAAAGCCGTCCTCGATTGTTGTGTTCGTTGTTCAAACGAAGTGGACATTCAATCATGAAGGCAGAGGACATAGGAGCCTGATTGGAGTTTCTCGTGGCATAGGACGGCCACACAGAGACACTTAGGGATTTTCTGAATATAAAATACCGTACGCACGATGCTGAGATCAATTTTGCGATATCAAATTGTTTGTGATCTACTACATCGAGTAGAACGGGATCCAAACACAAGCTTACCGACGGTTAGGCTGCCGACCTGACGGGACAAAATGATCCCTGGCTTCACCAGACGCCAGAAGTCGGACACCATGTCCATCTCCAAAAAGAACTCCATCTTCGTCGTGAAAAGGCTTGAAATACTCAATATTCAACCGAGATTCGCGGTCTCACCCTTTCTCAGATTGAATCATTTTTTGTTGTAGCAGTTGCAGGGCAGTTCCCCGCCACTACTTCAACAGAAGATGGCTCCAAAGCATGCCTGGAACAAGCCATATCGAGGTTGCAAGCCACCCCTCTCAGCAAGAAATTCGAAATTTCAATGGTGGAAGATATACTATGAAGAGAATTTCAAAAAGTATGTTTCGCGGAGCGATCGCTCAACCTACGTCATTCAAACTTTGCAGGATGGTTCAGACGTACATGCTAGGCATGGAACCACAGAAGATGATTATCATAGCTGACACACAGAGTGACACACACAGCAGATTCGTGTGCACAGATACTAATTATTAGTGGTCGTCGTCATGTTCTTCCCGCTGATCTCAAATGTACTATGACGTGCTATTTCGCCTGACGATACACCGCTAAGGGAAATTAGCAGTAGTTGTCGGCGAGGAACAAGCCATTAGGTGGTCACACACGGTGAATATGGAGAGGTACAAATATATCATAACAAAGGGACGTCGTGTATATCGAGATATATACACCAGTTATAAAAACCTCGGCTTTGCCTCGGTTTTCATACTGGTGTATATATCTCTATATACACTCGGTTCCTTGTTATAATATTTACATAATATATGTGTGTATGTTTATGTGTGTATGTATGTGTATGTGTGTATGTGTGTGTGTGTGTTATTATTATTATTATGTGTGTGTGTGTGTACGTGTGTGTGTGTACATGTGTGTATATGTGTACGTGTGTACGTGTGTGTATATGTGTGTGCATGTACATGTGTGGGGGGGGGCGTGCGTGCATGCGAGCGAGCAAGCATGCGTGTGTGTTTGTCCCATATTGTGCAGTGGTATGTGCAGCGATTTCTAATCGAGAGGTTGCGGGTTCGATTCCCGACAATTATGGTCACACACGTCTTTCTTCTCTTTCTCAGACTCCTCCTGACTTTTCTTTCATTCTCCTGGGTGGTTACCAACAGCCAGTGCATGCCGGAGTATGTGGTGTGGTGTGTGTGCGGAAAAAAGATGAAAAAGACCCACTGGGCTGAAAAAGCCACTTCATAGCTGTGTGGTGTAGACCAGGCTGAATAGTGGCGGTCAATTTGTCAGCCTTGCAAGCTGTTGAATGGTGCAATCCCAGCACAAGTTGCTATGGCTTCTGCTGTAGCATCGCTATCATCGCCTCTGGCGATGGGTGTCAAATGGTTGTCAAATGCTGTAGCATCGTCATCATCGCCTCCGGTGATGGGCGTCAAAAGGTCAAAGGTGTGTTTGCGCGCATGTTTGTGTGGGTGTGGCGTAATAGGTGAGAATCGATTCTGGTGCACAGCACCATGTCGATATCCAGCTAGGTTGAGTTGTAAATTGGGTGGATGTCCGGCAGGTTGCTTGTGGAAAAGGCATTGCACGACATGCACAGATAACGGAAATCCCATAAATATCGTTTTCCCCATTTAGACACCATCCTACATGGACCGTGGAAAATACAACTTTCCAGTAGCTCATTCAGAGCGGCCATTGTCCATCTGGAACCAGTGGCATCTGGTTCCAGATAACAACAGCCTGGGCAGGTGGAACATGAAACAACGTGGATTTCGCTACCGAGCTACCCATTTCAGTCGCCATGCATGGCCTTGGGGCAGGGTGGATGTTCATTGCATGATTAAGATTATTATCTCCACGTCGCCTTTTTACAAGGCAGTTTTAAAATGAGTTAATGCACATTAATTTTATTCATTTCGGTTCTCATATTCACACAATGAACAAAGCTGGCTTAATTGCTAATTATGCATTCCCATAGTGATCCAGGTTCATGGTTCACATTATGAATAGCTCTGTGAGCAAGAGAAACTCGAACAATGGACCACCATTGATTGCCGTACTTTCGTGAACCAATGCGCATGTGCTTATCGCTGGTTTGGCAGAACCTGCATGGGCCTTCGGTTAGAACTTCTGTGGCATCAGTTGTTCATATCAATGTCAGTGTGTCAGCTGGTAAAGTGTGTACAAGACTCTCCGTGCTAGCTGGAAATGAGTGAGTGCTTGTCATTCATATTCTAACGTGGCTAAAGCATGTTTGCTTCTGCGGGAGGGAGTACAGTGCACTGTATGTTTGTGCCATTTTCAATTGTCTTGTCTTCTCAAACGTGGAAGGTGTTTTGTGTTTACTGCTGTAGTGCCTGACGAAGGACCCCCCCGCCTGCCAATCTCCGAAGCATCTGCTGCGACGAGACTCTCTAACGGACGGGCTACTACTACTATCCCCGACGACATGCTCGGTGAGTGCCTCAAGTATGCACCACCCATTGTACATGGCAATGTTGCAAGGGTCTTTGATCTTTCACTGCTGATCCCGTACTATTACGGGATTCTTGATGACGCCCAGGCTCTGAACGTTTTGGTGCCTCATTTACATGGCCACTGATGCTGCCGCGAAAAAGCAAACAATAATAATATGGCCACACCGAAAACGTCTTTTGTTTGGGGTAACATGGCCAGGAAAATACCAGTCGGTCGGTCAGCTTTCATTTTTTGCTGATATTTTTTTATGCATGCCAGATCTGGTATGCACATGTGTACAATACACAGCCCGGATACAAAATGTGTGGTCGATAAGGCAGGCGTTCTAGTACATATACATATACATAGCATTCTCAATCAAAGCTTCAGCAGATCGCCAGGAACTGTCAAACTGGCCGGTGGTCACACTCAGACACCGAGCAGAGAAGAGCTCTGAGATGTTGCACATCAACACACCGTTCAGCGATCGTTGCAGGCCAGGAACTACGGCTTCCTGTTGCTCCAACGTAAAGAAAAGAATCGGCGTCCGAACTCCAAATGAAGTTCAACATTATTTTATGGGCTCCCTGGAAAGGTCTCTGCGGGAGGAAGAGAATGAGGTTAACCATGATAGCCAGGACACTTTATCTCCAGCGCTTAAGAGCAGTGGCGGTACGAAAATGCATCCAAATGCGTCCTGCTCCAGGCATTTCAATTTCTTAGTTTCACGTTGGAATGCGTCGTTTTTGATTCATTAAAGTATGGGGCGGTTTTCTACCGATTATACAGACAAACTCCAAGAATATGTTTGCTCTTGTTTACTCCCGTGCAGACCCTTTCGAATCGGACGTGTTTGTCACCAGACTTCAGCCATGGATTAAGAAGCTGGATGCAACTGGACTTGCAGAGGAAATGCAGGTACTGGGAATGTTCACAATGAATCAGGTGACTCGACTCAATGCAATAGAGAAGAAGGATGGAGGACCAGCTCATAACGCGGAGTTGCTGAAGATGATTGTTGGTGAGGAACTCGACGGATTCGTGAAGCTATTCAAAGCAGTCAAGGCCATCACCAAGAACACTGGCAAGCTAGAACTGATGAAGTCACTCATTCCTGACGGATATATGTAAGAAGAGATGTCATAATAATTATTGTAGTTTTTTCATCCAGGATATTTTCGAATAGACTGGCTAAAACATGCGCTTATCATGATTCATGTTTATAATAACTGTACAAGTCTTGGTACAAGACTATCGACTGACACCGAATGCACGAACCCGCAGAACAACGAACGGGGCACCGTGCACGCCTGGACACTGCAGGCTGTTACAGCTGATACAATGGTGACCCGTTTCAATACCCTTCTTCACACGTGCACTGCAAGGCTACATGCCGCGAAGTTTCGAGAAATCTTTGGAGCTGCCACATCTGGCTTTAGGCAAGGCTTCTATTCTTCTATTCTTCTATTCTTCATTGTACATAACTAGTCCATCATGTTTACATGATGGTGGAGTTCAGTAGGATGTTGGAGTTTTGTTCAGTAGGATGTTGGCGTTTTGTTCAGTAGGATGTTGGCGTTTTGTTCAGTAGGATGTTGGCGTTTCGGTTTGTCACAATTCGCCGTCGCGTTGCTTCCCCTTTCTATGTTTATTACATTAACGTTAGCCTCCCAAGTTGGGTGGTCTGTTGATTTGCGTCGTCGAGTTGTAGTGAAGCCGGTATGTCCAATAGTCTTACTAGTTTTGTCATTATCCAGTAGCTTTCGGCATTCGTTGTCGCCGTGACGCGTGGCTTGTGCTCTTCTTCATTGCGCTTTCCTTCCCCTCTTGGACCTTTCCGAACCTGAGCCTTCCAAGTTGGAAGGTTGTTGGTTTGCGCCTTGGAGAAGTGTTGGAGCTAAGTGTCAGATCGCTAAACGTCTCAGTACTCCTTGTCAGTTTTGTGACATTTTGTCGCACTCGCTGACTGTACAATTATGATAATATGGTTGCGTTGGTGGACAATTAGTCATACTTGTAATTCGTACATGTTGTCATTCTTCTTTTTTACCATATTTGTAGTGTGGCAACAACATACACTAATATACAGTCAAAGTACATAACATTAATATGGGTTGTTGTCTCAACTTGTTGATGACCTACCTAACAGCGTAACTGTGAATGTAAGCTGCTTCTGTTCGCAGTAGATCGGTTTCTTTGTGTTAATCTATTGCTCTGTTTTGATTTCTCTACAGGGAGTGTGAGCAGTGAATACAATGGCGGACTCACCTAAGGTTAGACGGCCAACCGCCGTGCCTAGCTGCTGCAATTGCAGTTACGATATTCTCTTTATTCGCTGCTATGTACACTATTCGCAGCTATGCTTCATCTATCCAGTTGCAATGCTCGCCCATGAAGGAGGCGTTTTACGATTCCGTGATGGGTATTCATCTGTTTGCTTTGCAGTCCAAGACTGGTTGTGTAGCAACCTCACAGTCCGTCACCAATACACTGTGCGTGTACTTGAAACTGTGATTCTGCAGTTGCCATGGCAATAACATTGGTCACTACATTCACCTGAGTCGCATTGCAAACCTGTTGACAACCCGAAATATTTTTTACGTACAAGCGCACTTGATTCTTTGATCCTTTCCCGAGATGATATGCATACTTGATCCGGTAGACCTTTCCTCTTTGAGGTCGTTACCTTTCACTGTTTGAGACTGGCAGACTCAACTGAGCATCAATATGCCGTGTTCTATTTTCTGTATTCTTAGATATCTGCACTTCTCTCATAGCCCTCTAGGACATTTGGCTTCATCGTTGATGTGTGTACGCGCGTGTGAGTGTGTGCGTGCATGTGTGTGTGTGTGTGTGTGTGTGTGTGTGTGTGTGTGTGTGTGTGTGTACGCAGCAGCACTGCGGGAGTCGGTTTTCGACAGTGATGACTTCAGCATCGCCATCAAGCGCATTGTGTATGGAGTGACTGTCCTGGTGGTCCTTCTTTATGGATCTGAGAGTTGGACCGTCAGGCAGCGTGATGTCCGTCGCCTGGAGTCCTTTCACCTGCAGTGCGTCCGCTCCATCCTGAAGATAAATCGTGGCCGGCAGATCGAGGAGCACATCTCCTCTCTCCAGGTTCGCGGGATGTGGGGCGATATGGAGGAGATCGCGGATAAAGTCAGAGTCCGCCGACTTCGATGGCTTGGCCACGTGTCCCGCATGCAAGATCGGATCCCTCGTCAGCTGCTGTACGGCGCGTTACCCTCCAAACGTCCACCGCATGGACCCCGTAAGCGCTGGAAGGACTCCGCGAAGTGCGACTTGATGGCTGTTGGCGTTCCTCTGGAGCAGCTTGGTGACATCTTCCAAGATCGACAGAGATGGTGGGTCACCTGCCGTGACGCTGTCGACGCTATTGTCCAGTCCCGCATGGAGCCTGTGGCGAAGCCCCTCAGTTGTGGCACTTGTGCGCGCAGTTTTCGTCGGCCACAGGATTTTGCGAGGCACAAATGTAACGCTGTTCGCGCGGCCTGCGCGCACTGAGTATGGCGTTCCCCGCCCGGTGGACTACACGTCTCCTGGTCTGCCCCGTATGGGGCCACATAGCCAGTCATGGCAGTGGAAGAAGGAAGGAAGGAAGGTGTGTGTACGTGCACACACGCATATTAAGTGTGTGTATGCGTGTGTGTATGTGTGTGTGTGTGTGTGTGTATGTGTGTGTGTGTGTGTGTGTGTGTGTGTGTGTGTGTGTGTGTGTGTGCATGTGTGTGTGCGTATGTGTGTATGTTTGCCCGGCCCGCGCACGCATGTTTTAGAGAGAGAGAGAGAGAGGCTAGATTTCCCCAGCTATTTTGAGCTCCGTTTTTTTCTGTTTTTAAAGATCACAACACGTTGGAAAATGAATGTGCTCCCCCTCCACCCCCCACACACGCACTATGGTCCCTAAATTCCTGGCAGATTTGTATTTTTTTCTAATGCTTTCTGCTCGATACCAGACATTGTCTTGGACGCTATAGAATTAGCACTTCATGTCTTACTAGTATTAGTATTAGTAGTGACCGACAGACTCGGTGCCCAGACCTTACGGTGTTCTTGATCTTGTGTGTGCTTGTGTCTGACCATGGAGTAGTAAAATTCCGTTGTTTTACTACTCCCTGTCTGACTTTGCTTGACCTGCTTTTGGGCTGATTTACGGCATCCTGGGACCCATGGGAATTTCCAAGATTGTCCGTCTTGCCTCTTGGTCCCTTGGTTTTATCAGACCGTGTTTGGGTGCATGCCGAAAGCGGATCGGGTGAGAGTATTTCACGCATGCATTGACATCTCGGGACACGTTATGGGTAGCGAGTAGTACGGAGTTGTTATCAGGCAGCTCATCTCCCATGAGAATGATGTTGAAGACTCCGGTACTAGTACAGCACTTGACTGTGAGCCGAGAAGTCAACACCCCCCCCCCCCCCCCTCGCACATCTGACTGCAAAAAAACCATGGCACAGCTCACTATGGGTATGGGTCATCGTCACTCAACAGTTGAGTCGATTGAGCCACAGTGTAGCTAGCTGTACACCCGGTGCCCAGGCCAGAGGCGGGTTCACACCCCTGCAGCCTAGCCAGGGCAACTTCCCCATGTGTCAACCACCAAGGCCAAGATACAGTCCATGCAGCGATACTGGTCGCAATTAAAAAATCCTGATCACGGCTCCAGGCCGAATAGAAAATTTGGTTGAGATTATAGAGATTTGCAGCAAAGACTTTTTAAAAGAGACCGCTTGCTTTTGGTGATGATGACTGTAGTGTTTTCTGAAACTATAAAAAGAAAAGAAGAGAAGAGACTGGTACGTGGTATGTTCAGATTGTATGATTGAATATTAGCAGTTTAAAAAACGGCTGCAAAGTTTCACACTCGCACAGAGCTCTCCTTCTCACCGCCACCACCACCAATGCACCATCACTTCGCGCTCATGGCGCCTAGTCGATGCAAGGCTTGTGCGTTGTGGTGTTGACCAGGCACCAAGCACGGTCGGTGTTGGTGGTCACGAGAAGCAGGGAGTAGTACAGTCATGTACAATTATGTCAATAGTGCTTGAAACTGCTACGTCACAGCATAACAAAAATTCAAAAATTGGATCCACTAGGATCCAGTTTTTGTATGGATCCAAGGCTTCCAAGCACATTTCAAGCCGTCTTACCCACAGCAAGGTGATGTAACCAGTGAAACTGACTGATTTGGCTACTGGGGGCGGGGTTACAACTGTTGGCGAAGTAAAAGTCACCCCTGCATACGACATGAGTGGGTTGCTATGCACCCACATACTGAGGCAATAGCAAAGTCACACCTTAGTGGATCCAAAATAGAAATCGGATGTCAACTTACTACTCCCTGGTCGTTTTTGACGTCATCACTTTCAAGCCCTATACAGTATTTGTAGTACTAGTACTACTAGTACAGACAGTGCTGGCAACTGAAATGGGCGGCGCGCCGCGCCGCCCAGGGGGTAGGATTTCAGTTGCCAGCACTGACTGGAGTCTGTAGAGTTTAAAGGGGAAGTTAAGGCAAAAATTAAAATTTCACCAGTTGTAGTCTTCGGGGTGCTGAGTCGAATGGTCTTGGTGACTTGGTCCGAGGAAGCTGAGACGCTCCCAATCGGTCAGCCATCTGAAGTACAATTCACTTGTGTGGGAGGGATGGCTGAGCGGAAATTTTGGGAAATTAGAGCCCAAACCAGTGCATTTTATTGATTCACAGGGTACTTGGGGCAAATCGCAGTACGGTCAATACCGTAGGGACCGTACCGTGTCCGACGCCCCTGGAAGGATAACTTCAGATAGCTTTGTAGCTTACAGCCATTATAATAAAGCGTGTGTGGGCAGGCGTGTCTCTCACCGTCATTCCGGCAGGCGCGTCTTAAATTGCACGATCATTGTTCAACCAGCTAGCTGAGTCGCAGCGTGCAGCCCATCTTGAAATCACAGCCGACTCCAAATGGCAACACGCAGGGTCCGGCCACAGCACGTTGGCCAAGACCTGAACAGTGGCCATATGCAAGTCCAATCTCCTCTAAAATCTTTGATAGCTCTTCTCGTCTTTCCCATGTTCTCCTCCACCGAGTTGGGTTTGTGACTTTGTGTATAGTTTACAAACTAACAAAGATATGCACATCACGCAGGGGCGTCGGACTCGCTACGGTCACTATGGTATTGACCGTACCACGCATTGCCGTACCACTGTGTGCACCTGGTACCCTGTGGATAAAAGGCACTGAGTTCGACTGTAAATTTCGACAATTTTCAGATGAGCCACCCCAATGCCTCAAGTATATTGTACTTCTTCCGGTGGCTACCCTACGAAAACACCTTCAGACTCCCCTGACATGCATACTGGCAGACTGCCCACGAGAATTGCCACCGCCATATGCACACCGACTGGTCCAAACACAACAGTCAGTGGAACGAAGACGGAAAACACGACAAGGATAACATTCTGTGTCTGTTGTTCACAACACGACAATGATCAACACTGCAAAGTCCTGCAGTCTGTGGGCGTACATCATCAATCTGCACAAATCAATCTGAACGAGATGAGAAAATTTCCGACGGACGACAGATGGATATGTACAGAAAAGCTGGATAATATCATATAAATTCTGAGAAGGTGATCATGTTACAAGTTAGTTGTGCCGGACAAAAAGACTTGGGGACGGTCGGCAAATGGGTGAAGGAAGACGGAGAATTCATTCCCAGTGATTCAGAGGAAGCGGATCAAGCAAGGCATATAACATGAAAATCATAAGTCGCACTATAGATATCGAACAAGTCGATCAGCATACCGGTGTCCTCTACAGAAACAGAATAGCGGGTTAAAGAACAACAAGATCAAGAATGTCCAAATGTAAAGGCACGATGCTACATGGCGAAATAGACAAAACCAAACGTAAATGCATACTACTTGAAGTACATGGACAGATAAGGATAGATCAAATATACAGCACGTTCTCTAGGGAGTAAGTTGCACGTACAGAAATCAGGCTATGTTACCTGACTTGGGTTGTGTGATAGATATTAGCACCAGGAATCTTCCGGACCGCATGGGACGAAAATGGAGGAGAGGCTTTGATATAGCATTCCAGGGGCGGCAGTGATATTTTTCAAACCTCTTGCCTCCGCTGCTGCTTTGCTTCGTTTCCCTCCAGCCATCCTGCGCCGGGTACAGCAATACCATAAATTTTGTGGATGCCATGGTGCCTCAGATCATTTCAGAGGAAGCGCACACAGCTGTTCCTAACAGACGCGTACATCAGCTCGAGGAGATGGACTGCAGATGGTGTACATTGCCGCGGCTGGACGAGGACAGATGCGACGCTCGTGCCGCGGCAGATGATCGATCAGCAGACATCCCAGTCAGGTGGCGTTGAGAGCCGTCGTAAGGATCTGCAAACGCCGATGCCGCCGGCGGTGCCATGGCCGTGGGGCGTTGTAATAAGCCGCCGGTGCGCGGGTTTTGCGATCTGGATGCCGTAGAACCACTGCTGCCAGTACCACTACCGTTGCGCTGCTCTGCGGCGATACCCAGTCCACTGATGGTGAGGTTCTGCGGCAGGAACGTGGAGGTGACCGACGAAGCGTGTGCCAGTATGTGCTGGCTGGCCGTGGTCGGTATGCTGGACTGGTGGTGATGCGTGAGCGGCAGTGTTGTTGCCAGCGCTCCACTACTGCTTGTCAGCGTCGTCGGCAAAGAATGCTGCACCATCAGTCCTCCTGATGCTACTGATGATGATGCAGTGCCCTGCGGCTGGAAGTGAATTGACGGCGACGGCTCTGGCAAAGAGTTCCGTAACCGTGCGTTCCCATCGTTACCGTTGCTAGCAACATCTCCAGCTAGAGAGGAATATCGACTTTCAAAGCTAGCTGTGGCATTCGCCCTTGTTGCCGTGTTCTGCTCCCTCTCCGCTCCTTGTATGCCACGATGCTGTTGCTGTGCTTCCTGGCTGAACGAGAGTGCACGGCGCGAGGTGGGAGCGTGCCGTTGCTGTTGTGTTGTCGTGGCGATTGGTCGGCGCACGTCGGCTGCCAGCATGGCAGTCGGGTCTGCAGTGATCAACGCGTTGTTAGGGTGCGCTTGGTGATGTCGATGCGCCGGTGATTGCTTTGGGTGACGGGCATCACCAGCGGACAGCGAGGAAGACATTGGACTCTGGCGCAGGGCAGGCTGCTGGTGGTGAACCGGCGGCTATACAGCATAAGAGAGAGAGAGAGAAAGTAAACACGTGCACATACGCACAAGCGCGCATACACACACACACACACACACACACGCACGCACAGACCGTAGAGACTGCGTTAGGGTGTCAGCAACAATCCAACACTGACAACAAAGGACATGTACAGTGATGTGCAACCGCCATCATATTCTCACATTGGCATACACAGCAGTAGCATAGCAGTTGTGTAGGAACTCAACACACAGCATAACATTATACCATCTTCATACAACCATTTTCATTCAGATACCTTCAAGTGACAGTTTTGAACATTATACATGAACGAGGATTGCACTGGGGAATTTCCCCAATACTCTGCATTAAGTTATGCACATATTTCGCGAGGTAACATATAGGGCTCAAACGGTTAGTCCGATTAACCGGTTGCAGGCCGGTTAGGAAGAATTAACGGTTAACCGATAAAGATAACGGTTACGCAGTAACTTTTCAGTCAATTTTTCAAGGATCAGGTCGTTGCAAAGTATGCATTTTCGCAGGCTGTCGCACGCGTAAGCATTATTTCTGGGCTGTCAACTCGGTCATATCTGGTCTCTTGGTGTGAGAGTATGTATGAATGAGCATGCAAGAGAATGTACATGTGTGCGTTGTGCTGAAAAGGGTACATTTTTTGAATGAGTATAGTCAAATATACGGTTAAAAAAGAGTCCGCAGGATTGCCGTGGCTTATAGGTTATAACCGTTAAACCGACCGTTAGCTTAGCAGTTAACCGTAAGTGGTAAAACCGTGACCGTTTGAGCCCTAGTAACATTACCTTTGATGTGCGGCGCGGTGTGATGCCGCGGGAAGCTGTTGTCTGCTGCTGTCGTCCAGTGACAGTTGCAGGTAGTGGTACTGTGTTGCCTGCGGTTATTCCTCTACGCTGCATGGGTAACAGCATACTGTGGCTGTTTGCGTCCAGCACAACGGCATCCGTCCGCACGGCGTTGGTTGGGATGGCCAGGGACGTGTCCAAACCGATGGGGTTACCCACCTGAACAAGTGTGTAGATGCATGCATGCACACAGACACATGCAGACACACATGCACATACGCATACACACACACACACACACACACACACACACACACACATGTACCCCCCCCCCCCCCACACACACACACACAAACACAGAATGCAGAGAAAGGCCACGGTTATAGAGGAGCAAAGACAGACGCCATCGGAAGAACCTCAGATTGCACAAACTCGGAAAACTACCCAGCTTGAGCATTATCACATATAGAACTGCATGAATCGGAAGATCTGCGTAGAGACAGATGGAGAAAGCACAGATATACATTTCATGATCACCCGGGCACAGTGAACTGAACCTGCTGTCAGAAATCGTAATGGGAGACTAAGCAGCTCCGAACCTACACAGCAGTAGTCATTCAGAATGTTGCGATACATCGTGTGTATTTTAGCACGAGAAACAGTACGAGTTTGACGTGAGAGTTGTCTCGCCGAGTGCAGTGGACAACGTTAAGAAACTCAGTGGGTGATATTCACGCTTGTAGCATGTGATGGTCGATGCATGGGCCAGTTAATTTTACACCAGCCACGAATATCATAACTAATCTCACACGGATATGTCGAAATCGTATTAATGTCACCCCTGCCATAAGGTGAGGGTTGGCAGATGTGAAGAGTACTCCAGGAGTGTCATCGGCTCACACACCCACACACACACTCACCCAATCTCAGTGCACCTGACAGACTTACCCCCCCCCCCCCACCCAATCTCAGTGCACCTGACAGACTTACCCCCCCCCCCCCCCACCCAATCTCAGTGCACCTGACAGACTTACCCCCCCCCCCCCCACCCAATCTCAGTGCACCTGACAGACTTACCCCCCCCCCACCCAATCTCAGTGCACCTGACAGACTTACCCCCCCCCCCCCACACCCCCCCCCCCCCACCCAATCTCAGTGCACCTGACAGACTTACCGCTGCTAAGAGGCAGTAGACATACTCGTCGATGCGCAGATCCGTCAGGATCTCTCCGCGCTTCTTCAGCAGGTCCAGCCGCTCTTTCTCTGCCGCCTCATCGATAGGCCATGCCTCGTGATCGGGATGTACGGTGGCCGGTGCCGATGCTGGGAATGGAACAGTTTTCTGAGCAAGAAATAGAAATAGAAAACAGTCCTGATTAAAATATCCACTGTCTGTATTTCTCGTTCTTCACCCCAGTACCAATTACCAATTACATGGAAGCGAATGTGAGAAAGGAGTTAAAACAGGGGTTACGGAAGGAGGAGGAGGAGGAGGAGGAGGAGGAGGAAGGTCGATGTGGTATACCTTGTGCAAACGTATTCCTTACCATTTCAACAGCTGCTCGCTGTCCGAGTGACCCACTCGTCTGCTGACCGTGCTGTGCAGCCGTCGCCATGATGTGGTTGTCACGGTCACCGGCCGAGTAGGACTGGCGGAAGCGACGCGGGCCCTGCGGACTCTCCGGCCGCGGCAGGCTGTTGACGCCGTGGCGACCACCAGCGCTGGTGTCACTTCGCCGCACACCCGCGCCACCGAGGTTGGCTGCCACAGTGGTGGAGCGATGCTGCAGCTTGTCCTTCCAGCGCTGCTTCTCCTGAAGTTTGGCCTCGATTTCCTCGCGCTGTGCTCTGCACCCATACAAAGAAACCAAACAAATTCATTGGAGATCGTGTAAGACTCGGCTAGAGGCCGAGTTTTCCGCATCTGTAGGAACGCCACCACCCTTCAAGGATCAAGGCGCATATGCAGCTAGTAAAGCGGTGGGACGTGAGGGGATCAGACCCACCAAATGCATCTCTGCACAGCATGATGGAAGGAAGTGACACCAGTCTCTTAGAAACATCATACAAGTACCGGCCACGGCGTAAGAGAATGCGAGGTAGCAGAATGGAAACCAGGCACACAACGTTTCTCCCACTCTTAATCCAAGTGCAGTGTGCGAGTCAGCCCTGGGCCCAGTGCGCATCATTGGGCTCATGGAGTGATGTGGAGATGAATGGCGGAGAAGGACGTTCTTCCACCCAAATTACAAAATGTGCTACATTTACATAGAAAAAGAAAAGGACCAAGGAAGTACAAGTAACGCTATATTGTCCACTAACACCATCCGTAACTAAACAACCATGGGTCCTTTTTTCTTCTTCAATAAATTCATCCTTGGCTCTCCATCCGAGTCCATACAGTTGCCTACCACCATTATTATCCATGGGCATGAAAGGCACTGCGTTCAAGGATGGCGATGTGCAAAGTAGGGTAAACTGAAGCTAGGCCTATAGGCAGGTTAAGAAGGAGATGCGTGCGGATAAGCAGGGCTCCACATGCCGCATGATACTGCGTGACGACTGACCAACATACCTTGCGCATTCCTGCCTAGCCCGATAGGCCGCTGTTTCGCCGAACAAGGAGCCGCAGTTTTCAAAGAAGTGCTCGTACTTCTCCTTGTTGTTCTGCGGGTAAATACGTCTACAAACGCGAGAGAGATAGAAACATAGAGAAATAGTGAAACAACTCGTAAAGAGACTGTGCCAGGTAGGGTTGTTGAAGTTGATCAGATGCATGCCCGTATTGCTGTTGCTTGTGTATATCTCCAGTTTGTTAAACAAAAAAAAGGAGAAAGAGGTCCAGTTTGGATTTGTCGTAACTCAAAGTTTCATGCTACTGCAATCATCAGACGACGGATACCAAAAACCTGAGACTAATCATTATAAATAAGATCATGGATGTTGCCTGATGATTGCGAGAGCTTGAAACTTGAAGTAGCAGCAAACAAGCCTTGATTGTCCTTGTTGTTCTGTTCTGAATAAGATCATGCGTGATACTTGGTGCTTAGATTATCATTACTCTACGCGATTCACGAATGAAGGCCTATATCACACAGACGTTGTGGATGATGTGAAGGATAAGTATAACGTTAGCACTGACGTATGCCAAGCCTGTCATGATTGTACCGGGTACTGTCCTTGCACGGCACCTGCGACTGGCTAGTACTAACTTGCTCTACGATATCACGCAAGGTATGAAGTTTTTTTAGGGAATAATTATTTGTTTCGTGACAGCATTTTGATACAGTGCTACACGTAGTTCGTTTCTTTTGTTCAGGCTCTTCGGGTTGTTGGCATTGTGCTGTATAGTAAGCTTTTCGATTCTGCATAGGTTGCACCTTTTTTTTTTGTGAAAAGGGCCCATTACACAATTCTTACCGGTAGCCGCCAAGGTGAGCATCCTCGAACTTCTCCAGATATGCCTCATCCTCGGCGCGAGTTTGGGCGTCCACAGAAAACCTGAAGGTGAATTCATTCGATGAGACCGATCAAATACAGTGCGTTTAAACCAATAATTCCCAACAGTATTCGATCTCAAGCACTAGTTGAAGGCTGCAGGATTCAAGTCTTAGATGATAGGCTAGCAAACACTGGAGAATGGGCATAATTCAGAGAAATCAGAGTCAGGTCTAGTAGACTTAGTTGTAGAATGTATCTCGTAGCGGTGATAAACACAGTAGATGTCGCGATTTCTTTACAACGAATCTGGGTGCGGCTTACAGAGCTTTTTCAAGGATGGGGCGCAGCCACCGGCGCTCACCCCGAGATTGTGGTGAACAGGTCGTATGTCAAAACGCATTGTAAGGTATACGAAGTGTGACAGGTTAGTCTCCACCAGCGCTTGGAGCGATTCCGAAGCTTGTTATTTTTCGCCTAAGCCTGGCAACTGCTCTGACTCAACACGAGCGTCGGACATGAAGTGGAGCTCCATTCTAGTGTTTCTTCCACCTCCACGCATCCATTCTCAAACAAACTGAATGTGACATGGGCTTCACCTGTTCACCAGCGATTCAAAAATTTCTCGTACGTGATCCCAAAAAGCGACCGTTGGTCAAACCTTGAAAGAGCTTTACACTCAAGTGTGGCTTATCCCCCGGAAAATACGTTACTCACCCTGATTTTGGCTTGCCGCGGCTGAGCAGTCGCTCTCGCATACGTCGTCGTTCATCCTCCAGTGCCTTCTTCTTGTCTATACCGTGCAGGTTAATCAGCTGCAGGGCGTCGTTCAGCAGACCTTCCTTTACTTCCTTGTCCAGCGGGGCATCGGTGTGGAATGACGGCGACAGGTTCACCTGGAAGCAGGTGAGAACACCAAGATGCATCGGAAAGTGTCAGGGCAATTGTACCTGCAGGGGCATCACAGGGCACTGTGGAGTGTTTCAATGGGGGGGGGGGGGTCCAGGGGTGTACTCCAGGGGGAAAATCGGATTTTTCGGCCAACAGGGCACGTTTTAGGGCTGCACACGACTACAAGCACTCTGGGTGGACCATCCTGGGCGAAAAGTGGTACGACGATGGTCGTGCCTGACATACCGTGTGTGCCTCCCCTGAACTGCAGTATGTAGTGATTGTCACAGCATTGTCCATCTCCGTATTTTCTCTCTCCGTATTGTCTCTCTCTCACCTCTATTATATTTATAAACACACGTGCCCGTTGAAAAAATAAAGCAGTCCTCGTCTCCCGCAATGGACTCCTCCACGGCTTGCAAGCCGAACACAACGTAGTGGCAGCGGTGGTTTCTCCAGTAACGACGGACCAATGCACTGGTATTCAGTCAGTGGATCATCTCATGGAGTCTCTCTCACCCTTACAAGGTGCTTACTGCCTAAACAATAGGTCACGCTCGAAGCAATCATCTGGATACAATTCACCTCTCTTCCTTTTGTGTGAAGAGGCTTCACCATATGGTGTCCAGCACTACACTTAATCTTCTCCACATGTAATAAATCACTACATGTGGTGAAGTCAGATATTCATGCGTATGATAATAGTGGTAGGCCTCTTTCTGTTCCTTACCTCAGTCTTAGTTCTTCTATTTCTCCACCACTCCACAACTGTGTTCACCCCCCCCCCCCCCCATCAAACCACCCATCTGACCATCCCTTAAAACCTTATACGATCAGTTCTCTCAAGACACCACTTCTGAAAAATATTGATTCGCATTCCTTCCCTGCAGAGTGCCTGTTCCCGGCGCCAAAAAGGCAATGTTGACAGGTAGCGTTCAAGGCTTGCTCTCACCTCGATGATCCATGGCTTCAGCTTGCGATCCAGCATAACGTCGAAGCCAAGCACCTCGAAGCAAGCGCTGTGCCGCATGCCCAAGCTCGGGAAGCAAGAGCGGTAGTTGTGCTTGATGATCGGGTGACAGCTGATCAGGGTCTTGATGATCACGTCCTGCAAAAAGAGCAAGGCAAAGTCAGGCATTGATACAGGAGGCGCAAATCGAGCAGCCTCGGTGCTCTTTCCCTGCACTCACAGCTAGAAGCTACACATGCACTGGCTTGCCAGTGTGAGCTTACAAGCACAACCATTTGGGCCTGAGAGACTGATTGCTATCGGTGCATTAGATCTATTGACATGTAAAATACGTCCGTGTCCAACACATCGTGACTCTTTTCCCCTTCAATGATATGCATTGCCTGCAGAGATATGGAACACAACAGGATCGTGCAATCCTCTCAGGACAGAGTAATGTAATGTACAGCTAACCGTATCTTTGTCATGCCCGCCTCACTTCAGCATGTGCTCGGGATTAGCTGCCAACAGTCCTACCATAAGTGTAGCTGATTGTGCTCACGTTAGCTGTCTGCCCAGCTGAGCTGCACGGCCCTGCTAGTCTGCTATGCTAGTGCTCAGTTAGCTGTCTGCATAGCCAAGCTATAGTAACTACAGTCCATTCACCAAACCTGGGCCTATAAGCCATTTTGTCACAGTCTCACTTCATTCTTATTCAAGATTGCGAAGTTGATGACGTACATAGGTAAGAAATATGATAGCCTGAGATGAGGTGAATGTGGTAAAAATTGATCAAGATATGTGCAAAAAGAATTTTCAGACACATAGTTTCAGCGTATCAGGCTCCCTGATTTGGCGAAGGGACTGTAGTTACTCTGCTGCTCCCCACTGGCCTGCTTTGCTAGTGCTCAAATAGTGAACATGAGTAATACACAATACAGCTCTTGGGAAAACTGACCTCAATATCTCCCCAGATCTTCTTGATATCATATCCGTTATTCTCAAACCACTTGTCCACAGTGGTGATTCTCCTGCACAGACAGCGAGAGAGAGAAAGAGAAAGAGAGAGAGAGAGTGTGTGTGTGTGTGTGTGTGTGTGTGTGTGTGTGTGTGTGTGTGTGTGTGTGTGTGTGTGTGTGTGTGTGTGTGTGTGTGTGTGTGAGAGAGAGAGAGAGAGAGAGAGAGAGAGAGAGAGAGAGTGAGAGAGAGAGAGAAAGAGAGAGAGAGACCATAATGCTGTTAACTTCTCACAGCATGTTCCACATGTCACCTTGCGGCTGATACAAATGTCAGTACAGGAGCCTGCTTGCCAAAGGATCTGCACTATGCAGCAAATTCTGCTTGCAGTGAACCCACTGGAAACTAGTTCTTGCTAGAGCGAAGCTACTTTAGATACCCTGAGATGTGTGATCTTCCATGGCTTATCCAGGGCTGACGAGCAGCCTCTTTAAAGACAGGCACCCATATTCTGTATAGCAGTGGTTGCAATAAAGACGTACAGTCGACTTGGCTAATGACGACTGCGCATATAACGGCAATTCGCGAATAACGACAGAATTTCCATGCCCAGAGCAAAGTCCGATCTAACCTGTATACATAATTATAATGAGACTTCGGGTATAAAGACAATTCGCGAATAACGTATAATGAGACTTCGGGTTTAAGGACACTTCGCGAACGAGAGAGCTTGGAAGCTCAGGGCCCTACGCTATGCTTTTTTGCCTTGATGACCTAGAAAAAAAGCATAGGGATGTTATAAATTCTTATAAATTTCTACTTTTTTGTTTTTAGACATAACCTGGGATTCGAACCCGCACTATCGCCCCGCATGCATCCCCCGATACACTTCCCATACATACTCATTCTTCCAAGTTGCTTCACGTTATGATCTTGTATTTGAAAGCCCTATTTGAATATGCATTGTGGCCAGTCGTCTTTGATTGTACGGTACGGGACGGGACAGGGACGGGACAGGTACGGGACAGGTACGGTCGAGGGTAATACGACACCATTTACCGCCTTGATGACGGCAAAAAAAAAGAATAGGGATGTTATTAATTTTTCAATTTTCCTATTTTTTTCAGGCATTACCTAGGATTCGAACCCGCACTATCGCCCTACATGCATTCCCCCATACACTTCGCATTCATACTCATTCTTCCAAGTTGCTTCACGTTATGATCTTGCGTTTGAAAGCCCTATTTGAATAGTGGGGCCAGCTGTATGTGGCCAGCTGTGTTTGATGGTACGGTACGGTATGGGACAGATACGGGATAGCGCCAGGCGTGACACAAACACACAAACAAACAAACACCAAATTAAAGCTGTGTGGACCCTGGCTAGCGCCAGACGTTACTGAAGTAACGTCTTCTACATAGCTACGGGAATAACGTATAATGAGACTTAGGGTATAAGGACACTTCGCGAATAAGTACACTTTCTGATGCCCCGCCGAGTGTCGTTATACGCAAAGTAGCCTGTACTACTGCACATGCGAACGCACACTCTAGTGTATGGTGGCTTGCAGGCACGGCAGTCACCTACCGTTTGCTGCCGCTGTCATCATCACGGACAAAGTTTGTGCTGTGCTTGTTGATAGCGTAGTTAGTCAGGTGCATGCAGACGGAATCCTGAAAAGGGGGAAAGCAAAGTCGGAAAAACAAACACCTTCAGACACCATGGCAGGGCATGAACCAGGAGCAGAGCAGCAATTGAGCTGCTTAGGTATTCACCAACTACAGTTTTGTAGCTCATTGTCCACAAACACCAGTGTAAGAAATTAGGTGAGGCAAGAGTGGGACGATAAGGCAGGAATTCGAATTTTTCTCACATTCGCATGGCTGTGTCACCTCTACGCACAATGCGATATGGGCGTGAATGATTGCTGACTCAATAGAGTGACACACCCACAGCATTTCCTTAATTGCCAGTAGAATTTTTACGACACCGGTTGAATTGGTTCTTTGAGACGGAGATTTAACATGTACCTGGCTCTAGGAGTATTGAAGGGAGGAGAGAGAAAGTAGGATCCAAGCAACCCAGCTGATCCTCCTCGTGAAACACGGGAGCGAACATCCTTCATGTCAATAGTGATAACACTCACCACGTTGTTCTGTGTTGGATCGGTATACTTGACGGTACAGAACCGTGCAAGTCCGTCCTTGTAGACAAACACGCGCAGCGGATCGCACGACGTGATCAGCACGTAAATACGGTAGTCAAACTTGAAGCCGTCGATCAAGAACGGCTTGGACAGGTACTGCTGGACTACGCAGTTGTCCTTCGTTGAAATGTCCTGCAGTAAAGCACAAACAGTCACAGCTAGTTTGGTAAACGACCAACAGCTCCCCACGTGGCTCTTTGCCAAGTCCGGTAGTGCTTAATGTGGATATACAGAGTTTTTGTCTTGCACAGAAGACAGGTCACATGCATGCTTGACTTCTAAGATGTCATAGCAGTCCATGTGATGTCATTGCACTACATGTGATGTCATTGCACTACATGTGATGTCATTGCACTATATGTGATGTCATTGCACTCCATGTCAGGTCATTGCAACCCATAGTAACCATACAACTCCACTACCGAGGAGACAAGAGAAGATCGTTGCTGCTAACAATCAGAGTTCTGCATTCAAGCCACACATATGACTATACGGTGAAATGTAGACTCATTTTCTAGAGTATAAACTATTGATACTGTAAGTCGACAAATTTTCGGCCCATTCAAATTTCGACCTCCCAGGGCTAAAACCCATTTTGGCCGCATTTGTTGACTTACAGAATACATAAAACCGAGCATGGATTCTGCTGACAAGGTTCCAGCTGCCCTGTCTCCGTACTTCCCCGTCTCCGTGCTGCCCTATCTTCTTGACAAAAATAGGCTAGGAGAAATTCGGTTGGCAACCATGCTGGATAGTAGTTTTCTTCTGAGTGCAGTGACAGACTAGGCCAGTTGTCTCCTCCCCTTCTTCTTTTTTAACAAGTTCAGTGCTGGTCTATGAAGTCTGATTGTGTGAGTGCAGGATGCGCCAGGCGCTGTGCGGCTTCACACCTACGAACGCACGACTGTTCACTGGTGCAGCTCGCAAATCTGACTCACACGATCGGCTTGCATTGAGAAGCTCTGCACCGATAATGTTTCTGCAGTTCGCGCACTGACCTTTGGGTTTCTTGTGACGACAATGCCTTTTCCCTGGCAGCCTGCATCGGGCTTTTTGATGAACGTCTTGTTCTTCTTGGTGCGGCAGAATGCCTGGAAATCACCGTAACTACATGAATGACAGAAAGAAGGGACAAAGGTTAGAGTTTGGGAAAGTGCCTCCAGGTGACAGGGTCCATCCTCATACCCCCCGTAATGCACGTAGTTGTGCATGATTGCATGAAAGCATGTGTGTCCTTGTTTGTGAATGCAGTGGAAAAGCATGTGTGTCCTTGCTTGTGAATGCATTGGAAAAAGCGTGCGTGTGTGTGTGTGTGTGTGTGTCTGTTTGTCTGTGTCTGCACATGTGTGTATGTGTGTTGGGAGGGGGCCCAGTCCGGATAAGAACACTGCAACAGTCTAATCACCGGACCATGCACACTACCACAAGACGGCATCCCCACAAACACAGACCAATGATAAAGACCTGTGACCTGCATTTGTCTGGGTCCTGCAGTTGCATTAAAGTTAGGTGAAAGCATGGATATTAGAGAGGTTAACCCATTCAATGCTGATGACGTCTATGGACGTCATTGAAAATGCCCCCCATGCACGGATGACGTCTATAGACGTCATGGGATATTATAGTAATTTCTGGCACTGTCTGGTGTGTAAAAGCACTGTTTGTCAGTAGGATCATGATTCGGCCTCTTGTGCGATAGGTTGTTGGTACGAATCCCGCTTGGAAACACTACGCCTCTTTTTTTTCTCTTTTCAGCGATGTTTCAGCTGCAATTTCACGCATTTGGCGTATTTCACGCAATTTGAGCAAACTTGCGTCCCCTGTTGTGATGCGCTATTCTTTTTGGGGAATGTATCGATTCTGTCACCCTGTGGTTGATAGTCTTGGCAATCATTTCCAAAATATTTCAGGACCCCAGTTGCCAGAACCCTGGAGTTTTAGAACTTGCTATTGGCCCTGTTTTTAGCATTTATATGCAGAGTACCATAGGCAAGGCCCAGTAGCGCGGAATGGGTTAAGGTGCGCGTTATTTCAGACGTGATGCGAAAGTTCAGCTTGCGTTATTTGGCTCACGCATTGAAAAACAACGCTAATGACCTGCAGCTCATGTCGAAATTTCGAGCTTCAAATTTGCCGTGAAATTGCGCGTCACGTCGAAAATAACGTGCATCTTAACCTCTCTATCGCCATCATCAATGACCTGGCAACACCTGAGACTACTCAGTGGTGGAAATCACGGCGAATGTGATAGCATTGCTGCAGAAGAGTGGCTGCCGCTCACTGCATCACATTTGACTTACTCTTGTGGCATGCACCAGGATGGTGGAAAGATGTTGTAGTCCTTCGGGAACATCTTGCTGAGACGGTTCATGTTCTTAGCGAGCATATCCTTGCGACAGATCTCCTGCATCCCGGGGAAGTGGTTGACTTTCTGCAGTTGCAGCAACACCAAGCAAAACAAACCGAGGCACAGACAGAGACAGAGTGTATGTGTGTGTGTGTGTGTGAGAGAGAGAGAGAGAGAGAGAGAGAGAGAGAGAGAGAGATAGATAGAGAGAGAGAAATAGAGAGAGAAAGACTTTGTTGTGTGAAATAGAGTACACCGGCATCGTCAATAGTATAAGTACCACTCAAACTCTTCAAAACTGCTCCAAGGAAACCATTTGCTTCTGTCAAGATGGAGGCTACAACAGTGTATTGAAAAAGTGTCGACACTGAAAAAACTGTAATCACAAGGTTCTCTAAGGCACTTCGACAGTGGTTTGATTTCATCAACGCAAACACTCAGTGCTTGCATTTGGCAAAGAGTCGGAAACAGACTGATAGTTTACTGGACACTCTTCGTGAAATTTTTTTTAATGTCCTCATCTGCTTATGCACATACTCACCTACGACACGCACATGGCTGAAATCACTCTCCTAATCCAGCCCCAAAACCCAATCACAAAACATGCATGCACGGGTTCGAGTCTCACGCACGACACAGCACGCTGGCCGTACTGAACATGCAAACTCCCGTGCCTCTCACCTGATACATCTTCATGTCACCGACCCTGTCCATGGTGGGCGCCCAGTCCATCCAAAGCAGCGTCCAGTCCTCACCCTCCGACATCTCCTTCATACCTAGTGCTGTGGAACAGCGCCTGACTGTGTGAGCAGATACAGAGTACGGGTGCATACGTAAGAACAAGAGCTAGGTTTAGAGAATGTTGACACTGCTGTTTCGTGAAATTCTCATGATACCCGCAGTTGATGCCAATGACAATGCACATACACACACACACACATACACACACATACACACACACACACACACACACACACACACATGCAAGCATGTGCACGCACACAACCAAATACGCATGGTCGCACCGACACAAAACACTTACCACTGTCGTACTTGCAGTGCGAGAGGCATATGCCCAGCCTGGCCAGGAACACATGATTGCAGAAGCAGAAAACACACACACAAATCACACACATACACGCACACACACACGCACACACGCACACACACGCACACACACGCACACACACGCACACACACACACACACACACACATGCACACACACACACACACACACACACACACACACACACACATGCACACACACACACACACACACACACACACACACACACACACACATATAATACATAAGATGCATGGAGAAAGGTCATAATGACACCAATTTGTGGGCAGATATCCAATACAGCGATCCAGCACTGGCAGTATGCAACATCACACCCAGACACACAAATTAGTACAGTAGAGTGCCAATTATCCGCACCCCTCGGGCGCGTGGTTATCTCCAGAGTGTTCAGATGAGGAGTATGTTCGGATAATGATCAGAGCATGATCCGAGCTGATATCCCTTTGTATCGTTTTCGTGCGTCTACACAGGAGGGAAGGATCCGCCAGAGTTCGCCGTGTGTCAACTGTTGTCGTGGAGACACCAATCACAGTCAAGTAATTGTTGAAGACACTCCTTACGACAACACTCCTCACATGACGGACATTGTCGTATCGTTCGCGATCCGTGTGGACGAGCGAAAACGATACAAATGTGACGGTAACGAGGCCCGGCATGCCGTTTCGGCTCTGAACACATCTTAATTCATCCGGCAGATCATTTCCGTTTTCAAATTCCTCCACCTTGGCCAGCGTTTTGGTTTTCTTCCGTTTTGGTGTACAACTGTTCTGTTTCGCTCCGCGTATTGTGTAAATGAACCATGCATCCAAAGGATTTGGTTGCATTTTCATCCCTAGCGGTGTCGTATAAACGCAGCCTAAGAATGCCCAGAACTGGTAAGACTGGTACGTTTGCGTCACTGACTCTGATTTTTCAGAAGTGACACTTTGCCTAAAGTTTGCTATGTTTTCATGATGAATTGAGTCAGACCATGTACCATGTAATACACCATGTGCCATACAGACACTGTGCATGTGGTTTTCAACAGACATTACGCCACCCAGGGGTTGATTTTACTTTTCGAAAAGTAACTGATCGCCAACCCAGAAAAGGGAATGGTAACCCCTACTACGGAGGAACTGGCCAGTCACATCCCACCTTTACACATAATTATGCAACAGGGTATCCTCCAATGCACATACTGAAGTACGCAGCATATGGCAGGTTCTTACGCCAATCAAGAAAGCGGCTTACTTTTTCTTCTTTCTTTTCTTCTTGCCCGTGAGACTGACAGAACTGCTCGATGCTTGGATTGTGTCCAGCCCGTCATCCTCTTCTCCTGCGTCACCCGCCGCTCCGGCCACCACACCGTCACGTTCTTGCTCGTCACAACCATCCTCCTCTCGGCCGCCCTTCCCGTATGCAGAAGACGAGTTGGCGCGCAGTGCGGTCGTGCCGCCGGAGAGCAAACGACTCGGGCTCTTTGCGATGATGGATGCGGTGTCGATGCTACCGCCCGCCGGCTCTGCACGGGCGTGCCGAGTCGCCTCGTTCTTCTCCAGGACGCTACTAGCTCCCGTGCAGGAGCCAGAACTGGTGGCGTTGATCTCTGGCGCGGATGCACCGGCCGATATAGCAGCAGCAACGTCCACCGCTTCGGGATACATGGTGCAGTCGGCGCTTGCAAACACAGGACTAGCACGCTTCAATCATGCAATGGCTTGCACTGCAATTGTCAGCTCCAGCTAGCTAGCTCCAGGGTTGTGACACGCCAAAACGATAACACCTGAAAACGATTATCAGCTATTTTGCCCGTGCTCTCTAGCTCTGTGTCCTGTGAAGAACTCTGCACTGCGGTTCGTTCGGGTAGTGTGTCTGATAGCAGGGGTATGACTGAACCTCTGCTAGTCGAATATAGAATATCAAAAGATTAGGTAAAACGGTTACATACTCCGCATGCCGGCCGGCTTGATTGCTTTCATACCAACAAAATATTTTCGAAACGCCAACGTCGCAACGCTTCTTCTTTCCGCGGGTCAGATGCATGCACTGCGTGAGCTGCGCACTGCCCGCTGATCAGTTGCACAGAGCTTCCCGCACGCAGATCAGCTGAGAGTCGATGATGATATGAATCATGGAGACCACACTGTCTGTCTGTACTGTAGTCTGTAGCTGAACCTGATGACTGATGTAGACCTACAGCAGTACAGGCTACAGCCTAGTACAGGAGATCTACACCATGCTGCTAGCCTACACTACTCTCTACAGTAGGACAGTCTATCGTCGACTGCCAGACCAGGTGGATGCAGGGTGGGCTGAACCAGTACATTATATACAGTGAATGCTGGCGCATTTTTTTTCTTCTTTTTTTTACTATGTTCACATACCCATGCCCCCATAAAAATTAAAAATAATGCATGAAGACAATGGTACTGAGACAAGGACAAACGCATGGCGAAGGATGCTGGATAGCTCAAGACGACAAGTAAAGTCACTAAAGAGGCGTTCAGACATGCACCCATGGTTTTGCCTGTATCATGACATGTGTATGGACTGTCTGAATCGTGAATGTCTTCAATACTTCAAGCGAAAATCCCCTCCAAAACCTGAAGGCTGATATTATGAAGCCTGTGAAGGCTGAAGCACCAGAAAGGCCTTGTAGGCATGGTTACCGACACTGTTTGTGGACACGCGTGCATGGCCGTAGCGACGCAGCTACATGTACATGTACATGTAGGTACACGTGCATGTCAGTATGTCCTTTCGAAGTAGATCTCCACGACATGTAGCGCACAACAGAGAGGTTCCAGGCTAGCTGTCCAAGACTCAAGTCAAGAGAGCGTACATGTACATGTAGCTATCATAATGACAGTATGCCATGATCATTATGATAGCTACATGTAGGACAGTGATGCTGTCTGTACGACCCACAGACTAACAGTCAGTACCACCGACAGTTGCTGCTTCAGTGCTTGTCAAGACATCAAACATTGTCAACAACTAACCGTTAGTAACCCCGATCAACACCGTATAATTATTTCGTCACTGTACATGTGGTGGCTGTCCCATACACGGCACTCCTAGACAAGACTGGGGCTGCTTCAGTGCTTGAGATTGACAGGTGTCAACAGAATTGGGATCCACAGAGCGGTTGTTGACGTCTCGCATGGCAACGCATTTTCACTAGCATCCCATTGCCATGGGAATTGCCGCACTTGTGCACGCGCGCGCACACAAGTACCAATACTATTGTACTGTATCATGTATGTAGCGGACATGGAAATCCAGTCGATTGACCGGGGCCGGCGCCCTCAGCGCGTACAGACCGCTGTGTGCATGTTTATTGTTGATCCGATGCAATCAGCGCGCCGCAGCGCATCAACATCCATAATTATGTGTACCGCTTATCCACGGCTGCATGGCCAGCGTCCTGGGGCCGCTAGACGTGCGACCGGATTTCCATGTCCACAACAGTAGTACCACTTATTTCACTTCAAGGTACATGTACCAGTTCATCCAGTTACAGTGTCTGTTTCTATCCCTGTAGCGTGCTGTCTACATGTATACCAGGTATACCGGGGACCCCAGCACGTGTACTAAGAGTGTGCATAGCAAAGCTAGCAAAGGTGTCTTATCTATCTGTCTCTGCCGTAATACGGTATTCTATCCATATGTCCCTTTCCTTTTTAGAACAACTTAGTTCTACATTGCCTTGCCTATCTACATACACGTACATGTACATGTAATCTGGAATATGGAGGAAGAGCAGCTGCAGTGCATGTGTATACTATGGGAACAGTGCGATCACCTGTAAGTCACTATAGCCTAGGAGCAGACTACTGCACAGCTGCTTAGCCCAAGGCTGCACCATGTACCAGCCCAACTATATGATTGTGCAGTCTTGCAGAAGCCCTTTTCATCGTCATCATGATATTGGACATGATTGCCCGTTTGACTTGCGACGTAAAATACTTGAAGAAACAAATACAAAGAGAACTGCCAGTCGCCATCGGCGTCACTCAAGACTCGACCAGTGGCAAAAGCCGGAATTGGTCAAACTCTGTTTCAAGCGCCGCAATCGATGGTAGATCAGCCATGCTGTTCTTGAGAACATCCCGCTGACAAAGAGCTGTATAGGAGTGAATAGAGACTTGAAAGGGTGAGGACGTTAGTTTGGCTGGGTGCGAGTTACAGTGTGTGAATGGTGGTAGTGTTGTTTGGGAACAAATCGACTTTAAAACATGTATGCTTTGTGAAATAATTTAAAATTCATTAGTTTGAGGAGGTTGTGCGTGTTCTGAATCCGTTCCAGCGGATAACCGTCCAGTTTGTGAGCAAAACTTATGTACTTCAATCCATATGCCACCTGGGAAAAACAATATTGAAAGGACTGGGATGCGTTCTGGATTAGGTCCATTAAACAAACTACTGTACAAGTTTAATCTCTAACATGGCAAAAAGTCTCAGGACCATTGTCTTTCTTTATTATTTTCGAGCTGGGAATGTGAACATAGGAAAAAGAAAAAAGGAACAAAAGAAAAAAAGAGTTTATCGTTTAACAAGAAAAATCTATGGTAAACTTTAGAAGCATTGCTAGTGCGCGTGCTATTCCCCCTTCTCTCCTCTAACAAGTTACAAGAGATGTAAGAGACGGATGTGTGATGGCAGAGTCGCAAAACGTTGCACGCGCCCAGCGATGGAAACCGTTAAACGTTCCATCAAGGCTTACAGCAACTGTTATCGGCCTTACATGTAGACTCGTTGCAAGTGCAGACTGTAGACATCGCTCGCCTGGCCCTCAGACAGTGCGCTGTCGAAGCAGATGATACGATCGCCAGCACGCAGTACTCTGCCGAGTCCTGGCAGCTGCTTCAAGGGTGGAAACGAGATGGCACTCCGGCGCAACCCAAGATCGTCCGCACTCCAATCCAGGCAGGTGACGTCGTATTCGAGTTGAGGACCGGGATGCTCCGCTATGCCAATGAACAGCAGCTGCTCGTCAAGAGCAAATGCTGCCTTGGCCGTATTCGGCATGGTGGCAATGCTAACGCGGCGCCAACTATCACGGCCCGCATCACCCTTTCCGATGTCAAGATACTCCACCGTAGTAGACCGGAGGTCGTGGGTTTCGAGGCAACAGAAGACGGGTAACCCGGAGCCGCACACTATCCATTGTGGATCGCCGTGTAGGTCTTTGCTTCTCCAGGTCTGCCAGTGGCTGTCCGCTCCCTTGCTCAGATCACAACTGTACAGTGCCAGATGCTGCACTCCGTTCATCATGTACGTACCAGCGATGATCAGGCGTGAGCCGGCACTGTCCAGGTGCAGGTTCAGACCCTGTGCATCGTCCGGTAGACGATGCTCCGGTCCCACCATCATTCCTCTCTGGTCGAGGACCGTCATCGCAGTGCCGGCGACAACCAGGCTGCACAGCCGTCCCTCGTACCCGTGAATGCTGTGGGTGCCCTCGTGACAGTGCTCATGCAACACCGTGGAACTCAGCTCGTCCACACGCACGCTGTACAGTAGCGAGGAGTCGCCGCCACCTGCAAGCGCATACAGGTTGTCACTGGAGTCGACGGCAAAGTGTCTACAACTTCTGAGGTTGTCTGGAAGACGGCCTAGATGCTGCCACTGTATAAAATGTTGGAAGACATCAGAACAAAGATAGGTACAAAAAAACTCAACACTGAGGGTGATACCCTTATGTCAAACCCCACTTGAAGACTAGGCTCGGTGCAATGGGGCACCACGAGGAAAAAAATCACATTCAAAATCCGACTAGAACTTCAAAACTGGAAACCAGACGTGGATTAGGATGCAAACCGTACATGAAATGAACCTGTTTTTGGCCATTGTCCGAAAAGTGATGAAAGAATTTAGCAAGTTTTGCATTCTACCTCTTCACTTCTACCAACAACAAGTGATCACGTAAATGAAAAATGGATTTGTTTTCTATATTGGTCATTTCAAAAGTGTACGGAGCCTCACGAACACACTCGTCCCGTCAAAAAGCACCAGTGATGAAACAATTGCATTGACTGCAGGACTCCTCGCCATACCTGTCTGCTCTTCGGCTTGAACAGAGTCTTCCTGGGCTTGCCTTGGTCTGCAGCTGGCCGTCGAAGACGGCTGTCAGCACCTAGAGAAGAAGAGCATCCGCACAACACCGAAGGGAGTGTTGGGATACTGGAAATCATGCGCACACAGTGTGACATCTTCACATCCCTTACAACGCGCTTTGAGAGACAAGTTCACTGTGACAACAGCTCTAGTGAAAAGAAAATTTGTCGCGTCCGTTCCCGAGGGAACTCACGATGGCCGCTAACACCCGGTGAGCCCCACTCTATTACCAGCAGGTCTATAGAGTGGGTTCACGTCTTTGTGGGTGAGGACAAGGTGCAGAAAAAGGATTGATGCCGTCAATCCTTTTTCTGCACCTTGTCCTCACCCACTTACTGAGGTGTGGTGAGCCCATAAGTGGGATCATTTCAAATCCACCCTAGTTTGGGGATTTCAGGGGGTGTCGGCCGTTGGGTGGTTCAATGGCCAATTGAGTCATCTTTCCAAGATTCCTTTTGAGTCTCTCTCCCCTCTCCCGGGGAGACCCACGTGACCAGTTTTGGCAGTGAGCAAGTACAAGTACAAGTACATGTGACTAAATTTGTGCAGAAAGTGATCATGTCATGTGACTAAATTTGTGCAGAAAGTGATCATGTCATGTGACTAAATTTGTGTAGAAAGTGATAACGTCATGTGGACAGTGGAACCAACATGGCCGACGTCACGTGACCCATGGATGCTGCGGTTGAGTGAGGTTGGAACCAACATGGCTATCCCCGTACGGTAATGTGATAGACTTGAAACCATTCTATTGGCAGCAGCAGCAGCAGTAGCATTAGTGTAGGCTGTGGCACCAGCACCAGCAGCACACACACACTTGTATTTAGGGAATGAGAAAGTATTCTGAGACAAGACGCCTTCCAACATCACATTCCTAACACCAGTAAGTCTGTATCCATTGAAGGATGAGGCTAATGTCTACTGAAGGACAACTGAAGCCAAGGCATGATGCATTGCTTACCATGCACAATATTCGCCACCGTCCTGAAGCTGACGTCCGTGTTGAACATGATTTGCGCACTCTTCATGGTTGCATACTCATAGTCGTGCTCTTTGTGGATGTCTTGACACTTGTGTTCAGCCGCGGGGCATGCCTTTCCCAGATCCTTGGCAAGATTGCCCCGTGACTCCTCATCTGCACAAGCATTGGGGCAAAAATAAATTCATCAGAATGTCATTCGGTGAACCTCTAACTTGCAGGAACCTAAGCTTTCCTAGTACAGTCGACAGTCCTGGTTTACGGAGAATTTTAGAACCATGTCAGGTAAAAAAAATGAAAGAGAAAAGTGTGTGTGTGTGTGCGTTTGTGTGTGTGGGTGTACGTGTGTGTACTCCATTGTTTCATATTGTCGGCCCCGCATGGGGACACGTGACCGTAATTGCAGTGTTTATCAGGTACCAGGTACGTGTGTATGTGTGCTTGTATACGCGCAGTTTTCGACGGCAACAAGGCATTGCAATGCACAAATGCAACACTATTCGCGCACCCCGCGCGTGCTGACTCAGACATTCCTCATCCAGCGGACAACACGCCTTACAGGGGGGGGGGGGGGCACATAGCCAAGAATGGTAGTGGAAGAAGGAAGGAAAAGAAAAAAGGAAGGTGTGTGTGGATGTGTGTGTGGATGTGTGTGCATAGGGGGGGGGGGGGATATGTTGCTTGCATGCGTGTGCGTACATTTGCCATTTAAATACTTTAAAACAATTCTTACCGTTCTCTACACCACTGGCTGTTTTTTGGCTATCATTCTGTTGGCTTGGCGGCCTCATACTCAGCACAACATCACCGTCCACCGGCAGCACATCCGTGATGGATATTCCCGGCATGATGCCGGGGTGGTCCCTGCAGATGGCGTACAGTTCGCCCTTGGCCCGGCCCGACATCTGGGCAATCACGGCGGCACCGCCTCGCTCGCGATGCACCCTGTGCCAGGAGATCTTCTCACCCAGCAGCTCGCCGAGTCGAACCATCACCTTGCCGACGATGGCGTCGGTGTGAGCCTCGGACATCTCATCCACCACGTCAATGATAAGTTTGACCAAACAGGAGTTTTTGTCTGTTAGACAAGTACGAAGAACAGAGAAACAGATTCGACAGTCTGCATTAACCCCAGGGCTGTTGGAGTCGGTACGACTGGTACGACCATGGCCGTACCACTTCTGGCGACCGGTGGTCACCGTGTAACGCTCAGAAAAGCAATAAAAAAAGTTTCGAAATTTGGAGATTTTCCAGCGTCGATTGGCGCAATGTTTCATTGTCCGTGCTCCAGAGCAATTTCAATATCCATGTTGCAGTGCAATTTGTTAATCCTAAGGCAGACATCAATCTATAACCCAGCTGTGTTGTGATGCCACCCATTTTGATTGTTATTAATTTTCGCAACCAGCATCTGCGTTGCTGTATGACCTATTACTATATTATTGTGCTGCGGCACGATTCATGGTTAATTTAGGCGGAAGTTGCAGAATGCTGCACTTGCTGTACAATGTTCAAGATATGCATCACGGGTGTGTTCTATTGCATGGAATCCCAAATTTTTCTAACACAGGGGTTCCACTCTGCCCCCTTGACCCCCGCCGGGGGACACCCTCCCCCCTCCCCCCCCCCCCCCCCCGAGCCCCCGGCCGTACCCCTCGCCAACAGCCTCCAACGGCCCTGAACCCCCACCACAGAATACTGTAAAAGCCAGCATTCCAACGCGGCGCATATATCACGATTTCCTAAAATTGACTGTTTTACGTGTACCAAAGGTAACGATTCTCACTCATTCTCAACACTCAATAGCAACAGTACTGTATCGATTTCCGTCTAACGATTTCTATTTTAACGACAGATTTCTCCTCGTTAACTCGTTAGAGTTAGCACTTCGTTATATATATGGCTTTTACAGTAGCATGCAAAACTCAAAAGTTGGTGTCAGCTTACTGAACTACATACAGCGTAACACATTGGGTAGCAGAAATACAATGTACAGAAGAACCCACATTCTACATACTCTGATAGGACAAACTCTTGCATAGATCTCTACTGCAGTATGTTGGGGATAGTACGGACATTGCCCGGAGCACGGGCGTATGCAGATCCCTACTGCAGTATGCTGGGAGATTCCTTTTGGGAATATCTACTGATATGGGCTAATGAGTAGAGATAATGGTGGTTCCTGGCAGGTTTGCGGAATGGAACGTTTGATGGACCTTTCCTATGCTATGCCGGGGTGGCAGTCGTGAGCAAGTCAAGTGTCAAGTCAAGACGGCAGAAAAGGGGCAAGCTCCCACGTAGGGAGCAATACACAATTTACACGCAATGTACTACAGTTGTGGCAAGTGAAATCTAACACTTGGCATAAGGGACTGCACCATGCAGTCTGCAGCCCTGCATGCGTACAGTACATGTGTTACATACAACTTTATCTGTCGGATGACGAAACTCGTACTCATCACAGTCAAGGTTCAAAAGGTGCTGGCAAAATGAATGGGGATTGGATACCAATAGTCCTTATGTGTACCATGTTTGTGAACTGTGTGTATCTACGCTGTGACCTTTCGATCTGTTTGGAATGCATATGGCTCTATAGTACAAATTAGGTGCAGTGCATTACATCATTGGTGTCCATTTGTGGCGCTGTCCCCTATGGCAAGTATCGGATTTCACATGCCACAACTGTACTTGTACCATTACTCAATCTACAACTGTAAAGCCTGTATCGCTCAGTATTCTGTCGCACAACAAGTTCTCCACACCCTCTCTCCCTTGGTATGACATTCGAGAAATTTCTGTACAAAGGGCGCATGCACCATATTAAGCCCATTAACATTGACATGAGTCTTGGACATGCTTGTCGCTCAACATGTGAATGGTACGAACCTCGTTCTTCAATCATGCTGCTCCCGCGGATTAATAGCGCTTGCTTCCACACGACCTGTGGGCAGAGCACCTCAGTGACTGTCGAGTTTCCGTCGATGTAGCCAATGTCACTGAGGTACCGCTTGCTCTGCTCGAATGAGCCGCTAACGTCCACGTAGCAATGGCGATTTCTAAGTTCCTGCTTTATGGCTTCGGGAGACTTTGTTGCTGGACAGAGAACATACAAGATTAATTATGACGTCATGGAATAATCGGAGGACAGACAATAATTTGAATGACAGAGGTAAGTGCTTTTAGGTATGTCAATGACATCACTATCAACAGCAAGCAAACACTCGTGTACACACACACACATATGTGCAAACACACACACACGCACACACACACACACACACACACACACACACACACACACACACACACACACACACACATGCCATCCCTTTAACTCTTTGACAGAATACATTAAAAGGCCACATTGCACTCATAATAGTCTAGAACAACAAGATGCACAGCAGAAATGTTGACCTACACAATGTACTAACTAGTTACTTTTTAAACAATACGGTCTATAGATCACAATTGTGTTCAGTAGCAAAGCAAAAGGGTTCTACCAAGATAATAGCTGGCACTAGGAAATCACCTTCTTCATCGCCTGGCCTCTTGATGGAGCCTCCCAGCTGACCAGCAGACACAAGACTAGCCACGCCTTTCTCCACAATCTCAGCATGGGCGTTGACGCGCTCGATTTCATTGTCGAGAACTTCCCGATCACCTGTACAGAAACCGGCAAGAGTCTCACATCTCTATCGATTGCAAACGGAGAACCCAACCACCGTGTGTCCACAGCACAACACTGGAGGGTTTGTCTGATAGTGTTCCTAGGAATGTGGACTAGTTACCCTGGCTACAGTCGTTCCCATGGGTTTTTCATGGCTGATGTCACCATGATTTTAATGGCTACCATTACCATCGTTGTCATGGTTTACACTTCAGTTCTAGATACTGGGCAAGAACAAATTCTATAATTTTTGCTGGAATTGTACTTTTGTCCTTTTTGCTCAGCGTCTTTGCAAATATTTTGAATTCCAGACTAAAGGCAAATTTTCTGCATCTTTCAATGATTCTCATCATCCGTGGACGAATTGTTTCACCGATCAAAGTGCTCTTCCCCGGAGCTGCATGATATTAATCACCAGCTAAAATCGTCTGCTTATGCATGGATGCTAGGTGAGTGTTGCTTGTGGAGCACTCAAGATGCCATGGTAGGAGTAGCTATGTTCACACAGACCCCAGGAACAAAGTGTGTATCTACGTTAAAGAATTCATAGTTTGAGGGAGTTACATAATAATTATGGCGGCTTTGAAGTATCACTACTATTTGTAGTGGTAGATGAAAGGAAGTGCCTTCCTGCATGGTTGGGTGAACTTGTGTTGTTGCATGCGAAGTTATTGATTGCGTGGTACGGTAGTGGCACGGTAACTCTGCGTGTTATTTACCAGCAATATTATTTGCCTTAGAGGTCGTCCACAAATATCGATATTTTTTTTGAGAAGATATTCGTTCGTTTGGGGGGGGGGGGGGGTTGGGCCCTGTTCGTCTCGTCTTTGTGAAAAAAATATCGAACTCTATCTATGGACGGGTACTGTGCAAACATGTAGTTTATGACCTACACAAAGTGAAAGTCAACCTCGTGAATAGACGAACATAGCCACGGCAAGGTTGTGCGACCATGGCAACGTAAACCTAGCTTTATGGTGAATTTAGAGTTGCAGCTGGTCATCTTTCATGAGGACATTGCACTTCTTTAAAAAATATCGATCCTTTGCATAAACATGTGTATGTTCGTTTTGAGGGGGGGGGGGGGGGGGAGGGAGGGGTCTGGGGAGAAATGAACAAATATCGTCTTGAAAAAAACATCGATATTTGCGGACGGCCCCTTACCAGCGCTCATTCTATCTTTGAGAAAAGCAGTGACAACGCTGGCCTGCGGGCGGTTTGGAAGATGGATGAGTCTCGGCTTTCCAGTGGTCTTGTCGTTGATCTGGTTTGCCCCCTTGTGAATGCCTTGGGCAAAGCCCAATGCTCGTCCCCTCTGCGGCGAGTTGAAACCTTGCATGTATCCATCCATCTGCTTTCTGTCTAGAAGCCGCTTCGACTCAGCCACTGGTTGGTACATATACACAAAAACACAGTTAAAACAACCGTTGTCACAAGGACACCATTTGGGGATTTGGATAGATTTTTTCAAATCCTCAAATCGCAGCTTGCTTGTATGTTCATAATTGTGAATCTGGGCGGTTTCTAGAACCTACATTACAGATACTGCGCACTTGACAGCATAACACAATGCCAATTAACCAGCAATAAGAGATGATATCGGAGTACAAACGAGAGAGAGGGAGAGAGAGAGAGAGAGAGAGAGAGAGAGAGAGAGAGAGAGAGAGAGAGAGAGAGAGAGAGAGAGAGAGAGAGAGAGAGATAGATAGATAGATAGAGAGATAGATAGATAGAGAGAGAGAGAGACAGAGAGAGAGACAGAGAGAGAGAGAGAGAGAGAGAGAGAGAGAGAGAGAGAGAGAGAGAGAGAGAGAGAGAGAGAGAGCGAGAGAGAGAGAACGAGAGCGAGAGAGGGAGACACACATGTGCACATACACACAGAGGCTGAGAGAGACAAAGAGACAGAAGTAGATACAGGAACACAGGAATGGATAGATGAAAAGAACATCGGACTAAAAGCTGGGACATGAGACAGAAGTAGCAATTACCTTTGTCAACGGCCTTCATGTCATGAAGGAACTCACGGAAGTTGCCTTTGGGCTCATTATCACGGATGATTTCAAGAAATGAGTGGAAGGATGATGCATCTCCCCGGCAAAGCATATCTACAAGGTCATCGTTGTGTGCATTTGGGTCTTCAATATTCATGAGCTTAGTTTTCTCAGTACTACTGATGAGCCCCTTTGCAACGCATGCCAAGCGAATGGTCCGGCAGCTTAAATGGTCCACCAAGTATGGTATGTACTTCAGGAAGGCAGCATTTTTCCAGGGGTTTTCCACCTTGATCACAGTCGGCTCCTCACTGCTGCAGGTACACATTGAAAAAAAAGAAATGTAGATTATGCTTCCGGTATCAGTAAGGAGCTTGAGAAATTTACATGCTGAATTTATATAATATTGTGCATGCGCAGTTGATTAATTCAAGAGTACCCCCTCCATTTAGAGTGTGCAACTCGACTTTGGGTGCTGTCCCGACTATCGAGACAGAATTTCAAGTTGAAGTCACGTGTTCTGATGGAATGTGCACCGTACACGTATTATCAGACGTATCCTGAGCCTGTGGTGGACCCAGCCCCATTTGATCCTGTATACAAACTAGTAACGCGTGATGCGTTGACACCCCCCGTACAAGTGTTGTAAATCACTGGTGCAAGGAGTATAATTTTTTTAAATTTCACGGTTCGCGCGAGTTTTCCACGTCCGTAGGAACGCCACCACCCTCTAGGAACAAGGCACAGATGCAGCGCCTAAACGGTGGGAGGTGAGTAGATCAGACCCACCACACAGTGGTCAAAGACCGAAATCCCATTAGCTACATCCATGTTACCCTTGTGCCAGGCTACAAGTTCCCGATTGGCTGTGGGTCACAGCATGGCTGGACAAATTCCTTCCGCTTCCAAGCAGGACTTGAAACTGGAACCCTCTGTTTCTCAATCATGGTCTTAGACCATCCCACTATGCCTGCCTGCATATACTGCATTATAATAATGAAGTCAACTTGAAATTCAGTAAGGACAGCAAGGTACACGAGTTGCACACTTTTTTTGAAAGGGGGGGGGGGGAGGCATGTACTCTTGATTGATTGGATTGGTGTTTACAAAAGTAAACGATGCATGTCTTCTGTGCACATTCGTAACATGACCTGGGTGCTAGCCTTCTCAATGGTGGTAGTGCGGGCCTCTAGCCGAATGGAGGAGGGGTGGGGAGGCGGTGGGGGCGCACCCACCCCCTCCCCCTACTCTGATGCCCCCCCCCCCCCTACCTACCTACTCTGATAGGGCACCAACCTGCTCATTTTTCTTTTTTTGTGTTTTGTCTGTTTGCACAACGAACAGGCGGCCACAAGTCGATCATTCCGGGTGCTCGCTGCACCCATACGTTACCCCGCCCGTACGGGACTGGGGCTACTCTTTACTTCTCTTCAGTGCCTGTTCGCATGGTATGCATTCTGCATACATACACCAGGTATGCTGTAACAGGATAATAATATTGGTAAGTCGAACAATGCATGGAAAAGTATCAATGCGGATTATGAAAGGGTTGTTCAAACAAGTTTAAAAGCACGGTGCAGTGCCGCATCATCACGCTTTGGCTACAATCCTGGGCACCACTCTTGACATTCTATTGTGCCCAGTGTCGGTTATGTCTTCATGACCCGGGGCAAATATATAACCCCGTACAGTCAACTTTGCTAATAACGACTGCGGATATAACAATTCGTGAATAACGACAGAACTTCCATGCCCAGAGCAAAGTCCCATTCAACTGTAATACATAGAATGAGACTTCGGGTATAACGACACTTTGCAAATAACGACACTTTTCTGATGCCCCGCCGAGTGTCGCTATACGCGAAGTTCACTGTACCTCCTCATACCCCCCCCCCCACATACACACGCAAAAACACACTCTTCCGAAGAAAGGTAAATGGAACACTCAAACATGTTTAACCGTTTTAGCACCGAGGCAAGTACCCTTACTGATCAAGGTTTTAGCTACTTCAAAGTATCATTCTCGCAAGATTGGCAGCACAGACCAAGATTGTTCAGACTATTCAAAGTATGCATTTCTGCTGTAATTATTATTTTCACTGGTTTGAGGGAAAGACACAAACGGTTATTATTCTTGCTAGTTGTCTGTCTGTTGGCCGTCGTGGAGCTATCATTGACTGATCAATCATCCCTATGTCAAAGTTATCTATTAGTACAGTCAGACCTCGCTTATCCGGTCCTCGTTTATCCGGATCCCTCGCCATCCGGAAGAAAAAAGCTGGTTACATATTTACAGCATACGTGATGCATCTAACATAAACGGTGTTCGGTTATCCGGTTCCCTCGCCTATCCGGATATTTTTTTGGAAAACGGATGTGTGCGGTTAAGCGAGGTCTGACTGTACTACCAAGAGTACACATTCCAAAAACCTTGTAACTTCTGATCTCCGAGGTATGGGTGCCGTGCGCGGTGTCCAGCCGGCATTACGTAGTGAAATGACTATCCAGCTGGATGGATTCGAGTTTTCCTCCGGTTTAGCCTGAACGATTTCACGTGCTCTACCGGGAATACGGCACTTGAAAGTTCAAAGGCCATGCCTGTGCGTGATGCATCGCGTGCTGTCGTGGACATGGAAATCCGGTCGCACGTCTAGTGGCCCCAGGGCGCTGGCCATGCAGCCGTGGATAAGCGGTAAGCACACGCATTTTTATGCACTGCAGCCGCCTGGTCGCATCGGATCAATATGTGCACTGCACGCAGCGGTCTTTACGCGCTGAGGGCATCGGCCCCGGTCAATCGACTGGATTTCCATGTCCGCTACAGTATAAAACGTAATGCCGGCAGCATGCCGCGCTTGACCCCATACGTATGCAGAATGGCATACTATTGGTGTTGTGTACTCTTGGTCTTACGCATGACGGTACTAATGCAACACAAGTCAGAAGTTTCTCATACAGCTATCAGCTACTAGACTGCGCTACAGACTAAAGTTAAATTTTGACTGCACCCACATGCAAACAAATGTCCTTGGTTCGACTTCGAACCGTGGATTTGAAAGGGTGCAGGTGAATGATTGATTAAAATGATACAGAGAACGTGCTTCGAGCAACCCATACATTCTCCAGTTCTCGCTTGGGCGTGTGTAGGTTTACCCCGATGCTTGCACAGTGCCTGGCGATGATGTGCCAACACAAACTCTACATAAGGTCGTCGACGAATCGTCCTTGGTCCTGTATGTACATTGTTACGTGTAAGGCAGTTTTGTGGTAGTAGCCAATTCCAGCTTCGGGACCAATGTCGTGCAAGGCACGCTAATTGCTGTGGACAAATTCGTTCGATGTCCTCAACGTTTTTACAAAATACTTCGACACTGATAATAGCAATGCATCATTGTACTTTTGAAAAACAAGCGCAGAACTTCGAACCGTTCGTTTAGTTTATAGGAAGCAGTTTGTTTACCTTGCCATTGTTGTCGTAGCGGGTTTCGAGCAGCTCTTCGTCCAGAATCCACAGTTAGCACACCAGCCTGGCCGCTAACCCTGATCAACTCGTCCCATTTTCTTACATAGTCATACTGCCTCCTTTCCGAACCGACAGAGTACAGTCCGGCAGCCGCCAAAGCGTTTTAAAAATGACTTCGCAAAACGCAATACTTCTTTCATCGTCAGTCGGGTCCGATTTCTATGAAACAGGCGCGTAGCATGCTAGCACTGCCGTTGGAGGTGATCCGGTTGGCCTTGGAGGGCCAAGGGGGTCTGGGGGTGTCCCCCGGGAATTTTTTTGAAATTTGGCTGCAAAATCCTGCATTCTGGGCACTTCTGGGCGAAAAAGTGGTCCGGCCAAAGCTGCTACGCCCCTGTGAAAGACAATCATGCAATAATGCATTGTAGATCTACATAATACAGTCCTAGGTTCTGGGTGTCTTTCTTTGAAACTGTCGGACACGGATACTGAGTCTGTGACAGCTGCTCGGCTCAGCTCAGTGGATCGTGAACCATGGTGAACAGTCAGTGTGGACTGTGGTGTAGAAGTAAGTATACAGTCAACTTCGCTTATAACGACACTCGGCGGGGCATCAGAAAAGTGTCCTTATTCGCGAAGTGTCGTTATACCCGAAGTCTCATTATATGTATTACAGTTGGATGGGACTTTGCTCTGGATATGGAAATTCTGTCGTTATTCGCGAATTGTCGTTATATCCGCAGTCGTTATAAGCGAAGTTGACTGTACCGGTATGTAGTGCAGTGTAGAATCTACCACAAAGACAAGTCGACCTGGTATGGTGACGGGAGATCTACGTAACCTTGTAGGTCTACATACCGGTACATCACCCTGCCCGGTACATACCGGTAGCTGTGTTGAAAGCAAAATCATAATAAATAAGTATGTCACGCAGATCTACATGACAGTGTGCAGTTCCAGAATCCATTGTCATTGTCATTGAGGACAGATAGTACTTAGTAGCCATGTTCGTGTGGACGTAACCGCTTAGTTGCCAGTTGTTTTCCTGCTGTTCGAAGCCCACTTTCGTTTCTGCCTTCGGTAGACATCATCCATCCTCGGGGTTCTGATGCGGCTGCAGCCAGTGGTCAGCCTGTCCAACGTCTTTCCGCGGCCATGGACAAGATCCCGTGGACTGCGTCACAGGGGCTCGGGTAAGTCGTATTCATTCTGAAGCCCCACATCATCCACTTGAATTTATTCAGTCGTCAGTGGACCAATAGTCTCTCCATCAGTCCACTATTCCCACAAACCTAGCGGACGTGTCCTATTTGGTCTTTGAATGGTCTTGTTCGGGGTTGCTAGATTTCCAGTCCCTGCAGTAATTGTAAGAGGCTAGGTCGAGTGAAGCATTTCGAAAAATCGATTTCAATCATTTGATCCATATGATATACGAGCACTAGAACCTTTCTCACACTCCAGCGTTCTTACTCGCTAGCATTGAGCACTCTCTGCAGGCAGACTGGGACCTCTCTTTTGCATGTGCAGTACCGATATGAGAGAAGAGTAAACTACAGTACATTCATCGGAAACAGTCCCGCTGGCTTTTGAAAGTCGGATTGGGGCGAATTCAGGATCAAAAACCCAGTGTAAATCTCAAAAATCTGGGTTTTGGATCTGCTTCTCCATACATTTTGCCAGGGTATACCTGTCCTAATTTTGCAAAACCTGGCTGAATTTCTATTTCCCTGTTCTTGGACTTTCGTGGCCTCAAATGTGGCAAGGAGTAATTGCACGGGTCACACAATGCAGAATGTAATGTTGTTTTCATGATATCTACAACTATGTGCGGGAGACACCAAAAAGTTAGGGTGCCAGTTTCCAGTGAATGGACTGTAGTCGTGACGTTAAACATAGCACATAGTGCAGGGCATAGATATGGTAATCACCAACGTTCAGGCTGAGGTCTTGCAGTCCTGCCTGGCCCTGTGCTATGAAATCCTGAATGCTAGTCAGTCTGTTCTGCAACACTGCTGAATGCTGGTCAGTCTGTTCTGTAACACTGCTGAATGCTGGTCAGTCTGTTCTGTAACACTGCTGAATGCTGGTCAGTCTGTTCTGTAACACTGCTGAATGCTGGTCAGTCTGTTCTGTAACACTGCTGAATGCTGGTCAGTCTGTTCTGTAACACTGCTGAATGCTGGTCAGTTGTTCTGTAACACTGCTGAATGCTGGTCAGTCTGTTCTGTAACACTGCTGAATGCTGGTCAGTCCGTTCTGTAACACTGCTGAATGCTGGTCAGTCTGTTTTGTAACACTGCTGAATGCTGGTCAGTCTGTTCTGTAACACTGCTGAATGCTGGTCAGTCTGTTCTGTAACACTGCTGAATGCTGGTCAGTCCGTTCTGTAACACTGCTGAATGCTGGTCAGTCTGTTTTGTAACACTGCTGAATGCTGGTCAGTCTGTTCTGTAACACTGCTGAATGCTGGTCAGTCTGTTCTGTAACACTGCTGAATGCTGGTCAGTCTGTTCTGTAACACTGCTGAATGCTGGTCAGTCTGTTCTGTAACACTGCTGAATGCGAGTCAGTCTGTTCTGTAACACTGCTGAATGCTGGTCAGTCTGTTCTGTAACACTGCTGAATGCTGGTCAGTCTGTTCTGTAACACTGCTGAATGCTGGTCAGTCTGTTCTGTAACACTGCTGAATGCTGGTTGTGGGCTACCACAATCCTGAATACTGTTGGCTGTGACAATCCTGAATGTTGTGAGCTATGGGAATCCGGTATGCTCTGCTTTGCACAGATCACCGCCACCACTGTTGTTTGCTGAACAGCGCCAGCAAAATAGTAAGGGACGAGGAGAGTAGAATTTGCTTTTCTTATGGACTCTTCGGGATGGATTCACTGCAGACTACTTACAAATGCCCTGCGAGCCCCAATAAACCTGAAATACATCCTATGACCAATGCCCTCCAGCACATACAGTGAAATCTGTCTAAGGCGACCCCTCAAGGGACGAGAAAAAGTGGTCGCCGTGGCCAGGTGGTCTTCTTATCCAGGTTCAGCGGGTCATGTGACCATAATAATTATCCACATGTGATACATCATTTTGATCAGTGCATCACAGTGCACACGCCTATGCTACTCTAGCACGACTCATGTACCTGGGGTCCTCAGACCTGGCAAATGCCGTGCATGCACCATGTACATAATACACACTTCCTGCACTGATGTGTAGATCTACCATGCCTGGTGCACCATGCAATGCATACATTTACATGACTAGCACTGTGCAACGCGGTCGCGGGTGGGTGGTCGTTGGTCGCGTTGAGCGAGTGGTCGCCTTATCCGAGGTGTTTTGAACGTGAATGCGTCCGTGACAAGGAAAAGTGGTCGCCATTACAGGTTTTACTGTACACTCTCAGTGTTTGGTTTGAGGTCGAGCTGCGTGGAACCAAAAGAGAAAGTAGCCCTGTGCCCACGTGGGAGGTGCATTGTGACATGCTAGTGTCACCAAAAAGGGCTGGTAGCGTTGTTCCACTTTTTGAGATCAGATCAGGCAATGACGTTCATTTCCAAACTATTATTATGCTTGTCGCTCCCTGTCTGGTGACCTTCAGTTGTTTTCCGTTCGACCCTCATTTGAGTTGCACACTGTTGTGTTGATAAAATGAACTTAAATAAGTGAAAACAAACAAAAGGAAAAAAGCTGCTTGAACACATTGATGCAGGTGAAGCAGAATGCCTAGTCGCTCACTTCTGCATGATGCAATCTTGAACCAGAACATGAACCATTGGTGTTCAGGGAGAGGGGAGGGGAGGGGGGGGGGGGGGTTCACGAGATTCTCCTTAGGGATGCGTAGGGTGTTCATGTATCTAGTACTGTAGGTTGCAGAAGAACTAGGGGTCAGCCTAGTAGCCTGGGCTGTTCTAATTTTCATGTACAGCAGCCTATGTGCAGCGTGGTCCCCTGCGCACCTAACAGTATGCTGTGCTTGGTGAATTCCTAGCCTGTTCATTCCTCATTGCTTCGTTCTTTGGCGCCCAACAGTACACTATACTGCCTGATTTCCAGTCGAGACATACCGTATATTCGGCAATACTGGCCGAGGCGCTTAGGCTGCGTTTACACGACACCGATTGACAACGATTTGCTTTTACACGACAACGAAGGACAACCCAAACGGAACGAAATGGTTGCGTTTACCACTATCGTTCACCGGACAACGCTCGAAAACGATACCTAAACAGAACGAAATGTAAACGCATTTTAAAATGTTTTGAAAATTGAAATGTTTTCATAACGTTTTTGTTCTCGTGTAAACGGCGAAAACAGTGAAAACAATTGGAAACGAAGCGCGGTCATGGAAACCATTCGCGCGGGACTATATTTCCCGGGAAATACCCAACCCTTGCGCCCGCCAGCACTTGCCGAACTCCAACTAACGTGTTACTTATCGCCCTTGCGCCAAGCGAACACGTGCTCCAGCCTGATCCCCCGTTTTCCGTTTTCGTGTTAACGGTTCAAAATGATTTGCCGTTATCTTGTTAACGGTTTGAAAACGATTCGAGGCCAGCCTGTTTTCGTTCCGTTCCGTTTTTTATCGTTTCGTCTCCGTGTAAACGGATCCTTAGTTGTTCGCGAGCCCTAAAATTTCACCTATTTTGAAAAGTCCACACAAAAGCCCTGAAATGATGTGGTGTGTATTTCAGACAGGCGGTAATACAGAAGACAGGCGCGAAGTTTTGAAAATACGGTACTATCCTCCGAAGTACAGCTTCCGCACTGAGAGGCGTATCCAATTTTGAAAGAAAATGTGTCAGCTGCAATCCACACAGTCAAATTTTTTCCCACACGTATAGCGTGAGGTTCTTGATCTATGCTTTTGCCGTAGCTCTACATGTATATGTTGCTGTATTTTGACATTTTCCATTATTAATTTTGTTGTACTTACCCATGATGAAAAGGAACGAAAACGTTCGGTTACTAAAATGGCTTTCTTGACTGTGTGGATTGCGTCGGTGCTGTCACCTTTTCTTTCGAAATCGTTCTTGGAGTGAGCACTTAATTAAGGAATCCTGTCGCTCCTAGTGATAGCATTTCATATCTTCTTCATGTTTTAACTTCACTATTTACGATTCCGTTTACTTCTCTGTCCTATTTTTCCCTACAGATGATAAAGATTATGACGATGATATCCAAGAGACCAGGTATGGCTGCACGGTAGTATCCGGTGTATCTACAGGTATACAGTCAGGTACATGATCAATCTGACCTGGTTGACATTTTCACTTTGATGAACCAGCGTGTAGTTTCACTGCTAAGGGATTAGGACTAATTTCTCGCAGAGCGAAGGGCTCACAAAAAAACAGCATGGCTCAATGTAGCTGCACATACTGCATGCTTTTGCAGGGCATCAGAGGAACAGTTAACCTCGTTGCCGGAGAATAACCCGCACTTGAGTAAAATACACACCTTTTTTCGTCGCGAAATGCCGACATTTACTCCGTTCATCACCGTTAATCTGACCATTCTAGTGTAAGCCGCAGTGACCTTTACGGGGTGAATTACCGGCGTGCGGCTAATACTCCGGAAAACACGTTTCTGTCACTTTACTGCACGCACTGTGCCAAGCCCTAGCATGGAATATCATTGCCGACTGTAGTGGACTGAAGCATGCAGAAGGATGCTCGTTGGGGAGCTGATAGTAAACAAATGGCTATCGGCACCTGGCATCAGTCTTTATCGCTCGCATGGTACCGTTGTGACCGGAGAAATCCAGCGTCGTGAATATTGTAGCGCCGCGTTTGAGTGCACAGAACAGTGTGTGTGTGGGAGGGGGGGGGGTGTGTAGTGCTGATGCTGTGTTTCTCAAGTAGCATAGCACTGGCTCACTCTGCTGGATGAAGTTACACGGTGCTCTAGCAGTGGATAGTGAGCTTGACACTAACTAACTTGTTGACCTCACTGCTGCACTTCCTTCAGGTGGACCCATCCCTGGAAAAAGAGTTCTTACTTGAAGCCAGAGGAACCGGCAGTGCTTACACCTCCTTGCGATACTGGATATCTGAAGGGGTACATAAGGACAATGCATTTTGTTAGGGGTGGGGGTGCATAACTATGTGTGTGTACGAGTACGTTCGTTCTTGTCGAGACAATTTGTGAGGCCTGATGGTGTCAGCATGTACTTCCTCCGGAAACAAAAACTTCGTGACTTTTTTCATTACTTTTCGCTGCTGTTATTTCGCTCTTTCTCTCTGGTTCTGTCAGCCTGAAACACTGACAAGACATTTCGGAATCATAGGAAAGCAGGATTCATATTCTGGAGAGCCGACAGTCGTCGCAGAGCAAGGATGGTGTTGAAGCGGTAAACAAAGCAAAACGAACATGTTTTCATTTTCGTCCACCAGACGCAATGCGAAGAAAAGCACTGCGCTCACTGCTCGTTGCTGCTTTTGTTTTAGTTCAGAACTTGACAGAGCAGGACATAGGCACCGAAGAGCAAGAAGAGCGGAAAGTGAATAGCAATAGCAGCTAGCGTTTTGAAATCTTCGCCATCCCGAAACGCCTGGCCGGCATGCGAACAGGTCGGCAAAAAAAACTAAAAAACGCAGAGATGTGTCAATCGTCACTTCACGCAGCAGAGCAAGACGAACAAGTTCAAAATACATGTAGAAGTTGTTAAGCCACTGCAGAGCCCCGACCTCAACGTGGATGATCTCGCCTTTTCCAGCAGCCTCGACGATGTGTCCTTGGTCGCAAAGGAGAACAGGCGACATCTGATCGGGGCAGTCGGGAAGTGCTGGTACGACTATGATATCCCTAGGAGGAAATTTGAAATGTTTGGCTTTGCCTGTCCGGCTGTGTTTGTTGCTTCGGGGCATCCTCGAGCGAGAGAGGGGGCGGTAATGAGTACCAGCGCTTCAGCGCTACCGTGGTCTCCGCCGAGATGTTGGACAAGGCGTTCAGGTAACAGCGAAGACGATCGAAGCTTCTCCGCGACATACGACATCGCGTCTATCGACCTGCTATTTGGAACGATTTCAGCGGTGATGAGTCGAGCGATGGCAACACAGACTGAGACTCTACTCCCACTAATCGATCCTGTAGATATTGTAGATATGTCGATTGAATGTGTTGAAGTGTTTCTCTTCCAAAAGAACACTTTTGTTGGGCACAGTAACTCCTTGAAAAGTCATGTGGAAAAGTCACGAAGTTTTTGTTTCCGGAGGAAGTATATACTTGTATTATGCCATGGCGGCCCATTACGCTTGTCAGTTAGGGTAGCATTGAGGAGAAACAAGTCTAGCCTAATCTATGAGAGGCAACTTTCTTCCAATAAAGCCCCGTTTTGACCCCTTTGCAACATGTGAATGCGACGACAGTGTTTGAATTGCCCCAGCCTCCACTTCCTCTGCTTAACGAAACCTCTCTTGATCAGTCATTATTCCTTAGTGGAGCCTTTGCCTGTAGAACTGGCAGCCTGCCACAATCGTTGTACAATTTGACATTCAATTTGATGAGTGCCAATACGTTGTTGGGTACACTGCTTCATTTCCCTCAGGGCGACCAAGCATACTCCACAGGCAGGAAAGTTGCATCCATCGCCGTCAAGAGAAATTACGCTCGATACGCCTCCTCTTGATGTTTTTTCAGGAATGAAGTAGGTTTGGACGATCATCAGTATGTGCCTGCTTGTTCATCTGTCTGTCCGTATGTGTGTGTGTGTGGGTGGGTGTGTCTGTATGTGTGTCTGTTTGTCTTTCTGTCCATTTGTCTGTCTGTCTGTTTGCCCATCTGTCTGTCCATCTGTCTGTCTGTCTGTCCGTCTGTCTGTCTGTCTGTCTGTCTGTCTGTCTGTCCATCTGTCTCCATATCCATGCGTCAGTCCAACTGTGTTTGTGCATGCCTGCATGCCTGCCCGAGTGAGTGTCTGTTTGCCTGAGTGTTAGTCTGCCTGTCTGTCGTTCGGTGTGTAAGTAGGTATGCAGGTTGGTCTGTTGGTTAGTTGGTCTGTTGGTCTGTTGGTTGTGCTTGTGTATGTGTGTGTATGTGTGTGTATGTGTGTCTAACTGTCTGTCCTGCCACCCACCCGTCCGCCCGTCCGCACGCCCATCAATTATCAATTTTGCTGGCCCATCACGCTTGTCAGTTAGGGTAGCATTGAGGAGAAACAAGCCTAGTCTAATCTATGAGAGGCAACTTCTTTCCAATAGAGCCCCGTTTTGACCCCTTTGCAACATGTGAATGCGACGACAGTGTTTGAATTGCCCCAGCCTCCACTTCCTCTGCTTAACGAAACCTCTCTTGATCAGTCATTATTCCTTAGTGGAGCCTTTGCCTGTAGAACTGGCAGCCTGCCACAATCGTTGTACAATTTGACATTCAATTTGATGAGTGCCAATACGTTGTTGGGTACACTACTTCATTCTCCTCAGGGCGACCAAGCATACTCCACAGGCAGGAAAGTTGCATCCATCGCCGTCAAGAGAAATTACGCTCGATACGCCTCCTCTTGATAATGTTTCACGAATAAAGTAGGTTTGGACGATCATTGGTATGTGCCTGCTTCTTTGTTCATCTTTCTGTCCATGTGTCTCTCTGTCGGTGTGTGAGTCTGTGTGTGTGTGTCTGTTTGTCTGTCTGTTTGTCTGTCTGTTTGTCCATCTCTCTGTCTGTCTGTCTGTCCATCTCTCTGTCCATCTGTCTCTATATCCATGCGTCAGTCCATCTGGGTCTGTGCCTGCCTGCCCGAGTGAGTGTCTGTTTGCCCGAGTGTTAGTCTGCCTGTCTGTCGTTCGGTGTGTAAGTAGGTATGCAGGTTGGTCTGTTGGTTAGTTGGTCTGTTGGTCTGTTGGTTGTGCTTGTGTATGTGTGTGTATGTGTGTGTATGTGTGTCTAACTGTCTGTCTTGCCACCCACCCGTCCGCTCGTCCGCACGCCCATCAATTATCAATTTTGCTGGCCCATTACGCTTGTCAGTTTGGATAGCATTGAGGAGAAACAAGCCTAGTCTAATCTATGAGAGGCAACTTTCTTCCAATAGAGCCCCGTTTTGACCCCTTTGCAACATGTGAATGCGACGACAGTGTTTGAATTGCCCCAGCCTCCACTTCCTCTGCTTAACGAAACCTCTCTTGATCAGTCATTATTCCTTAGTGGAGCCTCTGCCTGTAGAACTGGCAGCCTGCCACAATCGTTGTACAATTTGACATTCAATTTGATGAGTGCCCATAGCCAGCAATCGCATGTCATCACGTACATTCAAAATCAACATAATTTTGCGAATCGACCTTTTTTTCAGGATCACTTTTCAACGAGGACGAAGCAAAGTCGGCCGAACGAAGCCTAGAGGAAGAAAATAACCCTCTCCACTTCACCATCGCGATACTGACATAGATACGAGATGAAACAACTAAAAAATCCACAAGAAAACTGTACGGCCATCATCGCGCTGACTTTGGTCTGACTTTGGTCTGAGAATTTCTATTACGATCAAAAATGTACGAGGAGCACTCAAAAATAAGCCACAGACGTACCTTTATCGCTCTCTACTCCTTTTTCAAGGCACAAAAGTCGACTCTCCACTTTCAAACCAGGAACCAGACATACAAGTGGTCCTTTTCAGCTGCCCCACGAGCGCAGGAAATGTTCACCAAGGGGCACAGAGCAGCATCCATTCCAGAAAAAGAGCTAAAATACGAGTGAGGCTGCATGACTGAGTACATGAGTACATGTATGAGTACATGCAGAAAATAGTCAATTTCAGCGTTTCTGCTCCAAACAGCAACTAGCTTCGACTAGAAACAAAGATTACACCAAAGGATCAAACAACAACCATTTTCTGCAGTTTTTTTGCAGATGGCTTCCTTGTGCTTAGCCCAGCACGCCAAAAATCACACCTCGGAGAAGTACCAAAATCACAACTCCCAGATGTCCTCGATTGCTGGCCATGCAATACGTTGTTGGGTACACTGCTTCATTCTCCTCAGGGCGACCAAGCATACTCCACAGCCAGGAAAGTTGCATCCATCGCCGTCAAGAGAAACTACGCTAGATACGCCTCCTCTTGATAATGTTTCACGAATAAAGTAGGTTTGGACGATCATTGGTATGTGCCTGCTTCTTTGTTCATCTGTCTGTCCATGTGTCTCTCTGTGGGTGTGTGAGTCTGTGTGTGTGTCTGTTTGTCTGTCTGTCTGTCTGTTTGTCCATCTCTCTGTCTGTCTGTCCATCTGTCTCTATATCCATGCGTCAGTCCATCTGGGTCTGTGCCTGCCTGCCCGAGTGAGTGTCTGTTTGCCTGAGTGTTAGTCTGCCTGTCTGTCGTTCGGTGTGTAAGTAGATATGCAGGTTGGTCTGTTGGTTAGTTGGTCTGTTGGTCTGTTGGTTGTGCTTGTGTATGTGTGTTTATGTGTGTGTGTATGTGTGTCTAACTGTCTGTCTTGCCACCCACCCGTCCGCCCGTCCGCACGCCCATCAATTATCAATTTTGCTGGCCCATTACGCTTGTCAGTTAGGGTAGCATTGAGGAGAAACAAGCCTAGTCTAATCTATGAGAGGCAACTTTCTTCCAATAGAGCCCCGTTTTGACCCCTTTGCAACATGTGAATGCGACGACAGTGTTTGAATTGCCCCAGCCTCCACTTCCTCTGCTTAACGAAACCTCTCTTGATCAGTCATTATTCCTTAGTGGAGCCTTTGCCTGTAGAACTGGCAGTCTGCCACAATCGTTGTACAATTTGACATTCAATTTGATGAGTGCCAATACGTTGTTGGGTACACTGCTTCATTTCCCTCAGGGCGACCAAGCATACTCCACAGGCAGGAAAGTTGCATCCATCGCCGTCAAGAGAAATTACGCTCGATACGCCTCCTCTTGATGTTTTTTCAGGAATGAAGTAGGTTTGGACGATCATCAGTATGTGCCTGCTTGTTCATCTGTCTGTCCGTATGTGTGTGTGTGTGCGTGCGTGTGTGTGTGTGTGTGTGTGTGTGTGTGCTGTGTGTGTGCTGTGTGTGTCTGTCGTGTCTGTCCCGGGAACATGATAAGATTTCCAAATTGCTCTGACACAATGTCCTGCCACTGCTGGAAACGGTCGGACCCTGCCGGACACTGTGATTTTGGCAGATATTGTGATACATGTCCATCTACATGTCTATTTTTCACCACTTTCATACACGTACACGACAACACTGCACACGTACATGCCCCCAAGAGTACATATCACCCCCCCCCCCTCCTGGGGGGGGGGGGGGTGATATGTACTCTTGGTGCTACAGTGCTGGCAACCAAAATCCGACCACCTAGAGATGCGCTCACATTCTAGCGGTCTCTATTTTTGTACTTCTGAAGAAGTTTTACTATCCGGCCGTGCCGTGTTGGGCCTTTGCGATGTGAGCGCGCACCGCTCAGGGGTCGGACTTCAGTTGCCAGCACTGTATAGTAGTATTGGTATTACAGTGCTGTGCTAAGAGTCACATCACACAGATCTCAAGTAGATGTAACACTGACTCCAATCTCTGTGCATTGCCATTGTGCAGCAAACACAGTACCGTTAAAGTCTGTAAATAAGTATGTATCTACTTTCGAATTTAGTGACCACACCCGTACTAACTTTCGGGCGGGTACCGCTCAGGGGTCGGACTTCAGTTGCCAGAATCAACTTTGGAAACTCATCTGTAGCCTTGTCATCTTTACTAACCTCAAGAAAACTCAAGCAAGATACTGTTACACACAAACAATCTATGGTTACACCATGCAGACCAGTGTTCTCCATATTTTCACCCAGGAGGACCCCTGTTGATGATGACCTCATGGGTGAAAATATGGAGAAAATCGGTTTTTCGTAGTGTAGCCAATGACTGTATTCTACGTATGCTAGGGGCTGAACGGTAGTAGAGATGTTACTCATTGTGTGGCACTAACTGCAACTGGTGTAATTCTCTTCTCACTCACCTCAGGGTGCACCGCCGTCCAGTGTCGCCCACATCGTCCCAATACCCGTTTGTCAAGAATGAACCTGCGGCGAGACCTTGGAGGTCACCAAGTAAACATTGGGCTGTTATCATTCTGTGTACAAAATTCATGTTGGTAGCATATCTGTCACAGGTGAACTGCTGGCCAAAGAGCACATTTAGCCTTGCCTGATTGACTGCAACTGTACTCGTGTAGGAGTTGCATTATTTGATAGAAATTATATTTTCACAGCTACTATGCTCGTATCTGGGCATGCGGCCAGCTTACTACAGGTGGAATCCTGATAATTCGAATATGGCTTAATTCGAACATACCGCTTAATTAGAAGTTTTTCCAGGACCGATTTCTATCAATACGATTCCCACATAAAGCTTTCTGATCATTCGAACCTCGAACTGGATATGTCCGGTTAATTGGAAGTCCCACAGATTCCACTTACATAGAAAATGTGTGGGATTTGTGATGATAATTCGAAGTTAGCAAAGTGTAATTCGAAGTTCACTGTACACTGTACTGGTCAGGTCAGTTTGCATGAGGCCTAGTTCACATTCGACGGGGCGCGACGGGACGCGACGTAAGGATCGACGGGAAGCGACGGGACGGTCTGACAGCGTCCAATGTGAACACCGTGAACGGGAACGCAACCGTACTACCGTACAGATCGGGAAGCGACGGGAAGAGTTGGATCGATCCAACTTATCATACCGTAGACAGGCGTAGACGGGGACGCAAGCGTAAAAAACGGCTGCGATTCGAGTGTGAACAGGAGACGGCATGGTGCGTCGACTACTCCCGTTCGTACTTGGAAATTTTTAGCATTTCGAACACTGTGCTTCCCATGATAACTCACAGAATGGCTAGCACGACTTGAGTTGAATTTTAGCAACATAAGATCTCATGTCACTTATTGTATTTAGGCATAGTTCAGAAGCGTGACAGACGAACTATTCTATCATTTCCTGGGGCTATTATTTGAATGCCACAACTTTCAGGGCTAATTTTTTGGTCTTCATGAAAAACTGGTATTGTGAACTTGATTCCGCTTCTTTCAAGGAGAAATAAGTGAAAAGAAGTCCCGAAAAACGAGAAATTAGGTCCGAAAGTCACCCCGTCACGGACCGTGCCTTATGACTCGCGCCGTTCAACGTTGAACGTCGCAACGACTGCTGCATGCCGTGTCGTGCGCATCGTACAGGATTTTACAGCTCACCCCAGCCCTCCAGACAAGCCCGTCCCGTACCGTCGGCGTTGCGTCGAATGTGAACTAGGCTTGAGCAGGCTGTGCCGGTCAGTTCAGTATCCGTGAAATCTGTGTCTAAGGTCCATAGCGCAACTCTGCGTGACTCTGAGAGCATTTTGACATGCATATTGCGTTGTCGGTTCATGTTTGGATAATTAGAATGTCTGGATAATTAGAGAAGTTTTTTCCTGGCATTTTGAGGTTCGAATTATCAAGATTCCACCTGTACTAGGTAGTAGCCCATGTGATGAAGAAGTGCGCTACAGATTTGATTGCACTGTGGGAACTTTTCAAAATTTGAAATCGGTCATCCACGCTTAATAGTGTGATTGAGCGCAGTAAGAGGGTGCATTCTTTCACTGAACTTGGGAGTTCCCCAAACTCAACTTCAGCACTGAAATGTGCAATGCAGATACAGGTGTCCATGTTTTGGAGCACAACACGTTGTGTGTCATGGCAGAGAGTCACACCTCGGTTTGAGACCGTTGTACCCGGCTACAGTATGGCGTTCACTTTGTCTCTGACCCGGAACGCGTGATTGCGACCACTCACAATATTCCACCAAAGGCAGTCTGCCGATGCTGATTCACAAAACAACTCTGCGACGCGACCTGCGACACCTGCGACGAGCTGTGACCACGACACACGAATTACAATTTATTCCCGTAGCTATGCAGAAGACGTTACTTCAGTAACGTCTGGCGCTAGCCAGGGTCCGCACAGCTTTAATTTGGTGTTTGTGCGTTTGTTTGTTTGTGTCACGCCTGGCGCTATCCGTATCTGACGGCAAAAAAGCATAGGATGTTATAAATTTTTCAATTCTCCTATTTTTTTTTAAGGCATATCCTGGGATTCGAACCCGCACTATCGCCCTACATGCATTCCCCCATACACTTCGCATTCATACCCATTCTTCCAAGTTGCTTCACGTTATTATCTTGCGTTTGAAAGCCCTATTTGAATATTGCGGGCAGCTGCATGTGGCCAGCTGTGTTTGATGGTACGGTACGGTACGGGAGACGGTGTCGTATTACCCTCGATCGTACCTGTCCCGTACCTATCCCCTACCGTACCGTGCCATCAAAGACGGCTGGCCACAATGCATATTCAAATAGGGCTTTCAAATGCAAGATCACAATGTGAAACAACTTGGAAGAATTAGTATGTATGTGAAGTGTATCGGGGGATGCATGCAGGGCGCGCGATAGTGCAGGTTCGAATCCTAGGTTATGTCTTAAAAAAAGGATTTTTTTAAAGAATTTATAACATCCCTATGCTTTTTTTTTGTCTAGGTCATCAAGGCAAAAAAGCATAGCGTAGGGCCCTGAGCTTGCAAGCTCTCTCGTTATGTTTTTGGGACACCTCTATGCAGTGCATGTGCACTGTATGTGCACTGCACTCGCAGCCAGAGTAACAACTGTACTCCATTTGTGTATGTCTCGCGTCACACGTCGCAAAAGTTGATCTTTCTTCAACTTCTGTGACGGGTACCTTTCAACTGTACGCGACAGCTCGCAATAGGCATTTTCTTGTCTCAACTGTCGCAAATCGCATGACGGGTCATAAAACGTATTGTGACTCGGCCTTAGGGAGCATATCATAAGTTCGCATTTTTTGTAAACGTAACGCATTTCGAATAGACTTTACCTCCCTACTTCCCCCTCTATTCGAAAGTCTTATCGCGCATTTTCTGTGTTTATCTACTATACATGTATCTATACTGTACACGTCCATGCCCCGTGCCATGGTATGCTTATGTACAGTCAGTATCGCCTATAGCGTTGGTGTTTGATTTTGAGCATTTTATCACTATAAGCGATATATTACTATGACCGATACTGCATGCAATGTATGCGAGTGCTAGTGGGGTGTCAAACGACTCAGCGCGCCGTGCACATTCGCACTACATACATGTACAATGTCATGTAGCTGGCTGTAGCTCCTGACACAGAAAGTCAGCATTTCCTCACGATGGAGGCATATTTTGGCAAATTGTGCGAGCAAAACTCACCAAACAACACTCACTGGACAAGTTCTTCACGAAGAAGTAACACCCTGTTCTCCTCTAACATCGCTTGATTTTACATCAATCACTATAACCGATGCAAAAATAATGTAATAAAGGTCTTTTGAAATATGAATTTGATCGCTATTGGCGATATGTATAGGATATTGACTAAGACGAGGTCTATATGGGAAATATAGGCCGAGTAAAAGACCGAGGTCCGCCGAGGTCTTTTACGAGGCCTATATTTCCCATATAGACCGAAGTCGAGGTCAATATCCTATTTATCACGATTCCTTTGCCATAACCCCACAATTTGAACCTTTAGGAGCTATTCTAACCTTTTTAGTATAGCATTTGTACTATAGTGTACATAGGATGTTGCCTATTTTGGGTACAAGACTGTAAGAACAACAGAGTTCAGCATCTGCAGCACAGTGGCTGGGTGGTATAAGGGGTTGCTTGAGATCCATACTGTTGTGAGTTCGAATCCTGCTTGTTCTCTTCCTTTGTCTTCTTTCTTTCAATTTTTCTTTTTGAAGTGGAGAAAAAAATTCTAAGTCCCTCCAAAGTCGAAAGATTACAATGCCTAAATGGTCGATACAAGCGGTCGATATAAGCGATCGATATTGCGGCGATATGGGTAATATAGGACCAGTCAAGGATCACGAGAATTAGTGGACGTCGATATAGTATTAGAAGCTTCTCCGCGTGGGCATCAATGCAATGTAGATATACACAGCATGTATAGCTTTCGCATAAGCCGAAGCGACAACAGCCAAACAGGATATTGATGGCGATATAAAACATATGCGATATAAAACGCGTGACGAAAATAGAATACAATTAAGACAAGCAAACGAGCAGCTCAACCGAGTTGAATTTGAATTTACTGATCATTACCAGGGTTCATCTGTGAGCAGCAACATATCTCTCCAGGATATGGCCGCTGAGGTAGGTCCACGCCCCGCGATTCTGGGCGATGCTCCTCAGCTCCTCAAGATCTGCCGTCGATATAGAAGAGTGATAAATTACTATAGACGATTATTACTATAGACGGTAACCGTGTATACTTAGTTATGGCAAATGAAAATGAATTTCAGAAATTGATCACTATATCCGGTATATTACTATAGCCGCCAACCTTATAGGCGATACAGACTGTACATGTACTTGGATATGAATATTATGCTGGTGTTGTAGTTCATGGCATACAGTCAGTAGTACCGCAACTACTGAGTACAAGACACTACAATCAATGACATGTACACACACATACTTGACAAGCACCCTGCTCATTTACAGTCACTTAATTGGTTTTTAAGTCAGGTGGCACCACCCAAAGCTGTGTTCGTCTCTCCCTAGCTAGGTCTACCCTATTCGTAAATTCCCCTTTCTTTTCCTCCTACTCCACGTGGCTCCAACTGCCTCCCAGTGTTAGACAAGCTCCAGATTATCCCCAGATTCCGTACCCTCGTCGGACAGCACTTCAGTATCTCCCAGTAAACAAAATCACAATCACCACTTCCGCTGCATAGCTCGCTGAGCATCCCATTGCTTTGTAAGTTGCTAATCCCTTCCCACTTTGTGTACGTGCTCTTCATTTTCTTTTTCTCTTCTTCCGTGGTTGGTCTCACCCTCTCCTCAATTCAATTGGCTGTCTTGACATGCCACGAGGTGCAGAAATAAATAAATAAAATAAAATAAACATAGTTCCTCCACAACAGCTGTACATGATTGTACTGCTGTAAAGGCTAGCAAGGTACACGGTTTGATCAGGCTGGTGTGACATTTGACACCTCTGAGCAGCCTGCATGCATGCAGTGCAAGGGTTAGCTGAACTGCAAACACAGGTAGATCTACACCTAAACACACTTATTTGCTGAAGAGATCTAGCAAGGTAGTAGATTGTACACTAGTTGCACTTCCAGAAAATGTGCGAACTCTCATTTTCCTATTCGAAAAGGGCGCTCCCCTCCCCCCACCCCCGTTTTGAAATGCGTTGCGTTTAGGGAAAAATGCGAACTTCTGAGATGCTCCCTTAGGCTGCAACCACACTAGGTACAAAACTGCGTAAACGCAACTTTTCTGCTTGTGTCGTCAAGGAAACGCGTACGAAACGCAAAACGTACTGCGTTTCGTTTCAGCAAACCGGGTACCCCTGTAGAAAGCAACTTTTCGCCTTTTCCTTGCGTTTCGCTCGGTTCTTCATACGGGTAGATGTTTCTTGTTGAGGCTTGCACTGTGTCCGTAGTAGACCGTGACGGCTTCCTTGTCAGTGCAGTTTGTAGTATTTGAGATTTCATCTGCCAGGGCTTTGCTTTCAGTATAATTTCCGGACAGTCCCGTTGCCTGCTGTTGTTAGTTCGAGATGCCGCGCAACTACATTGTATTTCGCTGATAATCTCGAATTGAGAAGCTCATGCAGCTTGGGGCAGCGTACCATGAAGACGAAGCAGGGCCAGATGACAGCCTGGAGCGGACAATCCGAGAGAAGGAGATGACCGAGGCCTTGAACGTGTATGTCAAGGCGCTCGCGACTCTTTTTCAAACTACTAGTACTACTACATGTAGTACAATACATTTTCACAGCGCTATTTTTTCTGGGACCCAGAAATGTAGACAAAACGCAAGGATTCCTTGCGCATGAAATGGCAGTGTGGATGCGACTTTGCGTTATCTAAAAGCTGAACGCAAACGCGTACTTGATTTTGTACATAGTGTGGTTGCAGCCTAAGTTAGGAAGGTAAATCTTGTGTCTCGGAGTGCTACTGTTGTTGGTGTGTCTATGTTAGGTGATGCAGCTGTCATACTTTCGAGATACCTTTTATTCCGGAGTATAAGCCGCACTTGAACCCTTTTCGAGTCAGGAGCGCATACATGCGCTCTGAAACTATGACGCGTTTGTCCATGAGTGCATATATGTTCAAAAAATCGCGTGTTACATCGCAGTAAATAGACCAGTGTACAAACTATCGTAACTCCGCATTGCGGCAATCAATACACCGTTGGAAAGGTGTTGAGCTCATCTTCCCGGAAAATAAAGTTCTTCGCGATAGGATAAAGATTCACTGAGCAGCGACAAGATGAACACGGAAATCAAGGCCCAGAGCGAACGCAATTTTTGTTTTCATGACTTCGCAGTTTTTTGGAGCTTCCTTTTAGCATAACGCATGCGTGATGAACGTCGAATGAAGCGCTTGGATCTCAGCTTTGCGGTGCAGTTTGAATCGTGAAAATCGGTTGAATTTGGGCAAGATGCCGAACTAGAACGTGAAATTGAGTTGTGCCGTTCCTAGGCGCGGTGGAGTAGTTTGGAGAGGAGGTGGAAGTGGCCCTGGTGTGTCTATGTTGCTGAGATCTACTATGATGGATTCGCTTGGTCCTGATCTTTCCAACAAGCCCAGGATTATGAAAATCCAGCAAGGTGGAGTGAAATGAGAATAAATTTCGTTCGGAGCTGTGCACGCAAACTCCAACAAAAGAGTCAGTTCGCTGGACAGCCGGCCGATTGGAGAAAAGGGGCCCAGCATGCAAAGGGTGAAACACCAGTAATTCATCCCAAAGATGTCGTTGCGGCTTGCACTACGATGGTGAAGTTTACGGTGGTAAATGGCGTAGAAGTCTGTGTGTCGCGCGGCATATACTCCAGCGCGGATTATACTCCGGAAAATACGGTAGTTCCGGAAACATTCCGTGTTGCTGACGTAAAGGTTGTGAAGTGTTTTGGACTGGGTAGTGCAAGATCATGTGAAGTCACGTTCAAATGGTCTTTTTTGATCTTTTCATCTATCAGGTATGGGTCCTGTACCCAGGAAGCGACCTGCTAGTCCTCCCTCATCTGGTCTGCCAGATTCTAAGAAGCTAACCATCTCACCACCACGTCTCTCTGGGCAAAGAAAGAGGAAAAAGCCGGCCACTGGATCTGAATCCAGCACCGCGAGAATCACCAAACAGGTATGGCTTGGAGGTTCACGCTCCATATGAGCGATCCTCAGAAACGCTGTCATTGCTCGCACTGCAGTTGGTACATGTATTATTCCACAGCACTGCATATTGGATACGCCTTGCAAATTTATTCTTCAACTGACAATACAATCCTTTAATGAGATGGCAGAGATTATTGGACCCCGGCCGATGGTGTGTGAAGTGACAAAACATTGTCCTTCTTAACACATAGTTCAGGGGACAACTTACGAGTATTATAACGCTTCCAAAACAGACAAATGTAATACAGATCTACCACGGGCCAAAACTGAGAAAACATCATCTCTGTACAACTCACGACAACTATCACTAACCGACAGATGACTCTTGATAGCCCATTGCTGATTGTTGGAATTTCGCGCCTTTTTCGTCACCTCCAATGTCGCAGCTCTTGACTCGTCCTTTCCACTGGGCAGTCGCCTTGTCGTCACTTCTGATGCTGCAGGGCCTGACTCGTCCCTTCCACCACACCGCCTGGTCACTCGTCTGGTGTCTGACTCTTCTGTTGTCTTGATCAATGGCTTTCGTGGTGGTCTTCCACGCTTCCTCCCACTTACGCTCGTTGTCACTTCCAGTATCGTCGCCTGTTCGTCGCCTCCAGTATGCATCCTCACCTGGCTGCGAGTGACTCTTCGACTCAGTGTCCCTGGCATTGTCTTCTTCGGTGGAGTTTTCACAGCTCTGCACCTCTTTGCTTTGCCGGCTTGGGCTGGCCCAAGCCCAGCACATGCCGTCGTTTTGGCCCGTGGCAGATGTGTATTACATTTGTCTGTTTTGGAAGCGTTATATATTCGCAAGTTGTCCCTGAACTATGTGTTCAGAAGGAAAATGTTTTGTCACTTCAGTTGTTTGGCGCTAATCCTCGTGAAATTGTCAGGAATGCTTCTTCTCATTGAGGTTTTCATTCCTTTTTAGTCATTTCTTTACCTTCACCCTGTTGTTGACCTGTCAGCTGAATTTCTGAATTTTATATTTTTCCACACGTATAGCATGGGGTTCTCAATCTATGCTTTTGCTGTAGATCTATAAGTTGCTGTATTTGACATTTTTCCATTATTCCCTGTATTTACCCGTGATGAGAAGGGAACGAGAACGTTCCGTTACTAAATTGGCTTTACTTAAATGAAAAAGTGTTCTCTTTGCCGCGAATTCGAAATCTCAATCAAATTTCGGCCAGGAGCCATCATCCATTAGCACATGTTTTTAATTAAATTAAGTAGTAGGGCTGTATTGAAAAGACTTACTCAAGAGAATCTCTTTAGAGGAATAACAGTGTTAAGGGACGGGATCAGGAGTCTGCCGATTCGGTGTAAATGGAGTTGGAAGGAGACTCAGAGATTCAGAAATTTGTAAGTGCATGTTCCACGCGTATATATTGTAATGCGGACGAATTGAGGCTTTGCTTGACCCTGTCTTAATTTGTTGCCGCCTGCAGATAGCCATTGAAGGTGAGGCCAGCGATGTGCAGCTGTTCATGAGCCGCATGAAGCGATGGGCATGGCGCTCAAACGTTGAATTGAGAAACGTGCAAGTTGAAAGGTACGTAGGCTTTGCCTCCTGCTAAGCAAATCAGGCTGCAAGTAAGATGATACCGGAAGCATTCAGATGTCAATTACTGTAAACCCGGAAGCCTTTTGCCATCCGGAATCCTTCACGGTTATCGCTGTGGGTGTGAAATCACAAGAATAAGCCGGTGCGAAACGTAGAACTGTAGTCTCCAGTCGCAAACACATCCGGGTTAAAATGTGTCTGTGCTCGCAAATCGCGAACAAGAACCGGCGCAAAGGTTTCCGGGTTTGCAGTACACTATAAAAGAACTCAGACTGACCTCCAAGCTTCTATAGTAGTTGCAGCTGGGTTGTGCAGGGTGGTGATGGGGGGGGGGGGGGGAGGGGGCAAATCTGATTAGGTCCTCATGTCTGCACGTGTCTGTCTACCTAGTTGATTGAGAAATTGTGCGGCTGTAACCAAGTAGAAACGGTGTTTCCCCTCCATGTTTGTAGGCCCGACCCAGACCAGGCTGGCAAAGAAGTAGTTCAAAGTCAAGAAAGCAATCAAGAATGTGTTCAAAGTCAAGAATGCGTAAGTAGATCTCTGGACCCAGCATGCTGACCGATGTTTCCCGTCAATTGCTCGGCTCATGTTGCCTTTGATGTTCCTCTGCCTTCGGGTTGCATTGACCATGAAATGAAAATGTTCATGTGTCTTCACCAACGATCCTTGCACTTAAAGGGGAAGTATACCCTAAAATCAAATTTTCACCAGTTGTAGTCTTCGGGGTGCTGTGTCGAATGGTCTTGGTCCAAGGAAGTGGAGACGCCCCCTTCCTCCTTTATTCCCAATCACACTCGCCCACTTCCACCGAAACTGGGTGACTGCGCCCTACTAGATGGATATTTGTATGCAAAAAGTCACTAAATTCCCCGTTTCGTTCTTATAAAAGCACGGATGACCGTGATTGGCCCATATGTTGTAGTCTTTTGGACGCTGAGTCAACTGGTTTTCGTCCGAAACGGCTGCAATGCAGCGTTCAGCCCTTATTCCCAATCGAACACGGGTGAGTAAGCGGCCACGTGCTCATGCGTACACGAATCGCCTGGTCACCGTGCCTGCAGGCTACAGCTTCCACACCAAGGTTCAACTCAAAGGTTCAAAGGTTCAACTTGTGTGACAGGAATGCTGTGAAAGTTGTAGCCTGCAGGCACGGTGACCAGGTGACTGGTGTACGCATGAGCACATGGCCGCTTACTCACCCGTGTTCGATTGGGAATAAGGGCCGAACGCTGCACCACAGCCGTTTCGGACCAAAACCAGTCGACTCAGCACCCAAAAGACTACAACATATGGGCCAATCGCGGTCATCCGTGCTTTTATAAGAACGAAACAGCGCTTTAAGTGACGTTTTGCATACAAATCTCCATCTAGTAGGGCGCAGTCACCCTGTTTCGGTGGAAGTGCGGGAGTTCGATTGGGACCAAAGGAGGAAAGCAGTGTCTCAGCTTCCTCGGACCAAGACCATTCGACTCAGCACCACGAAGACTACAACTGGTGAAAAATTGATTTTAGGGTTTACTTCCCCTTTAAGCAATGTACAATCTATTGTGATGAGTCAAACACGTGTAAGTCACACACTCACAACAAGTCGCACACTTTGTATACCTGTGTGCCCACTTCATTCCTGATGATGGTTATTTCATGACCGAAACGTCGAAATAAAATATTTTTCTGGTGAAAAGCAGTGATTTGAGTGTGAGCCAGTGTTGCTCACAACCAATTTTTATGTATACCCGTAGACTGTAATACAATGTAATACACACGCTGATGATAAGTCACGCAACGTGGTCTCCATGATCCGGTGCAGGACTTATCGACAGTACACCATAATGCTTTAAAAGGACTATGGGAGTTTGTGGTAGCTTACCTCTTTTTCCAATTAAACAAACACATCCGCAACCACAACAGCCCATTCACCAAACCTGTGCCCATAGCCATAGGCTTTTCACAGTCAAACTGTCTCACTTCCTTCTTGTTCAAGATCGTGAAGTCGATCCCTGATTGCATAAACCTCTCCGGTGCGCCCCAAGGGTCCCATGCCTTCCGAAAACTGCACTGGGCTACCAATAGCCAATTGTCTCCAAATTGTTCTCTCACTTTAGTATGGGACATCTGACCGCATCGGTATCTCTAAATCCGAAAACATCTTGCAAGAATTTGCTGGTGGTGAAGTGTTGTTTTTGTTGGCCAAAGTCTCTACTTCTCAGGTCATAAGAATATTTTTGCATGACACTAGAAAATCGACTTTTTTCCATTTTACTCCCTCCTCCTTGCTACCTGCTGATCCGGCCTTCTAAGGAGCCTTTTACCTAATTGTGGCAGTGTGTGTGGTGAAATATTGTAGGTTTAGAGCAAGTTTGCATTGCACTTGAGAAATCACGGGCCGCATGCTTCGACTTGATGCATGCAACTCGGTTATACAGGTCTCCCCATAGATAAGGTCATCTTAGTTCTGTGGCCACCGGATTCCATACGCTGACAGATACCGCATTTTCCGGAGTATAGGCCGCACTGGATGGAGTATATGCCACATCCAGATTTTTGTCACAAAATGCAGACACAATTCAAGTTTCATTTATCCATCGTAGTTTAAATAAGCCACACCGACGTTTTGGGTAAATTGTTAGCGTTTTATAGTATTCACTAGTTTGAGGGAAAGATGCAAACGGGAAAAGTCTGAAGGAAAAATCGACAGGATTCGAACCAGGGACCTTCTCTCTTAAGGCCAGCGATGCTCTAACTTATTCTCAGTCTAAAAAGCGCAGCTAAAAGCACAGCTATGTGCTTACTATACAGTTTCTATGTAGTGCTAGTGCACACTCACAGTACAAACTGTGTCAAAAATACCCAATAGGGTATCCGTGCTACCCTGATAGAAGTACCCAAACTCATCACCCGACCAACCCCTACCCGTTGCAGCCCTAGTTGAGAAACTCTACCAGCTTAGGAAGGTACGAGTTGTACATGATCTTTAGTTCACGAAAAACATGTGTGCTTCTTTCCTCGGTCCGAATGCCACCCTGAAGAGCTCGGATGCTTGCAGACCTTCATTTGCTAGCATTGCCTTGTCACAAGGAACGGACGAGGATGAGCCAAGCAAACCATCCGATGTCAAACCATCCGACGTCAAACCATCCGACGTCAACCCATCCGATGTCAAACCATCCGATGTCAAACCATCCGATGTCAAACCATCCGACGTCGACCAACCTGACGACACTCCACCTGACGTCACGATTGACGCTCTGCTGGATTTCCGGTATGTGTCGGAGGTGAGTTTGAGATAGGTATAGAAATCCTGATTTTGTTTGCGGCCACCATGCTCTAGAGAGCACCATCATCCTCCACCCAGCAGTTCCTAGCACCCCCCCCCCCCCCACACACACACACCACACACACACACACACACACACACACACACACACACACACACACACACACACACACACAAACGCACACACACATACACAAACACACACACACACACACACACACACACACACAAACACACACACACAAACACACACACACACGTACGCGCACGCACACACACACCCGGAGGTATAATGCTTTCATTCAAGTTAGCATTTCTCTTTTCCGTAATTATGTCTAAAATTAGGCTTTTGTTCTTTCTTATAAGGACAGTAGAGCGAGTTATGGCCCAATCCTCTGGTGCAAGGGGTATTTGACAGAGAAAAAATATCTAATCATGGTTGTTGTGTTTATTTTATTTTTCAATTCAAACTGGCGAGCATGCCCAATTTGAGAAATGCGAATACCGTAAAGTCTTGTATAAAAGCCGCGGCTTCTATGACTTTCTTGGTGAAATTTTGCAGGCTTCTATATGAGACAGGCTTCTATGCAAGACAGGTATTTCTATGTATGTCAACACTAAAACCAGGCTTATGTGTGATTTGATGGGCCCAAAATTGCGGCTTCTATTCAAGTGCGGCTTTTATACAAGACTTTACGGTAATAGAGAGAGAGGGAGAGAGAGAGAGATATATATATATATATATAAGAAGGAATAGAAGAAGAGCAATAGGACTACGGCAGGGAGAGAGCACCTTTCGTGGAAATCAAAATGAATACTAGTGGTCAAGCGTATGGGGTGTTGCTGCCAGTTCATACGGGGTTAGGCAGTGGGCACCATGAGCGGCTGCAGGCCGCGAGTTCCAATCAGTTGGGGCAGCGAAGCCAAACCGAGTTGTGCCAGAACGAGTCCTAGCTTGCGGCAGTTGAAGGCCATATTCAGTCTGGTGGCGATTTCTGGTCCCTGTTGGGTGGGAGACTAGCGCATACAGTGGTGGACCTGCCTTTTCATAAGTACACCTCCAAACTAACGTCAGAGCTTTCTGGTGGTGCATCTCGCTAATCCGGAACATGCCTATGTGCACTAGAAGAGGGTGAGCGGAAGTGCCTGGTGGTTTTCCAAAACTGCGCCTTAAGAATTAGGCCTCTATCTTTCAGCCTGTCTGCCAATACTGTTGCAACCATGGAGAGGGCCACGGATACTGCTGTTTTTGTGCGTTTGATATCGCCATGGCCGGACCAACGGGGGCGCAAAATCTTCTTTTCTCTTCTTTAGTATCGCAACAAGGAGGAATAGCTCTTCTCTTTATCCGCCTTTAGGCTTTTGTCTCATTGTCCCTTGATTGTCTGTTTTTTTAATTAACAGGACTTGTTGCTGTTCTGTGCACGATGCTCTTCCCCTGTTTTAGAACAACACAAACGCCATTCCAATCGGGAGGATGGGCACCATACTAATTTTGGATGGTGCCATGGTTAAGTTCCCTCCTGGTGCGGTGAACGAGGAAACAACAATCTCTCCACCGCAGCACCTGGTGTTCGAAGAACGGCTGCGAATCGCAAAGGGCGCTCATGTCACACTGCACTGTGTAAGTCATGTGACATGTGCAATCAAGCATATTGAACCAGGGCCGGAGGAAGGAGTTTGTGAGTGGTCCGGCTGACCTTTGCGGGGTCCGGGATCTCCCCGGGGGGAATATCGAAAAATCGCGTGAAATACAGCGGATTTGGGCATCTCGTGAGGCTCCAGATAATGCGGAAAATCTATCAGTCAGAGAACACAACCAAAACCTTTTTGGGTATCCATGGAAGAAGAGGTTGTGCTGCAGAACAATCCTCGTCGCCGAATCCTCAGCTACATGTACATGTGAGTAAGGATGAATCCGAGACCTTTGGTCGGAGGAGTTACTTTTGCCCCGCCCCCACTTGCATCCAATATCCCACCGCCGCCGCATCTGATGGTTCTGTGGTATTCAGTAAAAAATAAATAATAATAATAATTTGAAACTCGGGTATTTCTAATAATAATAATAATTGTAGAAGAGAAAAGGACATATGGATACGAGTTAAGAGTAACTCTCCATCACTGTAACATGATACTTTATACAGTCAGAAAGTGCAATAACTAGGCACAAAACTGACAGAGTACTGAAACATTCGACGTCCTGACACCTAGCTTCAACACATCTCCGTAGCGCTAACCGACAGCCTTCCAACTTGGAAGGTTCAAGGTTATGGAAAGACCAAAGAGGGGAAGCAAGCGCAACGAAAACGAGCAAAAGCTACAGTCCCAACGGAAACAAAGAATGTCGATTGTTACTGGACGATGACGAGACCAGTACGATATTTGACAAAGCGGTCTAACTACAATTCGAAGCAGCAAAGCAGCACACCACCCAACTTGGGTGGGTCATAAATATCAAAGATAAGTAAAGAAAGTCTCGTCATCGTCCAGTAACAATCGACATTCTTTGTTTCCGTTGGGACTGTAGCTTTTGCTCGTTTTCGTTGCGCTTGCCTTCCCCTCTTTGGTCTTTCCATAACCTTGAACCTTCCAAGTTGGAAGGCTGTCGGTTAGCGCTACGGAGATGTGTTGAAGCTAGGTGTCAGGACGTCGAATGTTTCAGTACTCTGTCAGTTTTGTGCCTAGTTATTGCACTTTCTGACTGTATAAAGTATCATGTTACAGTGATGGAGAGTTACTCTTAACTCGTATCCATATGTCCTTTTCTCTTCTACATTTATTTATGGCTCAACATCCGAGTTTAATAATAATAATAATAATAAGGCACTTGTCATAAGTATCCAAACGTTTTCGGTCCCTTCTCATCAAGGATTATACAGGGAATGGCTCAAGCTGGAAAGACTAAAACTTATATAGCGTAAAGATAATTAGATAACAACACTCGTGACAAGGTGGAAAATTATCAAGTTTAGCACGACACAAAACTCGAAGGAAAATAATAATAGTGACAACAACATAGTGAGCAAATTAAGTTACATTGTTACCACCTCGACGAGGAGTAACACCAAACAATTGTAGCGACAACACATTTTCTTTCTGTACGCAAAGACCCATAACTTACCTTCGTTTTAAAGTATTATCCGCCTCCGACCTCTTTTAAAAAATAATAATAATAATAATAATAATAATAAACAACAAAAAACATGTACGACAGTCTTGTAACACTGCTGTATGATTTTTTGCCTAAAACTCAGAGTAAACAACTTTCTCGGAAATTAAGTACAGTGTACTGCAAGAAAAATTGCAATTTTTATTCTCTTCACCACCATCATCAGGACTCATAAAATTTGTTCACCAACCAGTTTTCGAGCATTCTCTTCAAGTGCATTCACTTGAAGGTAATGTGCTTGGAGAGAATGATTCATTGAGCCCTGATAATGGTGGCCAAGAGTATGAAATTTTGTATTTTTTTTCTTGCAGAAACTCAGAGTCACAACTATCTCTCCCTCCTCTTCTTGTTGTCAAAAGTACATACACATTTGAAATGCTACAAGTGCAATTGCAATCGGAACGAAGTAGGTTAGTGTACATGTAGTAGCGAGATGTGTATCTTTACCAGCTGTTGTTGCTCTTTGTACAAGGTCTTGCTGGCTGTAAAACTTGTGACAAAACACGCGAAAAGGTGTATGAATCCCGGTGCAGCCAGGGTGAGGCCAAGTATCTGACTTACTGGAAGCTTAACGGGGTCTACCCGATCATTTCAATCCAATGTCTGATTGTATTGTCTTGCTCTGCCTGCTTTGCATACAGCTGATGGGTCTGCAGCCTCATGGAAAGCACTTTCGGGAACCTGTGGAAGTTGAGATTGACGTGCCAGGCCTGACAATGGAGGAACCATTCGTACGTAAACTTTGCACTCTTCAATCGTTTTTTCCGATTTTACCTTGAACTTCAATATTTTTTAAATACACATACTATACTGAACTCCGATTTAGTGGCAGCGACTTGGCGGATGATTTGTTAGGAAAGGGTTTGCTCCCCACATTGGAGCTAGCGCTTTTCCGCTGACTTGACTTGGCACTTGACTGACTCACGACTGCCATCCTGAGCGCACGAGAACTCCATCGAACCTTCGACTTGGCAAACGTGCAAGAAATCTTCCTCAGCCTACTCAAGCTCAAATGATGAGGGTTGAATTCCCCGAAACACCAGAGAGGTTCTGCAAAACGAAAATTCCAACGAAGTTTCGTGACGAGCCTTGTGAAAATGTGTACGAATTTTCGCGGAACTTTGTGTTCTGCACATTTTCGTAGTTTGCATGCGGCAAGTGCACGTACGCCATGACCCGATCTCACGAAACTTCCTACGAAAGTTCATTTCGTGTTCCCCGCAAGTTTCGCGTCCAAAGTTGCGAACGTTCGTGCGAAGTTTCTCATTTCATGACGTAGAGCGAAAGTGTGTACGCATTTTCGTTTTGCAGAACCTCTCTGCTGTGTATTGAACAGGGAGTGGTGCTTTCTTGCACGTTTGCCGAGTCGAAGGGTCGATGGACTTCTCCTGTGCTCTGGATGGCAGTCGTGAGTCAGTCAAGTTTCAAGTCAAGTCGGCGGAAAAGCGCGAGCTCCGGTGTGGGGAGCAAACACTTTCCTAACACACTCAGTACTATATTCGCCGACAAAATCCGGCGAATGCTGCACCTGGCAGTTGACTACCATGTGCAGCATAGGCCGGATTTTGTCGGCGAGAATAGTATAACGTAAAGTCGCGGATAAAATCCGGGCTTATAAGCATAAAAAGCTGCTTTCTGCATCAGGCTCGTATGCAAACCATGCTTATTTGCACCACTGATATTTTTGCCAGGCTTGTATGCACATGCTTCTACGCGCGACACGCGTAGATCTACCACTGACTACCGGTATGGCGGCAGTTTTACTATGCACCGTACATAGCGCATGCACTCTTGACCTACCCGATCCGCGCTTGCATAGAAGCCAGGCTTCAACGCGCGACAGGCCTATGCGTTTGACCCGTTTGATTTTCAGGCTTCTATCCGTGATGCAAACCCGGTTTTTATCCGCGACTTTACGGTATGTAGGCGCTGAAAATAGGTCCACACCAAGAAGAAAGTGATCCAGAGGCATCGAAAACCGATACCCATCAAAATTTCGTGTACCCAATACCCGCTCTAACCGTCCTTTTACATGTTTTTTTGGATTTGCCATTAGATACTTCCTCCCCGTCATTAAAATTGTCGCTTCCCAGAGCAATTTTTCAAATTTATTTTGTCCACTCGAAGGGCAAAGAAATCAGCTAGAAATTGAGGCAGAGCATTGTCGACGGACGAAGCTTTAGTTTGTGGCCTTCCGCTTCGCTGCACTTGCAGCTAAGGGGGACGTCTTCATCAGAGTTTGAGGCAGACCCTTCAGTACTTAACAGTACGCTGAACGGGATGCGTGTTCATATTCAGGTCAAGACACTTCGTTTTTAAGCGATCCATGCCTCCAGGTGGCAGGCTATGACGGCAACCTAGCATTTTTCAAGTACATTCACACTGTATTGACCTTCCAGCCGGATAGGGTAAGCAGTTCCGCACCTGCTTTCCTTGGCAAGCGCTTGGCTGATTTTGTTGGCGTATTCAGCCGGACCTGCTACCTTCGCAGCAGCATGCACCACACGTAGCACATTTTAGGAATTTGAGAACACTTTGTTCTTGCCATCCTCAACTTCAGTATTTCGTATCCAGGAGAGTTACCCTGATTCTTATACCCGAGTTTGCAGTCTTGATGAATGCCCACGCAAACGATGTGGGACGGCACCAACTCCAGAAAAACGATGCGCGCTCTGGGGTGAAATAGTGCGGAGCGCGATGAATTTGTTTGGTGCAGAAGAGAGCTCCGAGATCACCACGGCTTCAGTAACAAGTAGACATTGCGCAGGAAGGGTCGCACCAATGTTCGAACACAGAAAACAGCGATTCCGACACTCTGACTAAGACGAGCAAGTCACAAACATTGCGATGTGCGAAGCGACAGTTTTAATGACGCGGAGGAAGTATCACTTTACGCTTTGCGTAAATCCTCTCCTCTACACCCATTCCGTCTGCGTTCTGTGCTCCAACAGGTGCACATTGTGCATTACCCGTGCACATCGGACGGCAGTCTGACCGGGCTTGACGACACCACCGACTACAGCCGTCCGTCCGCTTGCACTCCCTGCTCAGTTGTTCAGATTGGCAGGAATCGGTGCAGTATGATACGCTACCCGGCGGGAGATGAGCATGTTACAACTTCCCCTTGTAGCATGTTCCCGCAATCAGAAAAAACCAGGAAATGTTCACTGCAAGATGGCTGGCCATTCCGGAAAGTGGAGGTGGACATATCTAGGAAAGTTGTGCGGTACACGAAATGCCACTTCTCTTACGAAGGTAAGGCAATCACAAACCTGCTGAGCTATGTGATCTCCCTGCTCCGCAGGATTGACAAGCGGAACAATAGATGACTGGAAAATGTTGTTATTAGCGGCAACAAGAAGGGAGAGAAAGACCAAGTGAATAATCACATAACAGACATGGAACAGGGGCGTCACACACGCTACGATCAGTAGGACCATGGTGGTGCCACTTTTCTTCACGGATGGTCTGCCCAATTCATCCAAAAGAAGCCATAAAAGAGTGCCCTGTTGGCCGGAAAATACTAATTTTTTCCTGGGGGGGGGGGGACAACCCCAGACCCGCAGTTGGACCACTCCCCACTGCCCTGTTACGCCCCTGTTGAGTGCATTGACTGAGGGTGTTGAACAATTCCGGTACGCATGTACGTACGCATGCCCTCTGATCTAAGCGGAGGCTGTTCTACAGGCTGAGTTACGAAACCGTGCCCATGGTCGTCGTGTGTACGTGAACAAATACGTGCATGCACGCGTGCAAAATGTGCCTTGTGATGTGAACCTGTGTGTCTGTCAGGCGCGTGCGCCGGTGGCCTTCAAGGGGGGTTGGGGGGCCTCCCCCGGGAAAATTTTCAAAAAATGAAGCAAAATCTTGCATTTTGAGCGAAAAAAAGGGGGTTCCGGGCACCCAGGAACCCATACGGGGCACGCGCCTGTCTGTATGCGGTGCGTACATGTACGTGCATGCGTATGCACGTGCTTTATTGCTGCGAACATGATTGATTGTGTGTCTCCGTCTTTTGCGTCTAGTCATCTACACATGCGGAGAAGAGCTGAGCCCGGAGCAGATCAGCATGCTGCCGTGCACGGACAAGCTCAAGGCCTGCCGCGTGTGGGTCTACGGCGATAAGACGGAAGACCGAGATCCAGCGCACCTGCACATCAAGGCCATTCCTGCCGTCGGACCATTCCCGGCACCGCCTCCAAAGCTGGAGTCGCCCCCGGATGGAATGTTCCAGCTGGCGCGCTCACGGAACTATTTCCTGCTCAACGAAGGCGATTCGATCTCGTACAAATTCACGGTGCACCCGGAAAGGGACTGGCAACCCGCCTGTGTGGAAAATCCGCCGACGTTCTACAGGCTTGAGTCATCTGCTCGTTTCGAGTCTCGCGAGGGCACCCGCTGGGGCGGCAGTGTTGGTCCGCTGGGTGATATCGAATGTCGCTCCTGTGCTGACCAAGAAAAGATGGAAAATGCCCACGATGGCAAGCAGAATGGCGCTGGAGCAGAATCGGCTACAGACAACAAGCTGAAGGTTGTCAAGTGCCGCACCATTCCGATAACATTCACATACCGGAGGTCTCTACCGGGAGGTAAGCAAGATGCAGTGGATGTGTGCATGTGTGTGTGTGTGTATGTTTGTGCACGTGTGTGTGTGTGTGCGTGTGTGTGTGTGTGTGTGTGTGTGTATGTGTGTGTGTGTGTGTGTGTGTGTGTGTGTGTGTGTGTGTGTGTGTGTGTGTGTGTGTGTGTGTGTGTGTGTGTGTGTGTGTGTGTGTGTGTGTGTGTGTGTGTGTGTGTGTGTGTGTGTGTGTGTGTGTGTGTGTGTGTGTGTGTGTGTGTGTGTGTGTGTGTGTGTGTGTGTGTGTGTGTGTGTGTGTGTGTGTGTGTGTGTGTGTGTGTGTGTGTGTGTGTGTGTGTGTGTGTGTGTGTGTGTGTGTGTGTGTGTGTGTGTGTGTGTGTGTGTGTGTGTGTGTGTGTGTGTGTGTGTGTGTGTGTGTGTGTGTGTGTGTGTGTGTGTGTGTGTGTGTGTGTGTGTGTGTGTGTGTGTGTGTGTGTGTGTGTGTGTGTGTGTGTGTGTGTGTGTGTGTGTGTGTGTGTGTGTGTGTGTGTGTGTGTGTGTGTGTGCATGTGTGTGTGCATGTGTGTGTGTGTGGGGGGGGGGGGGGGCGTAATAGGTACGAATTGATTCTGTTGCACAACACCATGTCAACTTCATTCAGCTAGGTTGATCTTGATATTGGGTAGATGTACTGCAGGTTGCTTGTGGACCAGGCATGGCATGGGATGTACAGATGACGGAAACACTGTAAATGCTGTACATCCCGCTTAGATCCCATCCTACATGGACCGTGGCGAACACAGCTCTCCAGTAGGTCATGCAGAGCGTCCATTGTCCTCCTGGAAGGTGTGCCATGTAGAACAACCGCCTGGGCAGGCGGAACGTGAAACAACGTGGATCTCGCTGACAAGCTACCCATTTCAGTCGCCTTGGTACCGTTCTGTACTGTGCTTGCTGCAGGTGATATCAGCGCTGGACCTGATCCATGGACTCATGTCGACTTCCGGCGCCTACACTCCAAGCTTGTCAAGTCCATGGAGCCGGAACTGGCCCGCCTCTACTGCCTGCAAGAGGGACTGGTCTCGTGGGATTTCTCCAGAATGCTGCAGACCAACGAGATGGGCAAGGGCAGGATCTGCCACAACGTGCGACTGCTGGAACACGTGGCGATCGGAGGACGCAAGAACTATGAAGCCTTCTTCGCAGTCCTGGAGGAACTTGGTCCGAACTTCCTGTCGCTAAAGACAGAATTTGAAGACCATCTGCGGAGCATCAAGGGAGAAGAGGAAGTCACGGCCGCATTGAACTGAGAACGCCAAGCAGGCTGCATCGTAATGCTGCACTTGAAAGTCTCCGGTTGTGCTGCCAGATACTGGCCAATAGAGAGCGTTGGGGATAGATGACGGAAAGGTGTGTGTTCCCGGAGTACATGCAGTAGGATTGCTAGGTCGGCAGTGCACTCAGTGTGCACTCAGTGTGCACTCAGTGTGCACTCAGTGTGCGCTCAGTGCACTCAGTGTGCACTCAGTGTGCGCTGAATTGTCACGGAGCAGCGGAGTACATGAGAGCGTGATGCTGCTGAACAGGCACTAGTGCACCCGCGAAGTCGAGGTTGTCTCAAGGCTTGCATCGATGAGGTGCTTGGCGGCCGCGGTTGCCTACTTCGTTGTTTGACACAGTTCGACTTCTTGCGCACGAGTATAGCAGGTGCACAAAGATCAGGACTTGAACCTTCTGGCTACACGCATAATAATTGTTATACACACACACAACATACACAACACAGACGAAAGGCTGTGTTGCTGTAACTTTCAGTTTCACGCAAATTGTTTATGGTTATGCATGCACCTTAGCCCTTTGTTTTACCAGGTTTTTTTAGTTAGTTGTAGCTCGTCCTGGAGAGGAGGACGACTTGAGACTTTGCATGTCCGCGCCAAGGTACGATGATGCCGGGTGCATACCACTAGACTATCAGGTTCTGTTACGTAGAGATCGGAAATATAATAATAGTCTTTGCGAAGGAATTTGTCCGTGGCGGAACAGTGTGCATTATCTGTGTAAACTATGGCATAAAATGCGTGCGTGTGCATGTATAGCCCAGCCGATGATGATCATGTACTTTAGCCATGCAACGGTATATTCATTTTTTAAATTACATCAGTTGAACATAGCCAAAGATGCATACACGTTTGCCTACACGTAGACATGTATGTGCTGACTGCATCATATTCGGTGTATATACAATCATGTACTTACCGTTATAATGATTATGATGCTGTACGGCAGTAGTGCACATCAGGGAGTAGATATTTTACTACTCCCTGGCAGTACGTCTACGTGCAAGTTCGTTTGTTTTGTGCACCAGAAAAAATGGTGGACGCGACTAGAATGGCAGTGGGACAATATTTTGGGACACTACATATGTAAACTGTTCGAGATTGCCGGTAGTGGTTCTCACGGACGGTATGGCTGGACCAAGCATATGAACGTGGTAGTCTAGAAAAAGTCAAGTTCGCATGCATCCACCCAATTAACAGTTACTAGGCATGGGCGGGTAATGCTAGTTATTTGCTGCGATAATGCTAAAGGCAATGCTCATAATATGAAGATATAATGCCACTTATAATGCTCACACTGCTCCATAATGCCAGTTTGAAAGTTGGAAAAGTCGATTTAAGAAGGCCGTCTTGGATCAAGGCCAAAGCGTAGAAGAAGAAAAACTTAAAGCAGTGAGCATGTTGTCTGAAACAATCCACTGAGAAGGTTGATTTGCAACGTCAAGTCTCCGGACGAAGCAGGACGGGTTCAGATGCACGATTTTCGGAACTGGACCTAGCTAGCCAGCTTCATGCATGACACCGTTGTCGACCGGCAACTATGCTTGTAATGCCAATTTTGCATCCGAAATGTGTGTGTTAAAATGCCAGCATTATGCCACCTGGAAAAAAGGGACTATATTAAAATAATGCCAGCCATAATGCTAGCATTACCCGCCCATGCTTACAATAAAACACATCCAGTCCAGAAAACACTTCACATTAGTTATCAAACTGTTTCGTTCCCTTCTCTTGGTATTATTTTCAATACACGTATCTATCAACACTCGGTCGAAGGCTGGAGATTGGCACCCAGCAGGCTAGCACTCAGCAGCCAAAGGTGGGACCATGCATCAGGGATAGGGGCGGATACAGAGATCTCTACAGCAGGGGACGCCAGTTTAGCCAAAACTGAATACTAGTAGCTGATGAATGTACGTGCATAATAATTAATTATGGTTTCCAGTAGTACAATTGCGAAATTTAAGGGGTTCCCAGGGATTCCCCCCCCCCCCCCTTCTGCGGGATCTGCCCCTGGCTCTTTTCTGCAACATTCCGCGAGATTTTCTGAATTCTGCGGACACTACTAGATTCTGCGGAAATTCTGCAGTCTGTGGAATCGCGGAATTGACGGGGGACAGGGAAACACGTACGAGAGGGTATGGAGGAAAACTGGACAGACGAAACTCCAACAGTGACCAACACCCACCCCAGAAGCATTACAAACCAAGGACCTTACGCAAGCGACAGAGGCCGAGCCAAGGAGAGCATTGTAATTCAGCCACAGAACAGGTGGTGATAAGGATGGTGTGAAGGTATCCTGGCAACTGTTTGGAAACAGTGCCCACGTTCAAATTATTATTTACAACAATCTGAGTCCGCTCAACCTACCACAGAGCGATGTCACCGGTTGGTTTGGCAACATTGACCAATGACCCACTGGGTCGGGTGCAAGAGAAGCAAGCTCTCTCTCTCTCTCTCTCTCTCTCTCTCTCTCTCTCTCTCTCTCTCTCTCTCTCTCTCTCTCTCTCTCTCTCTCTCTCTCTCTCTCTCACACACACACACACACACACACACACACACACACACACACACCATGTATACGCCCGTCGCAACAGAAGCATGCAAATCTGCAAATGCACAGGATGTGCACAAACAGATTTTCTCTTATCGCAACGATAGCGGATCTGAATGAAACAGATCAGAGCTAGCGCTAGATAACTGTCTAATCCACACAACCTGCGAAGCCATGTGAATCGACCTCCGATGCACACCTGGTCTACACCACACGGAGCACATCAGAAAAGGACGGGCGAGACAGCTACCTATGCACACCCTACACTTACACACAGACACACACACAGACACAGCTACCAAGGAAACCTTCTACAGTTTTAGGAGCTATATACAGGATGCGGCTGGTAAATGCACGCCATAGCGGGCAAGAGTGTACCATGTTATCTTGTGAGAGCAGGTAACACAACCAATTAGATCTGAAATAGCAGCATAGCAGAAGCAGCAGCAAACAATGGCTGCAGCCTACAAAAGACCAAGAAAAGATTAAAGTAATTGAGCAGTAAAAAAAAAGAGAGCAGAAAAGCAAAGAGATAGGATAGAAAAAAAGAATAGCGTTATCTTTCGTGGAGAGATAGCTCAAAACGCCCGAGGTGCATCTAACCAACAAAAGCACACAGCAGTTGCGATGCGAGGCGTGATGCCAGAATAGATGCAGCAGCAGCAGCGGTGGTGTAAGAGCCTGGTGCGACCGCTGTGCTAGCTCGACATGGGCGAGGGGGGGGGGGGGTAGGGTTGTCAAGCAGCGGAGGGCGAGCAGTCATGCAGCGCCCCAAGGGAATCCAGCCGGAGATCAGGTCTTGTTGAAAGCGTAGGCAGCTTGCCTTGCCAAGCAGGACGGACGCTAACACCCATAGCGTGGGGCTCTGGCAGCGCGGTACAAGGCTAACTGGCGACGGCGGCACAAGCGAAATCAAAACACTTTATCGAATAGGTCACTCAAGCAATGCTCCCACCACCCGCAAAACTCTCCGACCTGGCGTCGGCGGGGGCGACACAAACATGTTCATACTAAGCCGCACTCGAGCACAACACAGCCACTCAAACGGACCCACCAACAACACACACAGACGCACGCGCTGGCCATAACTCAGCTCGGATGTCTTCACATGAAGTCCATGTCGTCGTCGTAGCCACCCCCATCACCGCCACCGGTCAAGTCAAACTCATCACGCTTCGCTCCCTTGCTCAGGTTCAACTTCTTTCCCTTTTTCTTCGCGGGCCCCTTCTTGTCCTGCAGCGAGACACATAGTCATAGGCAGAGAAGAACACTTGAGAAATTATACTCATACAGAGCACCAGTACTACTGTAAGCATAGGGCAGACCATGGCAACATGTACCACCAGACACTGTGTATTCAGCATGTGAAGTCAACACACACTCTTCCAAGATCTGTTCCAGACGTTGAGTTTTTTCACAGACAATTTTTTTTATCAAGTTTCATCACACGACACGCTGGAGCAAAGTGCATGCGCCCTCTGCGGAGTGCTGTGGAACGCGCATCCCTAGATCAAGCGGAATCCTGTCATATCAGGACAGTTTCCTCTGCACCGAGGGCTTCAGGTTAGGGCAGAGTTTTTATCAAGTTTCATCACACGACACGCTGGAGCAAAGTGCATGCGCACTCTGCGGAGTGCTGTGGAACGCGCATCCCTAGATCAAGCGGAATCCTGTCATATCAGGACAGTTTCCTCTGCACCGAGGGCTTCAGGTTAGGGCAGGAAATTTACTGTACCAAGCTTTGAATGAAGGTGGTGGAGATAGTTGGTTGGTATGCCCACTGCCCGGATTTAATAGGAGAAAAACCCGCCTGACCAAATCGACGCAAGACCGGCGAAAGCAGTACTTGATTGGTCCGGCCATGGCACAGCCGTCCATACCTGGTGCCTGATAAAGCACCCGTTGGCGGCCTAACAGATGGTCCGGCTATGGCCAGACCAATGGGACCGGTTCTGCCGCCCTGCAATGCACACCCATACTATACAGGCACACCCATAATACACAGGCACACAGGACTTTGCAGCACATAAGAACTGACCTTCACGAGCTTGTTTTTCTCCTGTGCAACGGCCGTCAGTGTGGCCGCGAGCCGACGGCAATCCTCGGGATCCACTGTGACAACAAGCACATACACAGATGCACAGACACACATGCACACACGCGCGCGTGCACACACAGGTGAAAGCAGAGGTGGTGAGCAAGGCTGCAGAAACAGATAACACGTGGCGTGTAGCACAACAGGATAGCGGGGAGGGTGCACAGTGGCAATCAAAGTCCGGTCTCCTTTTTAAATTGTCAAGACCAGATTCTACAGGAGCGTCTAAGTACAGAAAGACATGAACACTGCACAACTTGTATCCACTCTCAGAGAAGAGAGAGAGAGAGAGAGAGAGAGAGAGAGAGAGAGAGAGAGAAACCTTTTCAATACACATTCCGGCTGCCTATCACACTGCTCCAGGCAATAACACAGTGCAGGGCTGTTAGGGCTCTACAAGAATGGCGAATCAGAATACTCTAATTTCAGAAATTTTCGGTGCTCAATATTTTCGGTATGAGGGCAACAGGCCAGGTTAGGTGAACAGAAATTTTCGGTACAGTCTAGCAGTTCCCTATTGGATTATGTGTGTTAGTGTTTGTTCGGTGTATTGAAATTTTAGGTGTGAAACAGACGCACCGAAAGTACCGAAAATAAAAGTACACCGAAAATTTGTGAAATTACAGTACATAGTCAATGGAGGTGTGGCGAGGAAGGTTGCATCACGCAGCGCCATCACCATGGATGGAGTGGGCACTCGCTGCACCTTCTCCAGGAATCTTATCAACACACCAGACCGAGTTCGTCAGACACTCAAACGGTGGACCAGCTGAGGCGCACATGTGCACAACAGCTACTTGAACATCTGCAGGTGCAAGGCGCAGGCTGGAAAACAAACTGGCATAAGAAAAAAACACGGCTTGCTTGGAAACAGGGACTTACTTGATACAGTTGCATGGCGTACCAAGTTCTCCAGCAGTGTGAAATAGCCAGCTTCTCCCTAGATACAAGAACACACACACACGGAATGAGTAAGCGAGTGAAAGTCAGAAAGGAGCCACGGCAGCCTCGGCAGCAGGATGTCCATATTTCCACACAAGAGGAAACAGTTCAAAAAAGCAAGAATAGATGGCCACAGACAGACAGCACACCATTGGACGCCCATCGCCGGAGGCGATGATAGCGATGCTACAGCAGAAGCCATAGCAGCTTGTGCTGGGATTGCACCATTCAACAGCTTGCAAGGCTGAAGAATTGACCGCCACTATTCAGCCTGGTCTACACCACACAGCTATGAAGTGGTTTTTCTGGCCAGTGAATCCCTAGACAGCACACACACACACACACACACACACACACACACACACACACACACACACACACACACACACATGCATGCACAAATGCATGCGAACACCGATGAACACAAAAGACGGAGCTAGCTGGCTTACTGAGAATTTGGAGACCTGATCTGCCAGCGTCTTTCCTAGCTCGGCAAACTCTTCAGTGGTCTGAGGAATAGTATTCGTGGCCTCTGTGAAACACAACAGCAAGACAGAGACAGGCACAAAACGTCAAACAAAGAGAACGCTTCAGCACACGTCCCTCAACATAAGAATGCTACCTCACACGAACACACAGGAAATGTATAGTTGTTTGTGTGCTTGTGTGCATTGGCAAGTGAAACCCTAAGAACGCAAACATGCGTACGTTGCATGCATACATGAACTGGTCATGCTTTGGGGCAGGCGTGGCCGTGTTGGTGCGATGCGAGCGCACCACTCCTGGGGCCGGACTCCACAAGCCACTACTATGGGTGTACAGTGGTCGTGGTGGTAGTGGCAAGTGAAATCAGACCCCTGGATTTCACTTGCCACTACTATGGGTGTACAGTGGTGGTGGCAACTGAAATCCAACCCCTAGATTTCCGTGCTGGAGTGCAACACCGATTCTAGCGGTCGCTACTAGTATTTCGTAGTGTTACATGAACGTACTGGGTGTTTGCAATGTGAGCACGCGGAGCTGGGGTCGGGTTTCAGTTGCCACAACTGTTGTTATTTTTAATTTTTTAACTGAATACCACAGAACCATCAGATGCAAAGTACAATGGATATGTAGAACAGGCCCGGCTAAGCCACGGCCGGCCCAAATGTTTGGCCACCGACGTGTGTTTACTGCTGAGGAGGTTATGTGTACAGAGTGTATACCTTCCATTATCATTATACAAAGAAGGAAAGGCTAGGATGTGACCCCCGACTAATCAAAGGCTGCTTCCGCCGGTCGTGTACACGTACGCGGTAGCAGATTCCAGAAATACACAGTAACTGTTGGTGCATTACTCACCGCCGAACAAATCCTGAGCGTGACCAAGGTCGGCCTGTTTCTGAAGCCTACGCACACGCGCACACACACACACACATTACAAAGAAGAGAGAGAGACACACACACATTACAAAGAAGAGAGAGAGACACACACACAGAGAGAGAGAGAGAGAGAGAGAGAGAGAGAGAGAGAGAGAGAGAGAGAGAGAGAGAGACACAGAGAGAGACAGAGAGAAGATATTCATGCTGGGTCTTCGCAGAGTGCAGATTTGAACCGAAGATGACAGAATTTCGATCTTTCAGGCGGCAACGGGAGCTTACTGTACCGTTCGCACAGGAACACCATCCACCGTCCACAGTACAGAAACAACCATGAACAACACAGGCTAGCTCCAGGAACGTGTATCGTAAGTACACCAATGTGAGCTTCTCCTGCAACAAAACGCCTGTCCATACTTTCCGGTCAGGCTTCAGTGGTGGTTGTATTTCCAAAGGGGGGGGGGGGGGGGGCTCTAGAATGTAAATAAAGGTAATTTATGAGGGAAGTAGCCAGCACTATGCCCTACCAAGCAACACTCAGTTATGCTGAGCAAGCACCGGTTGCTTGCATTTATCCTATCAAGCTACTGTCCACCTAGAACACTACGTTCCACAGATGGTCAAGGTCAGTTCGGACAACACTCCTGCCTACTACCCAGGTCACATCTAACTTTCGTAACCTGTTCCCTGTGCTGCAAAGGTTTGGAGCCAAACTTCCACAGAAACTCCGTATTTGCTGCTACATCTCTGGAACTGAAAGGCAAGTTCAGTCACTCAACCCTCTTGGTACTGGACGCAGAAAGCTCAACAACAGAATACACGCACACACACACACACACACACACGCACGCACGCACGCACACACACGCACACACACACAGAGTTAAAGCCTTACATGAGCCTCTTTAGCTTCTCTTCCATCTCCGTCAGTGTAGCCTAAAAACACAGACACACGCATGCACAGAAACAAGAACATAATGCTACAGCCCACAAGAGAGAGAAAAAAACAAGGAAAGTCTCACGAGACAAAGGTACGCGCGCAAGCCAAACGCTTTCAGCAATAGAAACTCACGGAGTCGTCATCCTCTCCTTTCCGTCTCGCAGCTTTCTTCTCCTCGATCCTTTCACTCTTTGACTTCTTTGGCTTGCTGGATGCACTCGAACCTAAACACAGCATCAATACGAGAACACAAAAGTTCAACAGGGCGTTAAGCTAAGGTACGGCAACACAGGCCCCTCCACACAGGTCACGATAATCACAAAAAGGAGCACCCACAGACACAGGCTTTTGAGCATGCAGCCACCCACACAGATGCAAACACCAACACACATACATTCATGAACACCCTACTTCACGCAACAACGAAAATGTATTAAAAAAAGACAAAAAAAAGAGAGAAGAAAACCAGGTAAGTACCCCCACACACACACATGTGTGAAGCAAGCATGTGTAAGCATGTAACGAAATCTCGCGCATTTAAGGACATAGTTCAACTCGGATGGTGAGCCAATTAAATTATGGTGGAAAAGGAGAAAGACAAAATGTTTAGTGCCATTTTGTCGCACTCGCTGACTGTATAAGATCTGGTTACGTTGGTGGACAGTTAGTCATAACTCGTAACATTTTGTCTTTCTCCTTTTTCGCCATAATTTAAGGACATGTTCTTATTTAGGAATATAAGAGCACTCTCGCTTATAAGAACATGCACTTATAAGTGAATGAAAATCATATAACCACACGAGGTTCATCATGGTTCCATTGTACTGGCATTAACCAATATTATGCGTACTTGCACATGTACATGTCAATGCGATGTTTGTCTCTCGCATATAAGACCATGGTCTTATAATCGAACGAAAATGTACTGGTGTGAAAGGACACAAAACAGCGACTTTTCAATTACTTCAAAGAAGTATAAGACCATGCATGGTCTTATATGCGAGAAATTACGGTATGCATACAGACACAAACAGACACACACACAGACACACACACGCACACATGCTTGAACGAGTACGGAGAAAAAGAACTATGGATGTGTTTTTTTAACTCACCATTGCCGGTTGCAGCGCTAGCTTGATCCTGTTTGATACGGCATATGCAATGCAGGATGGGAAAAAAAAACATGACCAAGAAGAAACAAACTTGTAGTATGAACTATCAAAGCAATGGGGCAACAAAGTCAGAGGCCTCCCTACTCTCTTTCCCCTATCCCTCCCCATCTCTCTCTCCTGGCACCCACCCACCCCAGGGGCGTCGGTAGGTATTTTGGGGTGGTACGGTCAGCCATCTAAGACTGACATGTGCATGCTCGAGGTGGAGGGGGCCTCTGATGAACATGTATGTGTGTTGAATATGTGGAGCCTACAATCAGGGTATGTTATTGCTTCGCAGGGTACCTGGGGCAAATAGTGTCCGATGCCCATGCACCCACACCATGCACAGCCACACACACACACGCACACACACACGCACACACACACACACACACACACATGTGCGTGCACAGAGTGGCTGATGATTGGTGTGGGCAATGGTTGGGTTGGAATGATGAAACGCTTTGGACACTGAAACACTAAGCATGCACGTCATTACACAGTGCCACTGAGAGGATAATAATTATCTCGTGCACTTCGCCACCCAATGCATTCATTACTAATCCTATGATCCAACGTGTGCTATTGTCAGTTTTATTATTTTAAATATTGCAACAATTATTTGTGCTGACAAGACGAGGCAAGATAATAGTTTTCAGACAACTCTTGGAACAGCGGTAATGCCTGATGGGCGCCTCATGCAGTACCACCAGTCAAAGCCAACCAACATACTCCACAGAGGACAAAGCCACGGAAGATGAGAATAGAATACAAAGTGATATGGGCAATCTCTAAGGCTACAGGCACATGCACGGCACGTGAACACTGACAATCAGGGAAAAGAACAAAGATCCGAAAGGCCATGCCATGAAAACAGCCCAGACAAGATGGAAAGAAGTCTTACCTCAACAGGAATTACTAGATTTTCATCCTCTCCTACCCATTTGTCACCATTGGGCTTCGCAAATCCAGCGTCAGGATCAAAATCGTCAGCGTCTGGTAGGGAACATGAAACAAAATTCTACGTTCGATGCATTCAGGGAACAAACTGGACGTCGCATTGTTATGTGGCCTTCCTTACCCCAAGCGAAGTCGTCGGAATCCGCCATTGTTAGTCTTAGAGAAACGTACTCGCGTAAAACTACAAAGGATGCTCGCGGCACAGAACCCAACACTACTTCGCCAAAAACTAACACTGACTTGTACAACTGAGTTCAATGATGTGAACAAAAAAAGCACGACTTCACGATCTCGCCAGCTAGCTAGCTAGCTACGTACAACAGACCGGGCTTCTTGCAAAAAATCTCAAATCGTGTCAGCTAGCTCAGATCAGAATTTTCACTTCTACACTTTTTTACTTCACAACTGTTACTTTTACACTGCTTGTTCATGTGATAGTACTCGCGACACAAAACAGAAAAAGACAGAAAACTAAAACTCCCTACCCTGGCTTTTTATCAGCTCCAGCTCAGCACACGTACACCAGCACTGCGTACCCGGGTACCCGGGCCGTGCACGGCTAGCTGAACGCGCGCTTGGCCCAGCGCACTGACGTCATGACTCTGGACTCGCGCGCGCGATCGCCGATCGGCGATCGCCGATACACGTCGATAGGGTAGCTAGCTAGCTGCAGCATAGCCATACTGATCGCACCTGTCCTAGAATCTACCAGGCCAGGTACCTGTACGAGGACTACAAAACCGATCCCAGGGCGCTGTACGAGTACGAGTGGATCTAGGAGGCGGCGCGGGTGCGGATTTTCTGGCCTGGTTACAAGTGGCCCACGCAAGACTACATGACTGTATGTAATTAAATGTTTAGTATTATTATAGCTGAGCGTGCACACCCTGCAATCAGGCTACTGTATACGTGGCTTCAAGTATCAGTTAGTAAAAGCAGTTCCCTCAGCTAGTCATCAAGGATCGTGATCCTATCCCTCCTCCTCCACGGCGCCGGCCGGCGACATACGCATACAGACTCAGTACTACATGACGTCATGTACATGTATGTGTGGGTTACATCTGCTTACTTTCTTGTTACATCATCATGATTCATGTAGATCTACAGTGTAGCATTGTACTAAAACCCCTCCGCGACACTGCTCAAGTTTAAACACAGTGTGTCTTCCGCCTTGTACTGTAACATGCTGTCCATCGTTCAGCAGGATGTAAAAAAATAGGACGTGGTAGGTCATCTACGTGCGGTGCTGCACTACTACCAACAGCGTCCTACGCTGTTGGGTTGAACCACGCAGTGATTGGCCGCCAATATCGGGCTCCTGAACATTAGTCATGAGGCCAAAACAAAAAAATAGGCTTGTTTCGGGTCGACAACCCCTCAAAAAGGAGACTCGGTCGGCCGAATGAAACTTTTTTGGATAATTTTTTTTTGGTTCCTCAATCATTGTGGAGACATGGTTAGCATTTTACCGTCCACGCTATTTTAGACGGTCAGCCAGTAGGCCCAGTACCGTTTATGTGTGTGTAGACATCGTTAGCATTTCACTGTTCGCGCTTAGGGTCCGGCGGATTCTGCGGGCAGAAAAATTGGCAGAATTCGGTACTTTTTCTGGTAAGTTTCATGCATGTTTGGTATGTGGATAAAGAAATGGAGCAGAGCTCGAGGAATTGCCCGCCATAAGGTTTGTATGGTTCTGCTAATTTCAATGCTCTTCGAGCAGAATCTGCCACCTTTTCGAGCAGAATCCGCCGGTCCCTATTCGCGCTTAATCCAACGGAACTCGTGCCCAACACCCAAAATACCGTCCGTTTGGTAGCTACCCTTTCGACGATAGAAAGCTCTGTTTAGCGGGAGAACGAAACGGCAAGATTTCAAATAGCCTTACGTCACAAGTCGATGGTTGTGTCAGAAACCGAAATGCTAACCAGTGTCTTGAAAACACACACAAAACGGTACAGACCGATGTACAGTCGAAGTTAGCGTGAACGGTAAAATGCTAACCATGTCTACTCTGTACCCATGTCCGGAAGGTTTTCACCTGGCAGCTCTCTCTCTCTCTCTCTCTCTCTCTCTCCCTCCCTCCCTCCCTCCCTCCCTCCCTCCCTCTCTCTCTCTCTCTCTCTCTCTCTCTCTCTCCCTCCCTCCCTCCCTCCCTCCCTCCCTCCCTCCCTCCCTCCCTCCTCTCTCTCTCTCTCTCTCTCTCTCTCTCTCTCTCTCTCTCTCTCTCTCTCTCTCTCTCTCTCTCTCTCTCTCTCTCTCTCTCTCTCTCTCTCTCTCTCTCTCTCTCTCTTACCGTTTTTTGTGTGTGTAGACATGGTTAGCATTTCACCGTTCGCGCTAAATCCAACGGAACTCGTGCTCAACACCCAAAATACCGTCCGGTTGGTACCGTTTCGACGATAGAAAGTTCTGTTTAGAGGGCGAACGAAACACTAAGATTCCAACTAGGGTTACGTCACAAGTCGATGGTTGTTCGAGCAAGGTATGTGAATACAGTGATAGAGAAAGAGTGAGAGAGAGAGAGAGAGAGAGAGAGAGAGAGAGAGAGAGAGAGAGAGAGAGAGAGAGAGAGAGAGAGAGAGAGAGAGAGAGAGAGAGAGAGAGAGCTGCCAGGTCAGCTGCGAGGTCCCTGACCTGGCAGCTCTCTCGGCTCTCATCAGTATTATTACTATTAGTCCCAAGATACCAGCCGCAGGGAGTCGGATGAGGCATCATTGAAGGGGAGATCTCAAATGCAAAACTCCGAATTCTCATTACCAATGGTCTGTGCACCCGCACACGATGCCAGGGTTATTATTAGGGCTCAAACGGTCACGGTTTTACCCCCAACGGTTAACTGCTAACCTAACGGTCCGTTTAACGGTTATAACCTATAAGCCACGGCAATCCTGCGGACTCTTTTTTAACCGTATATTTGGCTATACTTATTCAAAAAATGTACCCTATTCAGTACAACGCACACATGTATATTCTCTTGCATGTTCATTCATACAGACTCTCACACGAAGAGACCAGATATGACCGAGTTGACAGCCCAGAAATTGCGTACGCGTGCGACAGCCTGCGAAAGTGCATACAGTCAAATCTGCCGTTAGCGACCTCTGCTGTAGGCGACCATCTACCGTTAGCGACCGATTTTCCGTGCACCGACGGTTTCACATACAAACTGATCTGTCCAGAGCGACCATCTGCTGTGCGCGACCAGCGACCGCGATTTCATGCACGGTGGCTGCATTCAAATCTGCTGTAAGCGACCGCGACCCAGGTTCAGTAAGGGGTCGTCCGTAATTATCGAACTTTTTTCACGAAACGAAATAATTTCGTTATGGGGTGGGAGGGGGTTGACCAATTTCGTTTCAGAAAAGTTCGATACATGTACACGTGTACATGGCCATATGAGCAATGACACTCTTGCGACTTTTGTTGTATATGCATGTATATGTCAACAATTTTTACGTTCTGAGGGGGAGGGAGGGAGGGAGGGGTTGGGTCTAAACTAAAATAATTCGTTTGGTGAAAAAAGTTCGATATTTACGGACGGCCCCTAAGGTGCTAAACTGTACTTGCCAGTGCGCTGTCAACTGCAAAGTGTGAAAATGCGCTGTCTTGCAAGTGCGATCGACTGGCGCCTGGCCTGTACTGAGGCTGTGCTGTAGCTCTCAAGTCCAGGCAGTGTCGATCTACTGCCATGTCGCATACGCGTACTATACGGGTATGGTCGTCGTTGAATATCCAATAAAAATGATATTAAAAATCACATTATCCTCGTCGATTTGAGTACAATCATGGAAGCATATACCTGGTATGCCGGATTTACCATACATCTGCCGTAAGAGACCATCTGCCGTAAGCGACCGCTTTTTTTTGCACCAAGGGGCGGTCGCTTACGACAGATTTGACTGTACTTTGCAACGACCTGATACTTGAAAAATTGACTGAAAAGTTACTGCGTAGCCGTTATCTTTATCGGTTACTAGTAACCGTTAATTCTTCGTAACCGGTCTGCAACCGGTTAATCGGACTAACCGTTTGAGCCCTAGTTAATGGGGCTGTTAAGTGTGACGTCACGGCTCCTTCGATACGCATAGCAACGGAGAGCACTGGGGACAAACAAAAGTCGCGTCCTCTGGATGGAACCAGATGTGAAGGGCAACAGCATCTAAATGACTGGATAGACCGCAGTTTTTCTTTGCTTTTTCTTCAAGCGATTGTTGTCGCTCCTTACTCCTTCTTCTTTCCTCTACAAAACTCCTGTAGTCGTCGAGTGCCTTCATGATGGCTGTGAAATTGGCTGCCCACAGTAAAACTCCGTGTTTGAGAGTGCTTTGAAGATGTTTCGCGTCCTGATGGATCAAAGTATGAGCGCTCCTTGTGAATTCGATTATATATAGGTGAGTTGTTCAAGAAATCAGTGTCTTCTTTCTGTCTCTGCCCTCACGCTGGCACAATATCAGCTTCTATATCCATGACAGCTCGCACCTCCCGTGAACTGCATGACTTAGATATATTTTCGCCCTCCGTGGTGATTGAAGACCCATGAAGAATTTATTATGTTCAGAATGATGTCCTTAGGATATAAAATGAAATAATTCTAAGGAATTGTCATAGGGTATTTTTGGAAGGATGGAGACAGAGAAAGACAGAGAGAGAGAGCACTGTTTGAAGTGTTTGTCTCACTGTAATTACTCCAGATTATTGAATGTTGTATGATCTACTCTATATTTTCCAGAATGGTTTTTCCTGATTTGCGGGATCTCTTCTTTTGCTGTTTGCGTGTTTACAGGAAGTGGCTGTCTGGTGTAACTGCACCAGATCCTGGGGAAATTAAGTCAGATGCAGAGGCAGGGTCGTCCAGTGATGCAACACTGCCGTTCTGTATGCAGCGTTACCGCTAATAACCCCGGCGAAAAGACAAACACGTGAAAAGACTACAGTATTGACCGTTCTGCTAATAAATGCATGACTGCTCCGACAGTCGATAATCGAAACACAGAGCACCAGCATGATGTTTTCATATTGGGAACCACACAACAGCTCAATTCTCAAGCCCAAAAATTGATGAATAAAACACCTGAGAGCGACGCAACAAGAGATCATCCGGCAACCAAACAAACCTGGGTCTAATGCACTGAATAGTCTTGAAATACGCAGGCCAGACAAATCAGTGCAAGCACATAATGTTACAAGGTACATGCATTGCAGAACAAAGTGTAACCAAAGATACACAGGGTTATAGCTGCACACTTGTGCATGTGCTCGCTCAGCCCAAGAACACACGATCATGATGATAGAAACAATCCGGGGGAAACACGCTAACACCGAAGTAAGCATCAACACGTAAATAGTGCAGCTCTGAAAAAATTACATTGACATGTACATTGGTGTGTCGAGTAGTGTCAGGCTTGAATAATCATCCAACCAAGACTTCATCAGGTCCCAGACGCTGAGATCGCACGCCGAATTTGAAGTGCATCTAGCCTTGAACCGGTCGCACAAGGCACACATATATGGCAAAATGACATCCACTCTGATTATTTCCAGAGGCCAATCATGACAGAACACAGAAATGAAACCACGGGCTCAACCAAGTAAACGCAAAGGAAGTTAGTCAAAATAATCCATGCAGTGCTCTTTTAATTGCAGCGCTGATTGCAGTGTTGCGTCATAGCCCGATACCCGCTGAGCACAGACACAACTCCATTCGTCAGGGGTAAGACATACTCTTTTGGAATAAAGTCATAAAGTACAGCATTCCAATGACATTACGGACACCTCGTGCAAATGCATGGTCTGTTCATCTGGCCGACTCAGCCACGCATGAGAGTGTGTGCATGTACATGCGCGCGCTTGCGCGCGCACACACACACCATGTATTCGGTGCGTATGGTGTACCAGTTGCGGGACAATGAAGATGGAATCATTATCATGATGTTACATGTACATCTACAGTGTATGTTTGAGTGTAAAGTAAATTTTATTTTATTGCACATTTGTTCGACACAACTAATTACTTACTTCACATGTTCGCATTTCTCATAATCGATCCACCTGCACTCCGTATCAGTCGAGGAAAAATTCTCCCAGATATACACTAGTCACCACAGCCATGTGATGACATTGGGATGGGCCCCAAGCACGATTGCACTCTCTAGTTACAATAAATTTGGCCAGATTATCTGTGAAGACAAAATGCAATGCATAGCGGCAATCGATGGATGAAGAGAGAGTTTGTAAATACCTATATCTTTCCACTTGTTCAGGAGCTTACCTTTTGGAGTTCACATCGTTTACACGATCTCTCATGCTGTCTTGCACCTTGGTTTTGTTGACCATGGATACGCCATCCCAGAAAACATTCTACAGGAGCTACTAATGCAGAGCGTTTTTCACGCTCGATCTCGGCGATCTACCTTGTCACGCCAATAAAATCCTCCGTGACACTGGCTACAGTCACAAGAGACGTCTCAGTAAGGTAATGAGCACGACAACATCGTCGAGATCAAGGACAAAGAGAAAACAAAACACTCACTGAAAACAGCAAAGAAGAAACGAAGAAATGTACACGATTCCTATATGTTGCCACTGACAACTGGTTCGGTGGAGACGACGCTACTTTTGTTTGTCCCCAGTGGGATCGTTGTTATGCGTATCGAAGGAACTGTGACGTCATCACTTAACAGCCCCATATTATTACTGGTCTAGTTAAAGGGGAAGTCCGGTGAAAAATTCAAATTTCACAGTCCGTAGAGTTCGAGTCGCTGAGTCGAATGGTCTTTGTCCGAGGAGGCTGCGGCTTATGGTTCGTCAGATACGCCCAATCGAACATGTGCGAATTTGAGCGCGCATCACCCAGATCCAGGTGATGACGTCACAGCGTGCAGCCAGGTAGCCACACCATCTAGTTGTGTACAAAATGGCCGTATTCGGAGCGCGTTCGATTGGGGAACTGTTTGTCGCAGCTTCTTCGGACCAAGACCATTCGATTCAGTGTTACAAACACTACATACCCTGTGATTTTCAGCTCGGTAAACCTCGAGGTTATACCATATTTTAGCCGTTTCCGAGTTGGACTTTTTCCGTCAGCCTCTACGCGCTGTACGCTGCGTGCATGCAGTGCGTGCAGTGTGTTATCTAGCTGTGGTGCAGTCAACAAACTCATCACAGACGGAACTACTCCCGCACTGCCGTGCTGGGGTAGTATCTACAACAAGACTCGAGTCACAACTCACTGACACAAGACTCAGAAAACTAGTCAACACACGGACTTGTCATGTACTACACTCGTATCAGTCGTATTTTACAGTCATGTACTGTAGTCAGAGAACGGGCGTTTCTCCTTGCCGGTGCCGGTGATTGTGCTTTGAGAAAGAAAATTTTAGTTTTCCGCTCCTGCCTCATTATTTTATGCTACAGCGATGAGTGCACAACCGTGACAAGTGACAAAACAGGGAACAGCTCCCGGACCTAGAACTGTCCGATTCCATAGCGTTGCGAGCGAAGAGTCGTGCCCGTGGTTCAAAGAGCCTGCACTGTTCTCCAAATGAGTAGTCCGAAATATTCCAAGTTCGCACCAAAACATCACCATGTGGCAGGCCACTGGAGTCTAAGCGAATCTAATCGGTATGGAACAACATTTAGAGCACTCGCATCACTCTTCTCCATTTTGGCGACCCTGCTCTCCAGCGATCTGATAATTCATCAGCCTCGTCTGCAATAGCTGCTGCTTCTTCATCAGTCGGAAACTCAGTAACGCTCACTCTTGACGGGCCCGCGCGGCCATTTCTTCAGCTGAATACCGAGGTTCTCAGCCCCAGACCGAACTCATGAAGGTCAGCCATGGCTGCATCCTCACTCTCACAAGGAGTTACAGGTCTTCGGGGTCGCTTGCACCACCTAATATCAGTCGCCAAATCATTAAAGGGGAAGTATACCCTAAAATCAAATTTTCACCAGTTGTAGTCTTCGGGGTGCTGAGTCGAATGGTCTTGGTCCGAGGAAGCTGAGACGCTCCCTTCCTACTTGAATCCCAATCGAACTCGCGCACTTCCACCGAAACTGGGTGACTGCGCCCTACTAGATGGGGATTTGTATGCAAAATGTCACTAAAAGCGCCATTTCGTTCTTATAAAAGCACGGATGACCGCGATTGGCCCATATGTTGTAGTCTTTTGGACGCTGAGTCGACTGGTTTTGGTCCGAAAAGGCTGCGATGCAGCGTTCCTCCTTTATTCCCAATCGAACATGGTTGAACAAGCGGTCACGTGCTCCTGCGTACGCCAGTCACCTGGTCACCGTGCCTGCAGGGTACAACTTACTAGCCTGTTTGACCTTTTTTGGGTGCAGTCCTGTCACTCGAGTTGAACTCGAGTTGAACCTTGGTGTGAAAGTTCTCGCCTGCTGGCGCGGTGACCAGGTGATTTGGGCACCCAGGAGCACGTGACCGCTTGTTCAACCATGTTCGATTGGGAATAAAGGAGGAACGCTGCATCGCAGCCTTTTCGGACCAAAACCAGTCGACTCAGCGTCCAAAAGACTACAACATATGGGCCAATCGCGGTCATCCGTGCTTTTATAAGAACGAAATGGCGCTTTTAGTGACATTTTGCATACAAATCCCCATCTAGTAGGGCGCAGTCACCCAGTTTCGGTGGAAGTGCGCGAGTTCGATTGGGATTCAAGTAGGAAGGGAGCGTCGCAGCTTCCTCGGACCAAGACCATTCGACTCAGCACCCAGAAGACTACAACTGGTGAAAATTTGATTTTAGGGTATACTTCCCCTTTAAAGGGGAAGTATACCCTAAAATCAAATTTTCACCAGTTGTAGTCTTCTGGGTGCTGAGTCGAATGGTCTTGGTCCGAGGAAGCTGCGACGCTCCCTTCCTACTTGAATCCCAATCGAACTCGCGCACTTCCACCGAAACTGGGTGACTGCGCCCTACGAGATGGGGATTTGTATGCAAAATGTCACTAAAAGCGCCATTTCGTTCTTATAAAAGCACGGATGACCGCGATTGGCCCATATGTTGTAGTCTTTTGGACGCTGAGTCGACTGGTTTTGGTCCGAAAAGGCTGCGATGCAGCGTTCCTCCTTTATTCCCAATCGAACATGGTTGAACAAGCGGTCACGTGCTCCTGGGTGCCCAAATCACCTGGTCACCGCGCCAGCAGGCGACAACTTTCACACCAAGGTTCAACTCGGGTTCAACTCGAGTGACAGGACTGTACCCAAAAAAGGTCAAACAGGCTAGTAAGTTGTACCCTGCAGGCACGGTGACCAGCTGACTGGTGTACGCAGGAGCACGTGACCGCTTGTTCAACCATGTTCGATTGGGAATAAAGGAGGAACGCTGCATCGCAGCCTTTTCGGACCAAAACCAGTCGACTCAGCGTCCAAAAGACTACAACATATGGGCCAATCGCGGTCATCCGTGCTTTTATAAGAACGAAATGGCGCTTTTAGTGACATTTTGCATACAAATCCCCATCTAGTAGGGCGCAGTCACCCAGTTTTGGTGGAAGTGCGCGAGTTCGATTGGGATTCAAGTAGGAAGGGAGCGTCGCAGCTTCCTCGGACCAAGACCATTCGACTCAGCACCCAGAAGACTACAACTGGTGAAAATTTGATTTTAGGGTATACTTCCCCTTTAACACTGACACTATTGCTTTCACGCACTCCTTTTGACCTAGCTGCACGCTATGACGTTGCAGAGGGTGTGGCGCGGCCGCATGACGTCATGGCGCAGCCCCCGAAACTCAGTTTTTCAAACGGAAATATCTCGAGAACGCTTTGTCGGAGACACGTGGGACCAACACCATTCGACTCAGCGCCCGAAACTCTACCAACCCTGAAATTTAAATTTTTCACCGGACTTCCCCTTTAAAAACTGTTATGCCCCGATAGCAACTCTACGTTGACGTAGGTGCGTCGTTTTGTCTGAAGCAGGCCAGGTATAGACTAGAGTAGAGTGAGTCGCGTCGTGAAAGCCCCTTCATAACTTTGACGTCAGACATTATACATGACGTACTCGTCTACACAGTCAGACAGAGGCTCACACCTCGGCTCAGCCTCTGCTCGAACGGATGCCCCACGTCCTGTGAGAGTTCGCGAGTGCTACGCCCAGAAGCGGCTCGTCCTGGTGTGGCGCTGTGTCAATGGGAAAGCCAGCAGTGTCCTCCAGGACCTATTCTCACCATCAGCTGGCAGCACCACCCGGCACCAGGTTTCCAGGGGCCTCACTGTCCCCTCGGCACAGTCAGAAGCCGGCAGATCTCGCCTGGCCTTTCAGGCAGCCTTGGCCTGGAACGCTCTCCCAAGGAGTGTAAGGGAGATCAAGGGTGTCCAGCAATTAAGCTTGCCTCCATCCCCTACACCTTGCAATGAATGCTCTGTCTGACTTTTCCCGTCCACACACCACGTCATTTACTCTTCTCTGCGTGCTTGTGCGCTTATGAACTCTTTGTGTTCCCTCTGTTGACGCTTCAAAATCGCTCTATTGACACTGCAAAATCGCTCTGTTGTCAGTGTTGACGCTGCAAAATTGCTCATCATCTCCCTCCCTCCCTCCCCCCCCCTCTCTCTCTCTCTCTCTCTCTCTCTCTCTCTCTCTCTCTCTCTCTCTCTCTCTCTCTCTCTCTCTCTCTCTCTCTCTCTCTCTCTCTCTCTCTCTCTCTCTCTCCCTTTTGAAATTCGCTTCCATAGAATTGGGCACCATTGCCCGTTTGGCCTTGCGAAGTAAAATAAAAAACAACAACAAGCGGGAAAACTCCACTCCTCGCACAGACTCAGTGCTCGGGGGAGGAGTGTTCTACAAATTGAGACATATCGAGATTTAGATACAGCGCGATTCTTGTACAGTACTAGCAGCACCCCAGGCCAGCGTTGCCTGGCCGAATGTGGCATGCGGGTGAAGCAAGTATAGTACATGAACAGCACACGTGCTCAGCACGTGGTGGTGGCCAGACCGCTGAAGTCCTGGTGAGGTCATGAGGGAGGTTCTTCATGGTTGTAAGGAGAAGGAGGGACGTCTGTTACGCCTTCGGGAGGCTGGTCAGGGTTGTCCATCACCTGGTGGCGGATGAAGCGGCTCAAAAAATTCATAAACATTAATACGAACAAAAGTGCGATGCGCTCTTCACTGCAGATCAGATGCAGAGTGCAGTCAGTGCAGATCTTTTGTATCCTTTTGTTGCAGATGTTTCTATTTGCAGAGAACGGTTCACGTGGTCCGCAGCGCTTGTGCGGCTGCTAGTGCTACCTGTAGGCTATGGCCTAGGCTAGGTGGCTAGGCTACATGATTCGCACGCTTCGCGTGCTCAGTGCTTCTGCGCGCGGCTGCTACTGCTACTCGTACTGATCGTGTCTGCGTGTCGAGCGCTACCACCTAGTAGTAGTAGTAGTACCTATACCTACGTAGATCTACGTAGCTACCTAGTACCTACACTGTTCGCACGCTTCGCGTGCTCAGCACGTGGTGGTGGCTACACGATTCGAACGCTTCGCGTGCTCAGTGCTTAGCTGTGGCTGCTTCCGCTAGCTACACGATTCGCACGCTTCGCGTGCTCAGTGCTTCTGCGGCCGCTACAAAACTACACTGTGCTACACTGTTCGCACGCTTCGCGTGCTCAGGGCAGCGCTGCTCCGCAGGGCTTCAGCGTGACACAAAAAC